GATTTGAGCCTACTTGAGCGATTGGGCTAGAATTGAGCAATTAGTTAATTAAGTTAAGTGCGTTGTATGCGCTGACTAAGATGCGTTATATAAGCTTTGCTTCACCCCTATGTGCCGTAGATTGAGCTTGCGCTAGGCATGTTAGGGTATTTTTAAAGCGAAGCTTCAATGACGAGCTTATGTAAGTAGGTTTTCCCACGGCGTAAGCAAAGGCATTACAGAGGTTGGGGCCAAAAGTCTTCATCCCACCTAGCTCGGGCCAAGCCGCTCAATGTACGATGAGCTGAAAAACGCATATTTACACTGTATTTCATTTAGGATTAGCGGTTGCTCTCCATCTTCAGTGATTGGGTATCGCCTATAAAGTCCCTAGTCCAAGGACTTGTGCACTATGCCTACAGAGATTAGTCGCTAGTGGCTGACATAGGCTGTGCGAGCTTTACTGTGTCCACGTCTTGGCAGTCTTGGCTTTCTAGAGAGGATGAAGACTTTTGGCTCTAACCTTTGTAGCTTCGCTTCTAGGTATTACAGAGCCTTTTTGCTAGAGGTTTCTGCAGCTCTCATTGGTCGGCGGCATCTTCATGCCAAGACGAGCAGCAATTGGTCGCCACAGGTCAAAACCGGTAGCAATTGGTCGCTACAGATTTAGTGTCTTGGCTGCATGCACCGCTATAGCATCGCTGCTATATATCCTACGCCTGAAAATAGCTGCAATTGACATCTATATAGTGCTGTTAGGATGTCACCTAGAGGACTGAGTGCTATAGGTAGAGCGCTGTAAGCAGAGCGCCCAGGCCGTAGGCAGAGCGCCATAGGCAAAAAAAGCGGGGGGCCCTAAGGGGCGCAGCCCCCTGGAAATATAGGGCATCAACCTTCTAAACCTCAAATATTATCGGCACCGACGGTCCGGGCATTGTAGTGGCCGACCGCTAGGCTAGGCCGGCTTTCAGTTATATAAATCGGAGCTCCCTATACACCTTAGATTCAAGCTGGGTTATGAATTGAGTACAGATACCAACAGTAGAGTTGACGATATTAGCCATTGCAAGCGCAGTTGTAGGGCAGAAGTAGGCAGATTTGCCTGTACCTAGGTGGAAATGTGGCTTACTGGCTCACTGGTGGGGCTGACTAACTGGCTTCGCTTCATCCCTATGTGCCGCAGAGAGAGCTTGCGCTGGGCATGTTAGGATATTTTAGATTTTCTAGTAGGCAGTTAGAGTTGAAAATGCCATTGACATCTAGGAAGACCTATGCTGTAGCATCCCTGAAAGGCAGGGTCGACGAGGGGTGCTTCCGTGGGTGCTTCCGTGGGTGCTTCTGTGGGTGCTTCCATAGGTTCGTGCAGCAGTGTCTCTCACGCAAGGCAGGACATTCTCCAATTCCACAGGGCCGACTCTGCTTACCTTTGTATAGTTTCGATAACCCCACGCACAACTCTCCACCTCCCTGGCGCCGAGATATGCTCGAACTCGCCGAAGTCTTGGGCTTTTTTAGAGATGCTACGTCTCCAGCTGTGGCGAGCTTTACACTGCGATCCCGGTGGTTGATGAAGAGGATAGGGATACGCTCTCGAAGACAAGAAAAAATTTTGGTCTTTCAGCAGCGCCTTCATGGTCATATGTGGCATAGGCGCCCTTTTTTTCCCTGGCAAACTCCTCCTCCTGGGCAGGGAGGCTTGATCGGCTTCGGACCCCCTTTCTTCAAGGAGAATTGACCTATTCAAAGACAATGATACGTTTTCCCAGAGGCCAATTCCCGTCGGTGCCACGGCCGCTTACTTCAGCGCTTCAGATGACATCTTCTCCAACCGCCTGCACGTGCAGAATGATGACTTGGCCAGCATAAAAGCAAGGCTATCGACTGACAACCATTGGCTGGTTCCTATTTGGACGTCTCCCAGTTTACTAAACTATTGGTTATACATCCTCCAGCTATGGCGAGACAACCGGATAGATGACCAAAGAGCCTTATCCGAGTTGCGGGATAACATCATTCCAACATACCTTTTTAGTTTCATCGCGTTTGCACACCTTTCGTCCACTTCATTGCAATCCGAAGGGGGGAGGGGGGGGGGGGGGGGGGGGGTTATGTTGTCGAATCATCCCACCTCATTGCGTTTTTCTCATTCCGCTCCTCCCAGTCACCCACATCCCCCATGGCATATCGCCAGGGTGGCTAGCCTATCGGCAGAGGATACCTGGGAATGGCCCTTCCTTGACGCGGGCGCCCTTGGACTCGTCGTTTACAAAAAACCTTTCCCCAACTCCCCCGTTCTCAGAGCCTATGTCTTGGAGATGGACATAATGGCCCTAGAGCAGACTTCAATTAACGTCAGGGATGGCAAGTGGCTGCTTCGACTCGACTTGTTGGAATCGTAGCAAACCTCGGAGATTTTGTCTTCGACTGTCATTTGCTACTTCATACGCCTGAGTTAAACCCATGGTCGAGCGACGTTTTGTGCTGCCACAGGGTTTGACCACCGGTGGGCTGGATCGTAACATGTTCAGCAATCTCGCTAGGAGCCACACTCGCCCTTCACCTCCTTGACAAAAAGTGAAAGTTATGGCCAAATACGAACCGTCACCTCGCGACAGCCGACTGGGGACCTCGCTTTACCCCCGATCTGACGGCTGTCGCTGTGGTTCTAGAGGTATTGATTTTGCTCACTGGACGGATCTCGGTCAGCCAGATTGTGCTTGAGCGTCTCCTCAAACACAACTTAGCCCTAGTCGTCTCAGTTGTAGTTACGGGCATCTCAGCTCTAGGATCAGCGTGGAGGCCACTTTCGCTGACAGCTCGTAACCCAAACAGAAATGCTAGGTACACAAGATCACTCCCTGGCTGGCGTTGATTTTGGTATTCACCTACTCCATTCTTGCCTTTCCCTTGCAGATCTTTCTCGACATGGAAGAGTACGCTGATTTGGCTTTGGAATATGCGTTTCCCTGAAACTGCAGGTGGCAGGTCCCCAGTCCCTCGTGGTCAAAATGGTGGGGTCTGTGAAGTGAGGATCGATGCCTACAGTACCTTCAAGTTTCAATTGCAGAATACCCAAACCAAGGTGTATGCAGAGACAAGTACAGGGAGGTAATTCAGAGAGTCACTTCGGCATACTACTAGTAGCAGTCTTCTGCCCGTACCACAGTATTACAAAGCGTAGTAGCTCATTGGCTAGTCGTCTTTCAACTTGTCGTGTGCGGACACTGCATCCTTCGAAGGAGGCAGTCCGCGGAGCTTCCTGTCAACACCATCTGCAGGTGCGCCGCAGTAACGGTGTAACTGGCCACAAGAATGGTGGGTCAGAAGCGGCATGTGAAGGAGATGGGAGTTGAGATGGTCAGAAACAGGGATTACAAGTAAACAAATCCCCCTCCCCCTACTTTCACCCCCGATGGGCAGTGTAGCCGGGTTGTAGGAGGGGACGACCGCTTTAGGCAAGAAAGGCCCCCAGTTCAATTCCCTTCGATCTCCCCAAAGTTTAAGGTTATATAGCATTAGCCTTTGGGCCAAGTTTGCCACGCATACTACTTCTGTGTGAAAGGGATGAAATGGGAAATGACCTCTCTGGACAAGGTATCTGTGCAGGTGCTTCAGTTGTGCTATAGCTTGCTTGTATGGTTCTCAACCAAGATCTTTTCCAACCCTCGTCGCAAGGTAGGACTCATGCCATTGGCATTCGGTCTCCCTGTGGCTCGATCGACAAAGACCTGGACGAACTCGCCCACAGACTTGGCAGCCTCCTGACCCTTCTCAAAAAGGGCTATCTCGTAAGTGACGCTAGAATTGCCAATCTTGTTGACACGCAGGGCCAATTCAGCGCAAGCAGGAAACGAGATGGACGCAAAGTAGTCGTTGTGGGAGTGAACTACCATGCCATATTGTGGCGATGCTGGAGGATTGAGTCCGCAGTGCTCAATCAAGTATGTGTTGATGATGGAGTCGTAGAGAAAGTTGTAAATAGAGTTGTTCATGTGATCATACATGTCATTGTCGCTCCTGCCCGCTATGGTCAACTAGGTCCATTCCCATGCATTTGTTTACCTGGTACTTAGGGTTGTTTCTCACCATCTGGTTCTGTACTCCAGAATATAGCGATAATCGGCCCTGGTCCGGCTCTTTAGCCGGTTAATGCCCGTCATCTGGGAGGTATAAGAACGGAGTCGTTTTGTAACACACTCGCTGAGCTACAGACAACAAGGCAAACAGATAGGAGATGTGATGGAAGTGCCCTGTCTCGTACAGACGGATGGAGCGAGGCAGGTCTGAAGAGAGTAGATAAGACGACGACGGGAATGCCGAGGCTATCCGTCGGTACCTTGCAGTCGGGAAGTGGGGATCGGGAACCCAGACAATCCAATGGCTGGCTGCATGGCAGTGCATCGTTATTGCCGGCTCCCACCGCCCATTTTGTGCCTGATTCCTCGCAAACACCAACAAACAACGAAGCTGACGGCAACCCTCCCGATCGCCGCTGTTGACATCGATACATTTGAAAAGCGCTTGCCTCGGTGCAGTTATCGAAGCTGGCTGCGTTAAGGGCACTTTCTGCGTTCAGTGCGCTGCGCCAGCAAATGGCGTCTGCTCTTGGTCGTTTTGCTGTGCCGGCCACCACAACGAGCACCACAACAGGCACTACAACAACGACGCACCCCTCCTCGGACAAGACCGAGACTGCACAGCAAGAACAGGCTTCAATCCTTCCACTGCCGGCACCCAGAGAGCCCTGGCCGCGGCCATACTATATCAAGGACGGTCTACGTCGCGTCACTCCGTATTTCTACACGTACAACACGTGGTGCAAGGAGCGATGGCGAGGTCTCCAGCTGATCGAAATCTTTGAGAGCGAATTCAGGGATCGACCAATCGAGTATTACCGCGCCGCCATGGAATCCGGCCAGATTTGCGTTAATGGCAAGGTCGTGGGTCCGCACTACGTTCTCAAAAACGGCGACCTCGTGTCCCACACAGCCCACCGCCACGAGCCGCCAGTCACTGCGGAGCCCATCGCCGTCATTCACGAGGATGATGACATGGTTGTTATAAACAAGCCTTCCGGGGTGCCCGTCCATCCCGCCGGTCGCTACAACTTCAACTCGGTCGTCGAGATCATGAAAGCCGAGAGGGGCCCCAACTTCGCACCACACCCTTGCAACAGGCTGGACAGGTTGACGAGCGGCATCATGTTCATCGCCAAAAACCCCAAGGGAGCCGATCGTCTGGGCGCCCAGATTTTTCAGCGCAGCGTGCGAAAAGAGTACCTAGCTCGAGTCGTCGGCCGCTTCCCTGACGGCGAGGTGGTGTGCGATCAGCCCATCCTCCAGATCTCACCCAAACTCGGCCTGAACCGCGTGCGAGCCAACGGGAAGGCTGCCAGGACCGTTTTCAAACGTCTGGCTTACTACCCCCCGTCCCAAAAACGAGACGACGAGCCCGCCGCGGCCGGACAGCCGCCTGATGCAGCCACGCAGCGAGAGGACGGTCGGTCCAGGGCAGATGAGGGCTACTCAATTGTTCGATGTTTGCCCTTGACAGGCAGGACACACCAGCTCCGCGTCCATTTACAGTTCCTTGGGCACCCGATCCAGAACGACCCCATTTACGCCAACCGAGGTGTCTGGGGCATTGATCTAGGCTCCAACGATCCCGATGCGAGCAGGAACAGTGACGAGGACATCATCGCTCGCCTCTCGCGCATGGGCAAAGACCAGGTTGCAGATGCGGTTGCCTACTACGACGAGATGGTTGAGGATTACCACAAGAAGAAGGCTGAAAAAATGTCGGGCGAGGTCTGCAGCGTCTGCAAAACCCCTCTTTATACCGACCCTGGACAGCATGAGCTCTCCCTCTGGCTCCACAGCCTCCGCTACGAGGACACCGAAGGTGCATGGAGCTATACCAGTCCGTTGCCCGCTTGGGCCTTGCCGCCAGAAGGGACAAGTGGCCCGACTAAGGTTGGAGGCATGGAGGATCTCCTGAGCGCCGCGAGAACCAGCCAGGTTGAGTGAATGGCCGCCTGTCCCCGTTGTGTGCGGGGATCGAAGAGCTTCTGGTCAAACCCTCGAGTTTGCAAGGTCCCGCTCAACCAATCTTCGTTCTTCAAGCGAGCTGAAGAGGAACTCGGATATTCCTTGAACCCAAGCTGTGTGCGTCTGCTTTCATATAAGCTTCTGCCTGCCCTCGCCCTGATGTTGGTCAACACGGCGGCGGGCTGTTGCAGGCAGAGTGGACGCTAACTTGCCGCGTGAAGGCTCACTTGAGAAACGGATCCAATTGCCCGGATTTGCTCGGCCCGGTACTCTGCTAAAGGGGACAGCTTTTAGGTCAAGCGACTACACGGCTAGTGGTTTGTCTCAAGGGCGAGTTCGAAACGAGCGACTGCGGGGAAATTAGGATAGGAAAATGCGTCCCAGCAACCCCTGCGGGATAACGCTCGTCGAGACCGTACTACAGCGGCAAACCCCGCCCACTTCCCCGTATGTCACCGCTTCGACCTCACTATGTATGCATCTACCGAGCCGGAGACAAGCAGTAGCCCACCGCCAATCCCAGGACCTAGCGTCTCCCGCAATGACAGCTCCACAGTCTGCTCTTGTGGTGTGGGTTTCGTGTCCGTCAAGCTCCTGTGGAGGACTGCATTTTACGATTCGCGCCGACGACTGTATGGGCCAGACAAAGTGCAGCTCTGCCAACTTTTGTGTGTTCATGCGCCGCTATGCTAGGTGATGATATCCAGAACGCACATCGCACAAGACAACGTTGTCCTGGTTTGGTTCATGGTACAGCATGCCGAGGAGCCTTCCCTGACGGGTAGCCGCTGAACCATATACCGGTAGCTTACCTAGTCATCCCCATGTGATGTTCAGCAGCGGCAGCGCTGGCTAATCTAGACAATTCCAATGTTTCAGAGACCCCTACCATCACGTCTTCAGCATGGTCTACCACCTGTAACGTCGCCAGGAGTTGGCTGCACCGAGCAGAATATTAGAAAAAGGATATGCACCTGACGGGGTCTGGCCGAGCTGCAGCACCAGTCTTTACCGGGGCTGTGCACTTTCTACACAATCTCTGCGTGTGGTGGTTTCGCAAAACGTGCAGTGGATCCACGCGGTCGCCGAGCATGACCGGTCCATCGAGAAAGCAAGGTAAGTGCTTCTCTAGGTGGTGGCAATATGCGGATCTTGTGTCCTGAAAGTTGCTCGAGCCCCTCTGTTTCGGCGGCATTCCAAGACGCGATTGAACCCCCCCCAACACAAAAGCTTTCGCTGCAGTGTGACGACACCTGCGCTTGAGCGGGATCGCCGGAGCTTATACAGGCAATGTGGAGACCACCAGTCCACCAAGACCACCAAGACCACAATTCAGGCCAATCTTCGTTCCGGACCAGAAAGACCGTTATGGCCGGGCACCCTCTCGGAAAATTTTGCTATTCGCCTCCAATTATGTGGCTTCACGTCTTGCGGCTGGGACTGTTGAATCTCGACAGACGACATCCCGAGCCGACAGGGATGAGTGGCAGAAGAGAATGGAGCGAGCAACGGGCTGTTGATGGTCTGCGTCTGCGCGGCCTGGCTTGACAGCTGGCATCCAGGACCAGATTCTCCACAAAGTGTGGGTTGTCTATCCAGAACGAGGGTCGATCTCAGCCCTGAGGAACCATGAGGCGGGCCCTGATGGATTGCTCTGCATTGTATTTTCTCTGTGGCTCCGGAACTTGCCCGGACGATACAGATTTCCCTATTTCTATACACAATGGTCCTCCGAGTGAGCGGTGCTTCGTCATAATTAACATCTCAACCCGTGTCCCGCGTCTCTCAAGCCCGCTGTCGCCTTGGTGTCGTAATCTCATATTCACCGCTCTCACTCTCAGTTGGTGAACGGGTGTTGCGGATACGAACAACACTTTCACAATGGCACCATCCCCTATCACGCGGTGCTCTTCCACAGAGGCTTCCCTCTCCACAGAGGTGTCTAAACCCGGCAGAAGGAAAGGTGCGTCGTATCGCTCAACCCACGGCTTGATGCAGTTCGATCATGCCACTTCACCGTGCTGCTATCCATATATTTTCCTCACATCGCCTGCTTTTCATCGCCTGTTCTGACAGGAAATCCCGTACCAGGCGCGAGGACGGTGTCAAATATGAACCCGATCCAACTGGCGAAGAAACGCGCCAACGACCGGGAGGCGCAGCGCAACATCCGACAGCGCAACAAGGAGCTCATCGGGCGCTTAACGGAGCAAAACGGCTACTTGACGGAGCAGCTAGAGAGCAAGGAAAATCAGGTCCAGCAGCTGCTCTCTCTCAAAAAGGCGCTTGAGCGGGAGCTGGCAACCCTGAGAGAGGCGCTCTCACTGTCCTCGTCGGATCGCGCCGCTTGTCAGGCGTCAACAGGTATGCCTTTGCCGCCCCTCTACGACGAGCTTCGGCATGGCTGTCTAATGCAGTCCGGTGGTGCAGGCTTCGACGTCGAGAGGTTACCGGCTGCTGCTGCTACTGGCCACCATTCACCCGTGGCCAGCCGGCCGCCGTCCTTTGGAAGCCCGGGCGAATACACCACGGCAGCGGCAGCGACGAGTGCGAGTCCCTTTGTGCCCTCGTACCTCCCAACCCCGGAACCGTGCGACGCGTGGCCCTCGGTGATACCCATGACGTCCGCAGTCACGGTGCCTTCGGCCGTGTCCAGCCCGGGGGCCTCGCCGTCCGCCGGTCATCCCGGAACCGACGACTACGGATCCGGCTTTATGCCCACCAGCGTACCGCCGCCGCCCGTCATCAACGGGTCTGTTATACCCAGCGCCGCGTCGTTATCCTATCGTCTGCATGCCGCCAAGATGGGGTATGGAGAGCTCGATACCGACCAAGGCTACACAAGCCACAACGTCCCGCAGTCACCACCTCCGTACCACGCGATGCAGCACCAGTCATGGGCTGTCTACCAACAGTCGGGATTCTAGGAGCTGCCGCCTCACGCTGCTTACGACGTATGAGAGGCTTCTTTGAGAAGAAGGTTGGACAACGGCCCATTACAGGCCGCAAAGGACGGTGTTATTTGGTTGCTTTTAGATAAGATTATTTGCATGTCATGACGGCGTCTATCATCATCGATCGTTTGGAATGCGGAGTTTCATCGGCGCAGGAAACAGCCCGGTTACAGGTTACGGCGATGAAAGAAACCGGCTGGGCAAAGGAAGTGCTCTGGGCATGGGTTCGGTTATGGTCGGAGTGTACGGATGGATTGGCAGGACAGGTTGCATTACGGTATACACTCATCAATACCCTGAACCGGCAGCGAGAGGGGCGCGAGCAACGCCAGGGGAAAACGGGGTTGTGGGTATACACATATCGATGGCCGGTTGGCTTGAAAATGGGGGTGAGAATCTGCATCGGCGAGGCGATGGGCCAAAAGAGATCCGAGCACTCTAGGGGCTTACAGTGAGCAAGAGGGTGAATGCGGCAATTTCACAGCAGTTTGGTGTGGTGTTTAGCAGCATGAATTTGGTATGTATGCTGCAAGACCTTCCCCAACGCCGGGCATCCTATCCGGTGGGCGGTGCTAGCTAGGAAATGCCCGGAATGGCCAGAGAGAATGGAGCCTGGAACTGCCCCTTCTGACTGCAGGCTTGTCGCCGTGTGGAATGGCCGGTTAGGAACTCATTACACAATGGGTTAAGCCCGGAATTCATGGTGACCGCAGCATGTCTGTCAATTCGCTCAGTGTGGAACTGACAGCATTCCCCTCCTGGCAAATGACAGCTTTCCAATGGGCAAATCAACGTATGAAGATGCCGGGACAGCCGTGCTTCGACTAGAAGGCGTCAACGCACTCATCACCAGACCCGCTCCGCTAGAGCGATCCATTGTATGTACATACTGTACATGGCTGTGCGCAGAAACCCATGGCCCTTCTCAAGTCATTTCCACAGCAGATCTTCTTTTTTCATTATGACAGGTGAGGTAGAGTTGGGCTGTGTGTATGTTTGTGGATATTCTCCTGCATTAGTGCTGCGCAGATCATCAACGGTACTTGCAGCGCACACTACGGTAGAGCGTGCGATGTAACTAAATCTCCGGAAAACAAACCTGCTACACTTGGCAAAGTCGATCTCTACTTTCAGGGTTGTAGTGGAGGGTGGATGGAGAGGTTTCTGGGGCATGTGTTTCCTGATGATCTCACCGCGTACTTGATTTGAGCCAATCACGATATTTGCTACCAGTCGAGCCAGAACGGAGTCTTCCGGGTTGCTTGGCATTGCTCTGGAAGGTATTGGTGAGGGCTCACCTGCATGCTTCGCCTCTCGCGTTTTAGCTTAGTATGTAGCGGCATGGGGAACCTGGGGCGAAGTGGACGGCGTCCTTTCACCCGCAGCCGTTGGCCTGCGGAGCCTGCTAGCGCGCAGTCTCGAGAGGAAGACCTGGTTTCCGATGAGCACGCTGTTTCAGCCGGATTTCTCTTATTGGATTGCTGGTTGGTCAATCATACTTGATTCCTCGAGTGCCGAAGGGAGGGGGAAGCGTCAGCATCCACACCAGGGAATGGCGACATCTAGAGCGAATGGATGGCGGAGAGGGAAGTCGGTTTTCCTTCGGAGAAGCGCAACCATCCGATGCCATGCCACCGTAGTACTCACCATTAACAGTCGCCCCAACAGATCGAGCTCAAGGGCCTGGATGGGGGGTAGGTAAGAGGTTGACCATACTGGATATGACGGCCGCTTATACTACCTACGGCTGGCTGCCTAGGACAGCAAAAAGTCCGAGGATAGGGAAGCCCGGGTGTCAGGCCGCGAACCCGTGGAAGCAAGCGTAAACGGCCGATTGTGAGATTCTGGGCCCGGTCGTGGTTACCGGAGCGGATGGCGAGGTGACGTCGCCGAATTGGACCCACTGGCACGGCGATGAGCCTTCCCATCATCCCGAGCGCCGTGGCGAAACCATCCGATGGGAATTTCCGTAGCAAAATGTCCTTCCTCTGCGTGGCGGTCAACGAGAGGAACCGTGATTGAGATTCAGGAGGTTATGATTCTGAACAGGCGCCCATCTCAACCGGAACATGGCCCCGAAGTTCTCGGGATTGGGTAGCGGTTGACCTCACACACTCCAGCCACAATAGAAAACTCCGCAAAGTCGACGCACTTGGATAAGTGAGTTTCGTGGCGAATGCATACCGCATAGATTGAAAAATCGGCGAGGTCGCGTTATCGGTCGCCTCACAGGCAGAATGTGCTCATGAAGAAGGCGATTTTGGTGCTAAAGGGCGTGATCAGAATGGTCAGTCCTCTTGGTTAGTTTTCCAGCTGTGATGCTAAGCAGCTGAGAGGTATGCGCCAAGACGGAAAATACCGCTACCTAATGTTACCGGTACCGGAGCTAAACCTCAAAGCATGGGAACTTGGAAGGCACACATCAGCGATGCGGAAGCCGCCGCTGTGGCGTGTGGCGCCTGCGCTCGGGTTATGGGCTACATTATGTGGGGCTTTCAGGTATCGGTCAATGAGCCGAATCAATTGGGGGTTGCTCAATGTTCTGAGACGGCGACACTAACCCCTAATCCCTATGGCCCTAATAACCTCAAATCCAAGGGATTTCATTCGACACTGGTCAAGCTTGATATTACAGTGGTAGGCAGGTGCCCACTACCTCAAACCCAAGGGATTTCATTCGACACTGGTCAAGCTTGATATTACAGTGGTAGGCAGGTGCCCACTTCCACAAGTAGATTAGTGCACCCTGGCAAGTGATACTGGCAACGTACGCAAAGTTGCCAGGACTTCTCCTCGATCATCGTTCAATCAATTCAACCAATTCTTTTGGGCAACCCGATCAGGATCTTTGCCCGAAACCAACTCCTGATCTTCGGGAACAGGCTCGACACTATACAACAACTGTTCGAATCGTCCGGCCCGAAGGTGCTGAGCGTCATCTTATTGCTTTTTGGACTACTTGGACTTGCAGATTGTGTTCTGGCTGTGGATCGAACTTGGGCCCTCAGTTGGAGACTTGAGAGTAATGGCTATGCAACTACCACTTCACTTGACTTCACCAGGTACTACTACCCGTGGGGGTTGAAAATTAGGAAAGGGGTTTGCCCTTATGTACCTATGTTTCTTCGTTCTGTATCTGCCAATTCACCATAAGGTTCCTAGGCTTTCTATGAGATTGCGATGGATGATGCCATCGCTTACTTGCTCACTTTCAGCCATGATGCGAGCTTCTCGTAGTTGCACTTCTAGGGTCGGTTCTCCCCGTCTTCATTCCGCCGTCAAACGGTCATGGAATCCTACAAGCTCTGGTTTTGCCTCCATCAATTCTCGTTGCTGTGCATACAACTAGACAATGTCCGTCTAAAACCCAGCTTTGACAACAAACACATAGCAAAGCGTTACCCCGCCCACTGCCCTGAAAATTCTACGTATGTGCAGTAAAATACACATCAACCGCTCAGAGGCACTATATTGATTTTACCAATTTGATCTTCTGTGCTTTCCAAATACCTGACCCTATTCTTATGCTTCGTGTCCCCAAAAGCGACTGTGCGTTTCCTGGCCAGCCATTTCTTGCTCCAATTGTGGCCTCACCTTCCAGCAATGGGGGGTTCCAGGTCGGAAACGGTCTCATGGCGAGACCTTCCGCGCAGGAACCAGCTTATCGTCATCACTTTGGCTAGGCTGAGTGAGCCGCTCGTGCAAACATCCCTTCAGGTATGTACCCTGCGAATACCGTGTACCTGAGTGTTCCTGCTCTCGGGCACCACACTGGCAGCATCTCAGGGCTGACCTATCCGTTGCCCCAGTCCTACATGTTCTACCAATTGAAGTGGTTCGACCCAACCCTGCCGGATTCCGTTATCTCCAGCCAGGCCGGCATCTTGCAGTATGTGCTCGTCTTCCCACTGGCCTGCCGCCTGTTTCCTTTGTGGCTCAGTTGGTCCTGACCAACTGGCCCACCAAAACCCAGTGCGAGCTTCACCGCTGCCCAGTTCTTGACAGCCATGATGTGGGGCCGGATTGCCGACTTGAGCCAGTTCGGCCGCAAGACCGTCCTGATGATCGGTCTCGGGGGCACCAGTAAGTTCACATGGGACCTTATGCCATTGTCCCGAGATCAGGTCCGTCGTGGTGTGACAGAGACTAATTTGATACCAAACCAAGTGCTCTCATGCATCGGATTCGGGTCTCTACCTCGTTCTGGCAAGCTCTAATCTTCAGATCCATGGGCGGCATGACCAACGGGAACGTAGGGGTATTGAGGACCATGTGAGGGCACCTGCTTGACAGATTCCGTTTCCAGTCTCACAGTTAACCCGACTCGCAGGATTGGCGAGACTATTAGGGAGAAGAAGTGCGTTGATAGTTGTTTCCACGCCTCCCTTGCACCCCCCCACCGCTTTATACTGATCAACGAGGTCAACCAGGTACCAGTCCAGGGCCTTTCTGCTGTTGCCCATGACCTTCAACATCGGTATCATCATAGGGCCCATCCTCGGAGGTATACTGTCTGATCCGGCTGGGAGCTACCCCGACCTGTTTGGACATGTGCAGTTCTTCCGGCGGTTTCCTTACGCCACCCCAAATCTGCTATCGGCATTTTTCCTGCTCTGCGCGCTGCTCTCTGTCTGGTTATGCCTGGAGGAGGCGAGTATTATCGGGGTCACCGACAAGCTAAGGTTTATGGAACAGCTCGACTGACAGGGACGCAGACGCTGGACTCGAGAATGGATAGACACGACAGGGGCTTAGAATTGGGACGATGGATGTGGATGGCGCTTCGCGGTAGGCGCTCGAACGCGAAGTATGCGCGGTTGCCGACCCAGGATACTGCCACCGATCTAGAGAGTCTGGCCCCGGCCGAGGTCAGGCATCCTTGCAGGTCCTCCATCTCGGAAGCATCACCAAAACCGCAGCACCACCGACCCAGGTACACCCGGCGACTCCCCTTCCGGCGCATTTTCACGCCGAACGTTGTCTTCACGCTGATGGCCAGTTTTCTCCTCGCGTTCCACCTCGGGACGTTCAACTCCCTATGGTTTGTCTTTCTCTCCACGCCCGTCTATGACCCCACGAACCCCCCTGAATCCTCCTCTGCCGCTCTCGCCCGCAAGTTACCCTTCATCTTCACCGGCGGGCTAGGCCTCCGTCCGCGCGAGGTAGGCATGGCAATGGCCACTCTTGGTGTCATTGGCATTGTCCTCCAGCTCGCGGTATATCCTCGACTCTCGGCGCGGCTCGGCACTGTACGCAGCTGGCGCCTGTTCCTGCTGTTCTTCCCCTTCACGTACTTCCTGGTACCCTACCTGAGCCTCGTCCCTTCGGCCAGTTCCCCGCCGAGCCCAAAGGACGGGATCGCCGTGTGGGCAGCCATTGCGGGCGTGCTCTCGCTCCAAGTGATTGGCCGCACGTTCGCACTGCCCGCGCAGACGATCCTGGTGAACAACTGCACACCCCACCCCAGCGTCTTGGGCACGGTGCATGGCATCGGCCAGAGCGTGAGCAGCTTCGCGCGGACGCTAGGCCCTGTTTTGGGCGGCTTATTGTATGGAATAGGTTTGGCTCGGGGCGTCGTCGGTGCTGTCTGGTGGGGTCTCAGCGGCGTAGCGGTCTGCGGGTGTATAGCGAGTCTGTTTGTGCGTGAGGGTGACGGGCATGAGATATGGCTGGAGGGTGATAAGGATGCCGATGAAGCGGTCGAGGCCCGCTGACGGTGAACACCATATTACTCCTTTCTGGTGTGCAGCTGATCTTGATACCACATTGTATGTAGATATCGTGTAATCCCGTTGGCATCATAGACATATAAATAAGTAACATAGACTCATAGAGACTACTACTAGAGCAAGATGTTTCATTCCACTGCCGCTCTCCGACATCAACCACTGCTCGTACAACAGTGTATTTCATACTAGTACTGAGGATGCTGATTTGCATCAATTTATGAGCAGGGTAGTATCGTCTGCGGGCTGGCGGGCTAGCAAAGGAAAAGGAGAAATACAACGGGAGTGAGTCAAATTCAAAAGCAGATACGAAGTAGGCTCTGTAGGTCACCAAGCAATGCAACCTCCTACTCCGTATCATTCCCGGTATCTATGTTCTTCACGAGTCCAACAATGACCGATGGGCTGCCGATCAGTGACTTGTTGCTATCTTCTTTTTTGATGACCCCACAGTAGTCTTATCCCATGATCCCGCCCGGAAGCACCTGACCTCAAACATTCTCTGATTCTTACCACTCAACAAACAAAACCCACACCTCACCACCAATATACGTATCTCATTTCTTCCCCAATCATGGCGTCACCCGGCAAGACAAAACTAACAGCTCCCAACCTCGTGCTCGAGGCCCTTCCCCTCACGCGCGAAGCATTTGCCTCGTTCGGCGACGTGATTGAAAACCCGCGGCCCAATGTCCACCCATCCTCCATGTCATCGTCCGCAAGCCCAGGCTCAGCCGCCGTGACCCTCCCCTTCGACGCCATATCCGCCAACCAGGGCTCCGCCATCAAATACCAGCACGTTACACGCCCCATCAACCTCTATTCCAAGGCCCCGAGCGGCCGCCCAGGCGTGGCCGTCACCAACATGTTTGTCTGCGCCAGCCGCGGCGAGGATGCCCTCCCCATCCCCATCCTCGAGCGCCATCCCTACACGACGCAGACCTTCGTCCCTCTGCAATCCAACAACAGGGACAAGGGCAACGGCTATGGCTATCTTGTACTTGTCGCGCCCACTCTCCCCAATCCCCATACTAAAGACGGCAGCGGGGGTCTTCCGGACTTGGGCGGGCTGCGCGCATTCGTGGCGTCGGCCGACGGGCAGGCCGTCACCTACGGCGCGGGGACCTGGCACGCGCCCATGGTGGCGCTGGGCTCGCCGGGCACGGCCGTCGATTTTGTGGTGGTGCAGTTTGCCAACGGGGTCGCTGAGGAGGACTGCCAGGAGGTGTATCTCGAGTCCCCTGAACAGGGCGGGGGCAGGGGGGTTGTGGTCAAGGTGGGCCGAGACCGGTTGCCGGGCAAGGTTGGGGCGTCGAAGCTATCGAAGTTATGACTAGTTACAAGGTGAACACCAATCGTGGGTGGGAAACGGGATTTGATTCTGATGAGCCCGTGCTGCGGTTGGTTCAGGAGGCTGGAGAGTCACTTCACGCTTCATTTACTTGTCACTGGCACAGAGCAGAGTGGAATGGTGCTAACCTCAGTCCTAATGTATATGAGGCCATCGAGGATATCTGAATCTCCTCCCAGTCCATTCCAGGTGGAACAGGGTGACGCCTTTAGGCGCCGATTCAGTCCTGATGGTCTCCCTGAAGAAAACTGAATATCCGCAATCGACTCCGTGTACTTGTACAATGTATATGAGACCATCGGGGATAGCTGAATCTCCCTCTGCAATTCCAGGTGGAACAGCGTGACGCCTTTAGGCGCCGATTCCGTCCCGATGGTCTCCGAACAAAATTGAATATCCGCAAACGCACTCCGCGCATAATTTCTCCCTGACCATCGAGGATAGCTGAATCTCCTCTGAATGTAGATGGAATGAGGCGATACCGTTAGGCGCCGATTCAGTCCCGATGGTCTCCCTGAATAATCCCAATCGCCCCTGACCGTGGTCAAAGTCCCAATTACACTAACAGCGATGCACAGCGGCACCTAAATCCAACATTCCACCCAAGAGAACCCCCCTCCTCGAATCACTCGTCGGCATCAAGATCCATCTCGTCATCCTCATAGTAATCCGCGTAGTCACCGTCGTCATCGTAGATATCCGCGTCATCCATGGCCACATCCATGCTGTCGGCGGTTATATCAATGTCGTCCGCGTTGCCAACCATGCTGACTGCGTCGACGTCCGCGGTGACATTCGCCTTTTCACCCTTCTTAGCATCCGTGTTGGCAGCCGCATCCTTCTCATCAAGCCACCAGGGAACCTGATCATAGGCCTTGAAAAACGCATCAACATCTTTGCTCTGTCGGGCAAAGGCGCGCAAGGACTCCTCCTCGATCGTCCCGGGTACCATCATGTGGTACACATTGACCTTCTTTGTCTGGCCCAGGCGGATGCACCTCCCCCTGGCCTGGCGCACCGTCCTCGCCTGGAATTCCTTGTCCGAGTGCACGAACGGGTTGGCAAAGATGACGTGTGACGCGATGGTCAGGTTGCTCCCTGCGCTCGTGTCGCTCTCGATGTCGAGCAACAAGACCTGCCCGGCTCGGCCAGCCTTGAAATCCTCCAGTTTGTCTGCAATCTTGCTGTCTGCGATCGCGGCTAGGTTCGTGAACCTAATATTCGCATCCCGCAGCGCCTTGTCAAGGGCATTGATGAGCGGGCCGTACTGCGCAAAGAGGACCACAAAGTCATCCTTGTGTATCTCCTTTTTTATCAGGTTGACGACCGAGTCGGCCTTGGACCTGGCGGTATCATTGGCCGATCCACAAATCTGAGAGCAGCGGAGGACAGGTCGTTGACGGATGAAGGCGGTGCAGTGCTGAGCGGGGCAATAGAAACGTTCCACGCTGATGGAGGATCGTCCGGACCGGCATTGGTGGCACAAGAGGTGACCGCAGGCCACGACGAGGAACGATGTGTCGACCGACTCGAGCGTGGCGCTGCAGCCATCGCATAGCATCGATGACACGGGGTCGCTGTCGCCGCTGCCGGCACTCGCGAGCGAGATATATTTCGGGACGAACCTGGCTTCCTGCAAGGTGACGTTCAAATCCTCGATTGTCTTAAGCAGATGAACCATAGTGCTCTTGAGCTCATGCGTCGCGGCCTTTTCCCGATCTTCCTTACTCCCCTTGTGGCAATTAGTTGCGCTGGTGAAATCTTGGCTCGCTGGCGGGGCGCGGCCATCGCGGTAGCTCGCGGCAACAGCGACTCCTTGCTCGTGGCTCCAAATTACCTGTTTTAGACGATCAGAAGTGGTGTTCGTATGGAATCTCAAATTGAGTTCCCTGGCGCGATTTTGAAGACGTGCCCTGGTGGACTGGCTCCCTTTGGTGGAGGGAATCCCGTCGAACTTGTATGAATCCTTGACCGCCTGCCATGTCTTCTTTTTTGGCTTCTCTGCGATGCAGGCTATGATGAAACGCTTCAGTTCCTCGGCTGTTCTACCGGCGATATCTGCCTGGTCGCATTCGAGAAGCTGAGCAATATTGTGCGGGACTGCGCGGGAAACCTTGAAGTTGGGACTCAGAACACGACGGAAGAACTCGGCCGTGGGGAGCCCATTCAAATCTCGTTGGCATCCGACCCCCGGCACCTTGTGAACGAGCCAACAGAGCTCTTCGGAGAGTATACGAAGCTCCGCCGGGGTCAGATTATCGAGATAAGCACCGTCAAGATCAAAAAAGTCCAGCCACGTGTTCAAGGCCTTTTCCTCCCTGAAGCGGCCCATCCAGCCGTCTGTGAAGTGGTGCGTCCACTCGACTCTGAGGGCATCGAGGTCGAGTCGGGTATTCTCAAGTTGTTTCAGCACGTCCTTCGGCAGGCCAGCGATGGAAGCAGCGTAGAGCACGAACAGATCCGCACCAGCGAAATCGGAAAAATCGCCGCTGTCCAACGCCCTCCTCAGTCTATCACACAAGAAATTGACGCGGAGTAGAGTGAGTCCAGTTGGCCCGTTCCAGTCTTTGGCTTCTTTGGCTTGACGAGCGTTAGGGGGCTTTTCCGAATCGATGTCGCCAAACTTGTCAGGGTGTGACTTGATAATCCAGTGCCGGAGCCACATCATCTTGTCCCAGATAAACTTCAGCTGGTTCCTAAGTTCCTCGGCCCGCATCTGAAGGTCGGTTTGAAGGGTCTGAACCGAGCTCCCATCTCGATCAGTGTCGCAGGCTGCGATGCCGAGGAACATTCTTGCTGCTTCCAGTCCGCTTTTGCCGTCCAAGTCGCAGCCTGTCACGGCTACAGCGTTGCGAGCATAAGAAGGAAGGACGAAGTAATCATAGCCGGCGTCTAGCACTGCCTGGGTGAGCATGTGGTAGCGTACTGAGGCCCGCGTAGTCATGGTCACGGGCCGAACGTGCTCCTCAAACTTAACCTCGAGACCTGTCTCGAGAGTATTGGCGCGGAAGGTCGCAGCAACAAAACCTTGGGCTTGCCTGTGCCTCTCATAGGCCAAGGCGGCCGACTTAACCGAAGACGAAAAAACGTGGAACTGCTCGCTCTTGGACATGGGCTCCAGCTTCGGGCCCTTGATAACAGAGGGTAGCCCTGGCATCATGCGCGGCTCCGCCCGCGCCACGTGTATTCCAAAAGTCGATGCAATCTTGCACACTTCGTCGAGCCCGAAAAGTTTTGGCGTCCCGGAGATCAGCCATTTAGAGTTGGCGATAGCATTGGTGACGAAAAGGCTGATGGTGCTGTTCCCGTCATAGGAGCACTCATCCCAGATGATGCGAGCAAAACTGCAGCTATGGAGCCCCTGAACGCTCCAAAACTCCAACCCGCTAGTCACGTCCGCACGTGTCATATCAGCTTTTGCCACGCCCTTGCCGGCGCCGCCTTTCTTGTAGAAGGACCGATCCATCTCGGGAACTTGCTTCTGCACCAGCACGTCATGTTCGGCCTGCTGTCCTATAATCAAGGCCGGCAAAAAATCCTTCCGAAGCTCGCGCTCCAATTTGCCGCCGTCGGAGCCAGCGGCTAGGCCGGCCAAGTAGTAAGCCAGACCCGTCCTGTGGTTCTGCAACGCCCGTTGGTACCAGAGCTCGAGGGTTCTGCCAAAAAGGCCCTTTGGGCAGTCACCGCCCCTGCCTCCGAGAGCTCTCAATCGGTCCAAGAACGTTGGGCCAAAGATTCCGGTGCTGACAATTATCATTTCTGCCTTCCTCAACTTATCCAGCTCGTAGGTGTAGAAATCTTTTGCTGTTTTGATGACGATCACCTCGCGGCCAACCCTCAAACCGAGAAATCGTGCTGCCTCCTTGGCCCACTGCTTGGTGATATGCCTGGGTACGACCACAAGGGTTGCAGACAGGTGCACAAAGAATGACTCGGCCTCGAATATTGGGTGGTCGTTCGCTAAGCTCGCCAAGCGCTTGAGAGGTTCGAGGAGCGAGCTCCGCCAGGCTTCATCAACCTTTCGCCGATCCTCAATGGACTCATCCTTGTCATATTCACGCATGTAGTCGTGAAGCGCGAGCATAACGACGGTTTTTCCATAGCCAATCTCATGAGCCACAACGCCGCCCCGCGAGCAGTAGGGGAAGGAATTGTTCCACTCGGCCTTGCCCATCACCCGCATATTGAGTGGGCGAACCACCTCCTCTTCGATTTCAACCTTAGTGAAATCGACAGGGCTACGCTCCCGCTGCATCATCCAGTGTACCGCATCCCTCTGACTAGGCCGGAGTGAGAAACCGCGGCGGAACCGCGGGGGTTGATCGCTTGCCAGGACGTAGAGCCCGGGAACGATCCCCACTGTGAATCCCTCGCCACAGGAGGTAACAGAGTCCCGGAAGGGCGCAAAATCAAGTGTCGTATGGAACGCGAAGTCCAATTTCACAGTGAAATAGGTCTTTGCGTGCTTGTCCAGAGCCTGCCTGCCACGGGGAACAGTGCGGTGAGCTTGGACGAGATACCCGAAAGCTCTGGAGGCGAGGGTCTTGGGCTGCAGCATGATTCTCATATCCAATGCAGCAGAGTCAGGGGCCAGGCGTGCGGCAACCGCAACCGACCGGGGGAGATCCAGAAACTGTTTCTCGAAGCGTGCAGCTTCGTCCGGATCTTCGATGACCACGTGGGTATATTTCATCTTCTCACCCCCCTTTTGCTCCATTTTGGTGTAAAAGGATATCTCGGGTGGGGCGACGGAGCAGTCTCGGCAGGCGTCGATCAAAAGCCAGTTGCCGCTGAGATGCTCGAAGAGGGCTAGATCAGCCGGTGCGGTGGATGAACACACTTGGCTGGAGAGGAAAGCAAAGCGTCTTAGGAATGCGTCGCGCTGCGTGGCGGGAGCGACATAGAAGCATCCATCAGTTTTGGCAGGGTCCATCTTGGAGCGCTCGCGGGACTTGAGCGGGAACCGGTCAAGAGATGCGTGAAGGGCGGCAAACGTAGGCATGTAGGTGACGGGAAACCCGTCCGCGTGGCAAGGCGCTTCGCACAACGTTCTGGCTAGACCCCAGCAAATCTGAGCCGGCGCCCAGGCGAGCGCCTGCCTGTCGAGCTCCGGCGAGACGAGCTTACACGGCGGGGAAGACCAGTACCCAGGCCAGAAGACATCGATGGTTGTCGGTCCGGCATTGGGGTCGAGTTCAATGTTCCAACCTGAGCTGGTAGGCTTTGCATGCAGCAAGATCTCGCGGTATTCGTGCTCCAGGGTCCTCCTCATCGTCTCGGCCCACACAAAGTGGTCCTCGGCTTGGTGTCGAAGGCTGCCGGAATCCCACATGAGATAAACCTTGGCATCAGTTGCAGGGTTTTGCTTAACGCGAAGCGCATCTCCTGCGGTGCCGCATCGAGGGCGATGGAGGTAACGCCCGTGAACCCGGCTCTCCACTGTTTCCTTCCACCCGTGAAGCGACGGGTCCGGCTGTATACCGTGGCCGCCGGCAAAAGCTAGGTTGCCCACGACTAGGCTGCCATCATGGTCGCCCTCGAAAGTGACGGTGAGATCGATCTGCCCAAGAGCCCATACGGACCAATGCAGTGTGGATGGACTGTCAGAAGAATACTGCCCGCGAGCGATGGGCTGGTCGAGGTCAAACTTGCACACAGACTCATGCTGCGTGTAAATGTACCAACAACACACGGAGTTGGGAGAGATGACGAGGCGAGCGGAGCTGTTGATGGCGTTGTAGCAGACGGTCACAACCTCAGTAACTTTGATGGCGTCAAGGTAGTAGACTGGATTGCTTGTTAGAATCTCCGAGACGACCCGTCTATAAGTTGGATCGATAACGGACTGCAACCCGTGGTTGACAGTAACAAGCGGGACGGGCAACAGAACGGTCTTGGGTAGAAGGCTCCTGAGGTGAGCTGCGTCATTCTCGCTCGACCTTTTGGAATCTGCGTCCTCCCTGCGAGCATAGTGATGGGTTGGGTTCCCGTAGCAGGCAGTGCAGGCAAGCGTGCCGCAATGTGTGCATATGAAGCGCTTTTCTCGCGGGTTGCGCTGCAAACAGAAGCACACACGCACCATCCTCCTCGCGACAGTGAGGAGATCTTCAATGACAACCGTAGCGATGTCGTCAGCAACTCTCGGTTCTGGCAGCCGGTCAGTCAAGAGGCCTGAACCCAAGTAGAGATCCCGGTCTAGAGCGGTCGATTGATCAAGCGGGTCAAGCATCTCTTTTGCGGCCTTGGAAATGCTGTCAAGAAGAACCAGGGTAGCGGCGCCGACGACGGTGACCGTCATTGCATTCCCCGCCAGATCCCGTAGCTGAGCCTGCGTTTCCGTCGATATGACCAGTTCATCCGCCGGCAGGCCCTGGAGCGCCAGGGCCTCGATCCCGGTAACGGGGCGCATCGAGTCTGTGAGGACGGGGATGCCACTGGGCGTGATGCACCCGATGATGCCCAGCTGCAGATTGACCTCTCGAGATTTCGGCTCGCCGCCGACGGGGAGAAACTTGTTGCTGCGGTCGATATTCTGGCTCACGTCCGCCAGCATTGTCTTGTAACCGATGTCCACATTGTACTTCCTGCCCGCGGCGAAGAGTATGTCCATGGAATCGACGACTCTGGCGCCCAGCCTATCCCAGAGCCGCTTCCAGGAATGAGAAGGGTATGATGCATAGATGAGGCGTCCGTTGCGCATAGCTTTAAGACTGAAAGGGTTCTCGTCTAATAGCAGACCGTGTCTCCGCCGCTCGTCAAAGTGCCGGAGCGAGGAGAAGCCCCAGTCCGTGTTGGGGTATGGGGCCTTGGCTTCCATGTCAGCTTTGGCTTGGATCGTGGCCGGATCGTCCGGTGATCCAAGAAAAGCAGACACGGGCGCGGAAGCCCGTCGTTTGAACCCAACAAGCGCGCGGCACCACTCGTCGGCGATTACTTTCGCTGTTTTGGTGCCGATTCGTTGGGCATCGACGGCAATCAGGTATCCCCGCTTCCGAGTCTGCGGCAAGTAAAAGTGCTTGGTGTCTAGTTTGACCGACCCGGCAACGTAGCCCAGTTTCGGGAATATGCTGTTCGTGTATAGATCCCATGGTGCGCCCAAGACGTTCTCTAACATGACCGTCTTTGGTCGGAGTTTGCTCACCAGCTTGATTGCGGAAAAGAAAGTCCTGGCTGACTCCCCGGCGGTCTTTGAGATGAGTTCGGGCAAGGCACTGTCCACGTCCTCTAGGAAGGCTTTGTCAAGTCCAACCGGCGACCCCTTTTCGATTGCTGCGGCAGTCAGGTGGCGATCGAGTGACGGCACTCCGAACTTCGGCTTGCTCATGTTCATGTTGGAATAGTCAACGCAGGAACAGCCAGCAAATAGGATGTCGATGTGTTCGGTTGGTATCTCGACTTTAGCGCCGCCAGCGGTTGTGCTACAACCCTTGTCAGTCAGTAGACTCTTATAAGCCAAGCCTAACATGCCGGGGGGTAAAGCACTTACGCTTGGCCATCAGAGGTGGCCAACTCGAACACGTCGCGAAAGATCAGAGTGTCGGCGCCAAGGTTACGGCGAATAAAGCCTTGCTTTTCTGGCTCGATTTCGCAGCTGAACAGGTGGTCGAACTCCAGAGCCATACCGAATCCTGCCACCTGCATGGCATCTTGGATCATTCTCAAGGCGAAAATGGGCGCGTCGGTACCCGAGCAAAGAGTGGCCACCTTCAGCTTTACTGGTTGCCCTCTCAGGGCGACGAATTTATCTTGCTTTACCATATCCTCGAACATGTCGCGGATATTGGAAATGGGCGGCGAGTTCTTGTCGAGATCGGCCTTCGGTCGACTGTCGGGCGTTTCGGACGAGCTTTCAACGTCTGGCTCATCCTCAGATATGGCCTCAGACATGGAATCTAGGTCATCGGTAGCCGTAGCCTTGCGACGAGAGGCCTTTCGCCTTTTGCTTGGGCGAGGACGCGACTCGGCATCATTACCTTGGCCGGAAGCATTGTCGACACGGCGAGCGCGCTTCGACCGGCTGCCGTTGGACACAGCAGCGGAGCGACCTCGCTTACCAGCCATGTCTGAGACTGATTGTTAGCATGATCGAGCCAGCGACCAAGCGACCAGACTGGGACACGGCTTCATACCTGATGCTCTGGGGAAGATGACACCAGCGGGGTCTGGGGAGCGAAAGGCTCTGGCTCAATGTCTGAACGAAGCAGAAGAGAAGCAAGTGGTCAGGCAGATCAGTGGAAGACTAAGGCCGAAGAGTCAGCTATGAATAGCCGCGCGAGGAGATGGGTAAGTGTCGCGTACCTGGTGAGGTGGATTTTCTGGTGAGAAGTTTCTGCGAGGAATTCAAGAAGAGGGCAAGCGTGGAGGAGAAGAAAATCAGTCGTGGAATGTGACTAGGGCAGCTTCTCCCACAAAGTGAAATTCTTCCGGGATCAAGCGGGGTCTTGAAAAAAAGCGGCTGATGAAGGAAACGTCGAGGGCGAGGGGCGAGGGGCGTGTGTGGGTGAGCCGCCATCACCAGCCGCGTCGTGGCCGGGATGGGGCTCCGATGGACGAGGTGAAAGTGCGGCTCAGGGGTCCGGGTGAAGATGCGGCTCGGCGTCCCGGCTGTCAATATGCGGCACCAGGGGCCGAGGTGAGGTGCGGCTTACCCGGGGCATGCGAGCCCCGGCGTGCCCCTGAGACGAGCTAACACCTCCATACATCTAGCGGCCGCCCTGTGCACGAATTGTTCCTGGCAGAACACAGTGTCACCCTTCCATACATGCCGCATGCCAGATTAGTAAATAAGCGGTGATGTTACTCACGCCATAGGGTTCCCATGTTTGGGTATTGATAGTCAATGAGTCGTCACTGATGAGCAGTCCTAAGCCAGCTTGTGGCGTGAAAGTAGACGCACGACGTGTCCGGCGAGATGGCGTGGCATGGACAAGGCATACCTTCTCCGGTTGTGGGCAAAGAGAAAGCATACAGAAAAATGCGGAATCTCTTTTGCCCCTTTTCCCAGTGCAGCATACCTTGGAGCCATGACTGGGAGCAAACACACGGGGTGCTGCCTGCGTCTCGTCTTTGAATTTGAAAGCGCCAACCTATAGGAGGACCTTGGCCATGACAGTGTTTCACCCAAGAGCTACAAGCGGGCGGCCATTGAAATGCCCAGCAAAGAAGCTGGGACACTCAAAGCTTGCAATAGAATATGGCCGGCTTGTTCCGCAGCCAGGGCCTAGGATTCAAGTTATCGAGTTGAGGCCAGCCATGCTCATGGACTCATGGAGTCTTTGTCGTCAAACTGAATCATCGCAGCATATGGATGTGCTTTGGCCTGTCTCGACCTGTGGACGGTAATTTGGCACCATCTTGATTCCCACCATTGAGCCGAACAGCATTGCCGAAGGCGAGATAACCAGGAGACAGGACGCGATGATAGTCTGTTACTTTGGGATGTCGTTGCGAACGACGGCCGTTGCCAAGACTCGTGTGGTTGGGATGTGCCCATGTGGCTGCCTGCCTGGCTGCGTTTGCGGCGGCGGCAGGTGCTGTGGCTTGATCTAATTATGTAATGGCAGGCCCCGAAGGCCCGGGCCGGTCATCGGCGAACTGATGGATCCGAGTTCCAGACTTGTTCGTATTGATCAGACTACTGCTGCCAAGCCAATCACTCCGAGCTGCCAGACTCCGTGTTCCTGTCTCCTTTTATCGTTGGGCACCCCAGGCGCACTTCTTGATTATCAATTTACCACCGAATGTTGACTTGTAGATGGAAGTGACAGTGTGACACTAGTTCCTGCCCTTCGTTTATATATTTGCAGTGCTTTCCGTTTTTGCACCCTTTGTTGGAGGCAGCGTCGCTCGTCAACACCCCAAGGAGTCAAGAGATACCTGGAGAAAAGGATGGCGCCAAGCCTCGTGCCTGTCGATGCTACCAACCAATTCCAGGATCTTTCTGGTGTCCAAATCAAGCCTGGCGAGAACCCATACAATGCTCTCATCGATGCCTGTCATGACCATCCAGTAAGTTCTTTCTGTCAATACGGTATACTGAGGATGAGGGAGGACTTGAACTGTGAGGAGAGAAAGGAAATTTGAGATTGTGCAGTCATGGCGCAGTTGGCAGTGTTCAGAGGATGCTCTCTCCCTAGAGCGAGTACACACCCTTGAACGCCAGTCATTGTCCTTAGCAACCATGGCAACGGGTGCTGGTGCTGGGATGAAGCCTCCCTAGGGCAGCTTGGTAAAACAGGCCGAGCGTTTCGTTCATCAAGTGCTAATATGGAGGCGCTGGTCAGGCTGAGATTCAGGCTCGGTATGCCACTCATCGTGTAACGAGAAACGCTCAGCAGCGGGACAAGTTCTTGTCTCCCGAATTCAAAGAACTGACCATCGACCCCTATCTTTTGCGGTTGGAGAAGCCCGAGATTGAACCTGGCTTCAAGGATCCCCGACACTGTTTGGTAGTCTGGGCAAGACCGCCAGACCACATTCTCAAGCTGGCCTCATATCTGCAGAATGCCCTGAAGAAAGCAGCACCAAGTAGGCCCGCCTAGCCGTTTTCAGACTGTACATGTACCACATGCTCAAGACAGCCATTGACACACGCCGTTTCATAGACCTCTGGCTCATGCCGGCACACCGCATGCATCTCACCACCCTGGAGGTGGCGCATTCGCAGACGCCCGAAGTAATTGAAGGCCTGGTCTCAACCCTGCGCCCGGCGATTCCCGACTTGACGGGGCTCTCGTATACACGCCGTGCTCGGCTGGTCAAACCGTTGCTGTCGTACGACCTCTCCGCCATTGCCGTGTCCTTCCTGCCAGCCGCAGGAGAAAAAGTGGTTTCACCACCTCCGGCACCGCCGCACCCAGCAGATATACCTCATCCCGGGATTCCGGACGGGGCCACGGGCGAGACGGACCGCTACACGTACCATCATCTCCGACGAGACGTCTTCGAAAAGGCTCGGGCAAGTGGCGTCGACATTGCCTCGCGCTATGTTGTCCCCAGCGCACACATCACGCTCGGGCGCTACCTCACCCAAGAGGACCACAACACGCCCGAGCTGCGAGAGCGCTGGATCCGGACCATCGAGGACATCAACAACTGGCTCGAGAAAGAGGTTTGGCCTGCCAAAGACGGCGAATTCATTGGCGAGTGGATTGTGGGACAAGAGAGAGGTCTCGATGCCCGCTGCGGTGCTCTCTGGTACGGCGGGGGGCGGACCATCATGACGGGAGAAGGGTTCTGAGTTGTCTCACAGCTGTGCCACTGACGCCTCTTTTGGTTAGCATGGCGCACTTCCCCGCAAGATGGTAGCAAGCATTTCAGCATGAATAGATCAAATAGAGTTAGGATCGCGTTTCCATATGATATATAGATCAAATTTAAAGGGGGAAGCCCAAGCAGGCGGTTTATGTGCTGTAAGAGTGTTAAGTCATCAGACTCCGTTCCCCCGAGCCCCGTAAGTCCGACCTGAACAGTGGAGACTGTGAGAGTCTGAGGGAAAGGTACGGACTACGGAGTAGGAAGTCCGAAAGCTCCAATCCAGCTTTCCTCAATACCTGCCCCTGATAGTAGAGTCCCTTATGCAAGGCAAGGTGGTGTGTACTGTATTGTACTGTATTATACCTGATTACTGAGCTTCCTTACTAGTGGGTTCAAGACGTTTGCTGTCTTGGCACGCACTCGCAGATGGGCACCTGACGCTCGGGCAATTCTTAGTACCTAATGCTGCTGTGGGGCAATTGGCAGATGCGGGGAGTTAGCCGGCCACCCGCTGATCCATCCTGCTAAGACAGAGCTCCGTACTGTACATTACACACCGTGACAGATCCCCGCGCGCCCTCTGCATTACCTCGAGTGTTGGAAGCTTGCAAATGCGACAAGCTCCTTTGGGCTGATCCGTAGCTCAGATCCATCACCAACCGCTGCTGCAAAACAAAACCAATTCGTCATTTGGCGACGCACTCAGCGTTGCCCTGCTTCGCGATACTTCATCGAAACGCAGACTGGGACGTACGGTATCTTGCTCAACCACGCGCGAATCCCCAAACGACGCTGCTGCTGCTGATGAGAGTGGAGGTGGCAATTCACACAACGCTTTGGTCGACTGCAAGAATCTGAGCAGCGAGGACGAGTCGGTTGCATCCATCACGCATCACATCGCATCGTATCCCATCCCATCGAAGCGACCATCCTACCGAATCGCCCATCCCCTCCGGGGCATCCTCGATTTTCTGTCTGTGCCCAGCGCAACCGAGTCATTGGCCGCCGACGTGTCCCTGAAATTCCCGTTTCTGCTATGGTTAAACGGCGATGCTCACGCACGGGAGAGGATAATCTGATGGGATCTTGATTGTACGTGGCGAACAAGAGCGATTCGTCCCAAGAAGCCATTTTGCTGCCTCGGAGGGCGCACATATGTGCCGCCTGGCGGTCTTGGTCCCCTTCCAGGGTTTTATGAGCCTCAATTCGTCGCAAGCCCTTCTCCCGGATTGCCGCATATGCCTCGAGAGCGGCGGTTGACGAGCTCGCTGCCGACCGCCATGGATGCGAGGTCCTTCTCCCAGGGGAGCAGTTCCCACAGTGGCGCCGTCTCCCCCCTTCCTGACCGGCTGACTCAGGGTCCGGCACTCTCCACAGTTTCCGAACTCCCATCGTCGCGCGGTGCAGAGAGACTCTCCACGGGCAGCTACCTCGGGACCCCTAGACAAGGTGGCGCTGGTGTGCAGAGCACCATCAGAGCTGTGACACCCGAGATAGCCGATGTCACACTCAGTGGCTTGGAAGGCGCTGCCGGAACCACGCCGCTCAGCGTCGGCTCCGTGCCGACCTCGCCAAGGTCCATGCCCGCCGCTCCGGCCGGCTTGCCAACCAGACGTCAGGGCGTGGTGTTCCACGACACTTTCCCCGGTTCTCTGGCTGGGGCCCCGTCTAGTCCCCCGCTGCGGCCGCCCTCCTTCAGACCTAGGACTCATACCATGGACGGTGCTCTCCGGCAGCACCTCACTCCTGGCATCGAGGCGCGCCATCGGGTCGGCTCCTTCTCCTCGGCCGCCTCTCTTTCAATCGCCGACGACCATCACAGATCTCCCAATGCTCAGTCGCAGCTTGATTCGTACAAGTCCGCGGATCTGCAACCGTCCACTGCTTCCTCGCTCCCCAAGGATAAAAAGTCCTCTGGTGCCAGGAGTCGCTTGACCAAGCGGCCGCTGTCCCGGCCCAGCTCACCTCTCTCGTCACTGCCGCCTTCCGTAGATTCCCTGCCTCTCCCTATACCTACTGCGGATGCCAACAGGGTGTTGCTTTTGATGAAGAACCTCTGCGGGAGAATGCGCGGCGAGATCGAGTACCAGAGGGACACCGATGGGCCTTGGTATGGCGGCGTGGGCTATATCGAAGAGGAGAAGGGGAGCTTGATGTTTGACCCCGGCGAAAGCGGCCCTTTCCATGTCACCCTGGTCTCTGACCTTCGCGGGTGTCGAGTTGTCCCAGTGGAACGGCCCGACAGAGCCTATCAATGCCTAGAGATAATAAGCGCTTCACCTGGCGGGGTGCTCTTCATACAGCCGCTGGTCGCTGAGGAACTAGACCTTTGGCTGGCCGCGTTGCTCTGCTGGCAGCAGCTGCGGCCCGCCGGCGCCAAACTTCCGGTTGCCCGTCCTGCCGAGATGAAGCGCCGCGTCTCGTCACCCGGCCTCCGGGAACAGGCCGCAATCATCAAGGTTGGCAAGGTCATGCTTTGGGACAAGGGAACCGCGACATCTCCCCGCGCCATCGTAAAGCGGCCGTCGACGCGTGATCTGAGGTCTTCGCAGACTGGCTGGAGGAGGGTGTCCTGCATCCTTCACGACAACGGCGAGCTTAAAATTATGACAGAAAACGATGTAACGGTGCTGTCGTTGATTGAGCTCTCGCAGCTCGCGCGGCCGGCCATCCAGCAGCTCGACAGGTCTGTCTTGGACGAAGATTTCTGCTTAGCCATCTTCCCCATCTACGCGTCTACCTCGACCCAGCTGTCAATATTCAGACCGATATATATATCCTTGGAATCCAGGGTGTTGTTTGAGGTTTGGTTTGTGCTGTTGCGTGCTTTTACCATCCCGGATGTGTACACTTTGGACCCTACCAATGGGGGGCGAGTTTACGAGGTGACGGATCTGCAGGAGGAACCGGCCGGGGAGATATTCAGGGTAGAAAAGACCGTCTCTCTCAGAGTCACCGAGGCCAAGATTCGACACCGGTCTCCGACCGGTGAGGGGGTTAGCACTGCTGAGCGCAACGGGAAAGCATCCGAGTCCGACCCTACCGTTGGCAACTATCTAGCCGAGGTCATACTCGACGGTGAGGTGCGCGCGAGAACGGCGACCAAGATGGATACAAATAATCCGTTTTGGCGTGAGGATTGCGAGTTTCTCGATCTCCCTGCATCGCTTCCCTATCTCTCGGTGCTTCTAAAGAGGGTCGATGGCAACATGGACAGCTTCAGTCATCAGCTACAGGCCACACTAGGTTTGGCAAAGACTGGAAATATCACAGAAGTGCTTTGCGGTTCTGTCGACATTCCGCTGCACCAGTTGGATCGCGGAAAGGATCACGAGCAGTGGCTCCAGATCTGGGACGACCGGCAACAATCCGTCGGGTCCATGCTCGTCAAAGTCCACCATGAAGAGCTCGTAGTGCTGCTCCAAGAAAACTATCAACCGCTCGCCGAGCTCTTGCACCGATTCAGCTCCGGGTTGACCGCCCTGATCACCGAAGCACTGCCCGGCCGCCTGCGCCGGGTTGCCGAGATTTTTGTAAACATTTTCCAGGTCTCAGGTACCGCAGGCGAGTGGATCATGAACATGGTTGAGGAAGAGATTGATGGCATTGGGAACCAAGCGTCGTTGAAGAAGCCAAGGTTCAGCAGCCGTCTCAGGTCCAGCGAGTCGATTGAGTCCATCAGCGATCGGGAGCAGATCGTTCGTGACCTGGGCAAGTCGCTCCAAGGCGAGGCCAACCTACTCTTCCGAGGGAATTCTTTATTAACGCAGGCTCTGGAGTTCCACATGCGTCGACTAGGCAAGGACTACTTGAGAGAGACGCTTGCCTCCAAGATCAACGAGATCAGCGAGCTTGAGACGAGTTGCGAGGTGGACCCTAGCAAGGTGCATCATAGCGAGGACATCCAACATAATTGGAAGCAGCTCATCCAGCTGACTTCGGAGCTCTGGGACTGCATCGCCTCGTCGGTTGATCGTCTGCCCCCCGAGCTCAGGCATATCCTCAAGTACATTCGCGCCGTCGCCGAGGACCGCTATGGCGACTTTCTGCGCACCGTATCCTACACATCGGTTTCGGGCTTTCTATTCCTGCGCTTCCTATGCCCGGCCATCCTGAATCCGAAGCTGTTCGGCCTTCTGCGCGACCATCCCCGTCCCACCGCCCAACGCACCCTGACGCTCATCGCCAAGTCACTCCAGGCCCTTGCGAACCTGTCAACCATCGGCAAGAAGGAGACATGGATGGAGCCCATGAACCGCTTCATCAACGCCCAGCGCCAGTCCTTCAAAGACTTCCTCGACGCCGTGTGCGCCATCCCTGCCGATCGCACAAAGGCCCCGCCGCCTGCGTCTTACTCGACCCCGATCGCCATCCTCAACCGCCTGTCGCCTCTTGCGCGGGAAGGTTTCCCCTCGTTGCCATACCTCGTCGATCACGCCCGTAATTACGCCCTGCTCGTTAAGCTCTGGGCAGATGCCCACCCTCCCTCGGCAGGCACATCCCAGGTGTACGAAGGAGACCTGCTCAAGTTCCACACGCTGTGCGTCGACCTACACCAGCGCGCCATGGAGTGCTTCACCCGCATTGAGAGTTTGCGCGCGGCGGCGGCGGCCGCCGAGGTGGCCAGCCAGGCGGGCGGCGCTGCCGACGATCAGCTAGCAGACGTGATGGACCGTATCAGCCTCGGCGGAGAGACGAACCTCGGCATGTCGTCGGCCAACGGATACGGATATGCATATGCATATGCCAGCAGTAACACTCTCAACAGCACCGCATCAACTTTGGCTGAGGGAGGAGGCCGTTACTACAGTTACCGACCCGGATCGCCCGGGGGCAGCGACCGCGACCCAGATGTCTCTGGCGGCGCACCCCTCTTCCTCGCGAGTCCCAGCGGCACTAGTCACATTCACAGCCACTGTGGCAAGGACGGCCACCAGTACTCCCACCCCTTCCACCGCCACGTCTCGGCGTCATTTTCGCGGAGCAGCGAGATTCTGCCTAACCAAAGCAGCAGCAGCAGCAATAGCGCGGCGACGCGCAGCCTGCGCAATGGGATCCACCCGCGCAAGCTCCTCAGCGGCTTCATCCGAAAGACGGCGCGGATGCCCCTGCCAGAGTTTTCTGCTCCCCCGCCTACTTCAACTGTTGCTACTACTGCTGTGGCGCGAAGCGGGACAAATTCCTCAATCACATCCCCAAACCCGAACCCTAACCCAAATCTCTCGCCGGTTTGAATGGGCAAGGAGCAGCAGCAGCAGCAGGATCGGGAGCGCGACAGGGAGAAAGAGAGGGCTACTACCTAGCCATGCCTTTCACGGGAGCTCCAATACCATGATATCAACCACGGGCGGGTGACAGGATGCTGTCTTAGACGGGCTTGGGAGTGATGAATTAGCAGCCTACAGAAGGACGAGGACGATACGAGGACGGGCAGCGTGCGCCCCTCAGAACCAACGCAACGAAATCATCGAATCACAACATGATCGAACAAACGCCATCGATGGCAAAAAATCGCGTACATACATACACCATACAGCCCGGTACTAGACCGATACCCTCTGGATTGGATACTACGTTAGGATAACGACACGCTCTCGATTCTTTGGGGTGGCAAACAGTCATGAAACGGTTGTTGGTGGCGGCAGCAGTTGTAGATAGGGCACATGGGAGGAGCGGTGACATTTTTGGGTTTTCTGGGCTGTGCTGCGCGACTAGCTCAGAAAATAGAGAATCTTTTTTCTCATTTTTGCTATCAGATATCAAAGGGGTGATGGATAGGCAATACCCGCCCATCGGTTAAAAAGCCGGTGTTCTCCCAGCCTCCGATAACGCCACTCCCATCTAGCTACCCTTGCCTGTCATTCAGCAGTTTTAGCTGAAGAATTTCTTGTAAGCTGCCTTCTCCTTGGCAAGTCTCGCGGCGGCCGCCTTCTTGACGGCAGCAAGTTCCGCGGCAATGGCCGCATCCTCGGGGGCGAGCTTCTTCGCCTCCTCCAGACTCTGAAGGGCCGAGTCCTCGTCCTTCAAGCGCACCTGGGCAAATCCGCGACGGTAGAGCGCCTTGGCCTTGTCCTTATCTGAAATGGTGGTGACGGCAAGGGCGTTATTGGCCGCCTGGACGGCGTCAGCCCACGCATTGAGCTTGATGTTCATCAGCGCCGCATTGCTGTTGAGAGAGACTTCGAGGACGTCCAGCTTCGTTTTGATGTCGGGCTGCTCGTTGTCCAGGTCGGGATCCTTGTCCAGATACCGCAGGCCCTTCTGGTACTTGTCCAGGGCCACGGGGATATTGCCTTCCTTGAACGCCTTGTTGCCAAACTCCTTGCAGTCGCTCGCAATCTTGAGGATCTGCACGGGCGAGAGGACTTCGTCTCCGGTCACCTGGTCCTCGGGGAAGTCCTCGTACTCATCGCCGTAGGCGTCGGCGACCTTGGTATCGGCGGCCGCCGCGGCCTCCTCGGCTGACAGCTCGCCGCAGTCGGCAATGACGGCATCTTTGGTGGGCTTGGAGTCCTGCGTCTTGAGGTTCTCGATCTTGCGCACGACCGACTTGCCGCTGAGCACCTGGCCAAAGACAACGTGCTTGCCATCGAGGTGAGGCGTAGGGACGGTGGTGATGAAGAATTGCGAGCCATTGGTTCCTGCAACCCCGACCGCGAAACATGGTTAGCAGTCTTCCTCCTCTCTTTGGAGAATTGCTGAACGGAAAAGCACATATGTCACATACCGGGACCGGCATTGGCCATGGACAGAAGGAAGGGGCGGTCGTGCTTCAACTCAAAGTTCTCATCCTCGAACTTGGCGCCATAGATAGACTCTCCACCAGTGCCATTGCCGGCTGTGAAGTCGCCGCCCTGGATCATAAACTCCTTGATGACGCGGTGGAAGATGGAGCCCTTGTAGTGCAGCGGCTTGCCCTCCTTGCCAATGCCTTTTTCGCCTGTGCACAGGGCACGGAAGTTCTCGGCGGTTTTGGGTACAATGTCATTGAAGAGCTCGAATGTGATGCGTCCAGCGGGTTGCTTGCCAATGGTAATGTCGAAGAAGACGCGGCTTCGAGCCTTCTTGGCTTCGTCGCTGCTCATGTTGTCGGCTTGAAGTGAGGGTATCGAGTGAGACAAAGATCGAACTAAAGGACTTTGTGAGATGGGGCGACCTGCGAAGGCCTAAATGAGGTGGTCAGTGTGAATGTTGATAACGTAGTGATTTGGTGCTGAGACCTAGGGACTTTGGTCGATCGATCCGGTTTCGAATGCGATTAACCTACCTCTTTACGGCTCTAGGTGGATTTATCTACTTTCTTTCAAAAACACTCTTTGTGGCTTTGCTAATGCAGCACCGAGATAGCTGAGGCCTGTGAACCGTGGTGGTAAGGGAAAATGTAGTTTAGAATTGGGTGTTGAAGCAGCTGAGAAGTGGAAGTGATTACTGGAACGCGAAAGAACGGCAAACGGTGAGAGTTTGCGACTGATTTTAGTGTGACCAGCACCTGCAGCTTCCTCCCTCGCCGGCACACCTACGATGCTTCTTGAAGCTTCGAAATGGCGGGGCAAGCTGTGTTTCGTGCTGGGGTTGAGGGGCATTGGTGCGGGGCGGAAGCAGGGACCCTGAGCCCCGGTACCCTAACCCATTGCGAAGATAGTGTCGGGTGGGTCCTCGAGATGGGAGCGCCGTGCACGAAGTACCTGTCACCCTATGCACTTCCTCAAACTGGAATTGGGATCCATCAAGGACTCGGAGCTGGACAGTGACACAGGGCTGAGCATAGAGCGTAAACCATAATTCCTCAAGGAAATGTTCCTTCAAGTTATTTCTAAGTATGTTTGCAGTATACTTAGCATCTGATGATTGACCCATGTAGCTTTGCTCTCAAGCTTACCTCGCAGTTCCTGCCTTCCGCTGTCGCAGGCTAAGCAGGCAGGGTCTTCTCATTCTTAAGATCGATTATTACTTCGCCTCCTCCTGCGGCTTTCATGCTGATGCCTCACCGCCGCCTTTCACCTTCTTGTCTAGGCCATCCTGCCTTGGCGTCGTCGATACCTCGAGTGTAACCTTGCTGACAGTCAGCATTATCTGCAGGAAAACAGGACGGCATGAGGCAAGCTCCAACCGGGCCGTCGTTGACCAATGCAACCTGCATCATGGCCTGAAAGACGCCGTCTTTCACTCTGTCCGCTGCGTAGCCTTCCTGCACTTTGCGATAAAAGTGCTGATACAGCCTCTTTGCGTCTCCTCCACCCATTGCCCCGTGGAAGTCCGGTTTGCTGCCCCTTTTTGTCGAGGCGAGAAGTGTGAATTGAGACACTGTGAGCACCTGTTAAAACATGCACTATTGAGTTTCCAACACCGATTTAGAGCTGCTCACCGCAGAGAACTTCACCGTTGATGTCTTGAACGCTCCTCTTCCACTAACATGGCTCGTCAGAGCTGGACGAGACGCACTAGGGGTGAGGTTGTGCAGGGACCATACACGACCTCCTGATTCATCGTCCCATAACTTCAACTTCAACACCTTGGCAGCAAGAGATTCAGCCTCCTTCTCAGTGTCACCAGGGGCAACAGCAGCAAAGACGAGGACACCTTTGCCGATGGACGATATGAGTTCCTGGTCCACGGTGACTGAGGCGGAGAGAACGCGCTGAAGAATGGCTGTAGTCGCGGAGTTAGAGAACATCACAGGTTCTGAGTCTCTGTAGCGTTGCACACGGACCTTTCATGTTGGGCTTTCAAGGGAGTTCAGGTCGATTGCCTGAGCTACGGGAAACAGAAAAAGAAGCTACAGAACAGCCCAGTATTAGATGTTGCAATCCAATCCACATGGGCCATGGCACGCTACTCCGTAGGAGACTGCGCTACGAACATTTAGAAACGAGTTTATACTTCAGCCTAGAATGGCAACCTTGGACACAAGTTCCATGACAGAACGCCGCAAAAACTAAAATGTCGTAACATAGAAGCCAATTCACGCCCTTGCCCAGCTCTACAACTCGTCAGATAATCAACGGGCCATTTGATTGCTGGTAAGGTGCTGAACATCCGATGAGTTCCCCGGGTATATTAAAACAGTGGGTCTTAACCACTCACAGTTTGCACCCTTGCTCACCCAGCTCTCCTTCAATGAGAAGGCTGATGTCCAAAGAGCGTCCATCTAGTCCATCCACAACAAAGGTGTTAGTCTTAACGAATTAACCCACTTACTTTGGCTCTATGGCTTTGAGTGTAGAGGTTTTAGCACCAATGGTAATAATTTAGCATTCCATTGGTGTGCTCTAGAGGTGACTCCTTCCTGGAAACGAAGATAGATCCTCAAAAGGAGGTAATAGCGCCAAGCCGCTCTATCTCTGTGGCTAAGAAGATACCTTACACTACATGGCGAATCGCGGCTGTCACAGGCATGGCCGGCAGGCCATGGAGCCGCGCTCCCTTCCAAACTGTTGGTGGAGCTACTTTGATCCTATTCCGATCAGCCTCAACAAACCAGGGCAGCCAGTTTGACCCTGCAATCGAGCATTTCGGCCGATCATCTCAACAAGGGCAAAACGAAACGGACCGGCATTCGCCAGTTTGTCTTGAGCAGCGAGTCTGCCATTCTTCTACTAGGTAACTTTTCATTCGCGAATGACGTGTTGCATTCTTGAAAGTTTCGCAATTTCACTGACCTCGTATCCCTTCCCTCTATTGGCCTCAGCGCCCGATCGCGAAACATTGCACCTGTCGCCGTTCGGTCTCGCGACTCTGCAGCGAGTACAATTGGATCTGTCCCCGCCATCCGAGTCTTCGCTTCCCTCGCTTGCGGGACACCACCGACGAAATGGCGGCACGAAAACTCCAACAAGAAGTCGACAAGTGCTTCAAGAAAGTGGCGGAAGGCGTCACGGAATTCGAGGCCATTTACGAAAAGATTGAGCAGTCGACCAACCAAGCACAAAAAGAAAAGCTAGAGGACCAGCTTAAGCGCGAAATCAAGAAGCTACAGAGGCTACGCGATCAGATCAAGACATGGGCTGCAAGCAATGACATCAAGGACAAGGCTCCGCTCCTGGAGCAGAGGCGGCTGATAGAGACGGTTTGTGTTCCCTCGCGTCCTCAACTGGCCGTGCCGATGAACCGCTCAGGACACTTATTCGTGGCTCTAGCAAATGGAAAAATTCAAGGCTGTTGAGAAGGCTATGAAGACCAAGGCGTATTCCAAGGAAGGGTTATCGGCCGCTGCGAAGCTCGACCCCAAGGAGCAGGCTAAGATGGAGGCGAGCGAGTTCCTTAGCAACATGGTCGACGAGCTGGAGCAGCAAATTGAGACTCTCGAGGCCGAGGGTGAATCAATACAGGCAACCATGAAGAAGGGGAAGGGCCACGCCGCCAAGGCGGAGCGAATATCTGAGATCGAGCGCATCATCGAACGGCATAAATGGCACCAGGCGAAGCTAGAGCTGATTCGACGCTCGCTCGAGAACGGAGGCGTCGAGGCAGAACAGGTCAACGAGCTGGAAGAAAGCATCAAGTACTACGTGTCTGACGGCATGAACGAGGATTTCATGGAGGACGAGGGCTTGTACGACGACCTGAATCTGCAAGAGGAGGAAGATGCGTACGGCATGAACCTGGATAATGACAAAGGGTCGTCACAAGATACCCAATCCATACAAGACGACACGGCCGGCGATGCCGAGGCGAAAGCGGCGGCGGGCACGGCAAAGCAGCGTACAGCGGCAGACGCGGTGGCAGCGTCGGCTGCACGACGGCCCTCAACTCAGCTCAAGTCACCTCTACCGACGCTCGCGACGGTTCACAGTACTCCGCTACAGTCTGCCAGCAATGCGGGCAGCGTTCCTATGAAACCGGCGGCACCACCGACAAGGCTCGCGGGCGAGGGTTTGAAGTATGCCAGCGCGGCGGCAGCAGCGGCGGCAGCCGACAAGAACAATGTCGGCATTGCGCCGTTGCCCCCACCGCCGTCAACGACGCCGGGCGTTGGCGTTCCTGCACTACAGCCAGTGCAGGCTAGGACAAGTACAACCAACTCTCCAAGCTCAGTACCTATACAACCGGCGGTGCAGGAAAAGGCTTCTACCCCGGCCGGTGCTTCCCCAAGCGCGACAACAACAGCGACTCAATCAAGCAAGGCAGCATCACGAGGCAAAGCACCAGCACAGGCTGCCGCACCCCAGACTGCCGAGTCATCATCAAAAGGTATGAATGAACACTCCATGAACCGTCTCGTCAAGCTACTAATACAAACGATGCGAATTAGCGCAATCAAATGGGACAGCGAACGGCATCAGGCCGATTGAGGAAGAGGATGAAGAGGAAGAGTCGATATACCATCTCCCTGCGTCCCTGCATGACCTCGTTGAATCCTTCGAAATCACGAGGAAACGCCAGGTGCCGTTGAGCGCACCTGCGACGCAGAGAATGCAGGCGGCAGCCGAGGCTAGCAAGCCGGGCGCTCTTGACGCCGAACCACCACGAAGCTACTTGCCGGATGTAAAGTTCCATTCACATGCACGGTTTCCGCAAGAACCACTAGCGATACTCGACGACCCCCGGCTCTATACCCGGATCGACCCGGACACGCTCTTCTACGTCTTCTACTACAAGCAGGGCACCTACCAACAGTACCTGGCCGCAAAGGCACTGAAAGACCAGAGCTGGAGATTTCACAAGCAGTACCAGACGTGGTTTCAACGACACGAGGAGCCAAAATCGATTACCGAGGAGTTTGAGCAAGGGACTTATCGCTTCTTCGATTACGAGAGCACATGGTGGGTTCCCCGGCGTCTCTTGGCTGCTATTTGCATGCCCACTAACATGGCGATAGGATGAACCGTAGGAAGGCCGACTTTAGGTTCGCCTACAAGTTCCTCGAAGACGAGGTGTGAAGCTTTCTTGTTACCGGGGACGACCAAACTCGTTGGGTTGACCGCGGGGTGAGGGGAACTCTCTTGTACGTACGTACAGTATGTAGGTTGGTTGGGCTTCTGCGTTCAGTATCGGTAACGCTCTGATTCTCCCGTGGCGGGCCCCCGCCGGCTGACGGGTCCGCCATTGTGCGTTACTAGCAAATTTAATCATGACGGCAGTTTGCCTCTGCATCGTTCGAGCCCCCCCTTTTGTCATTCGGAGAGATACGGACTCGATGGGATTGACAGCCTGCCACAACAACCGCCTAGCAGGAGAAAGATAGGGTTGTTCGGTGGCAGGGCACGCAGGAAGCGGGGCCGTCACAGGTCCAAGCCATGCTTTTCTTTGCCCAACCTTGTTCGCTTCATGACATGGTCGTATCGAGATATTCTTGAGCGGCCAGCAGGACCTGTCATCGCCTCCTGGCTGGGGTTGTCAATCCACCGGGATAATTCCCGGTAAGCGACCTGTGTAACGCCCTCGAGTACAGTATGCTGCAAGAAATCCGAGCGGCGGGTCGAAGCGCCCTGGCGCTTGCCGTTGGGGCACCCGGCAGGCAGGCCGTGTCGGTACCGGATCTGTAGACCGGGAAGTTGGGGTTAATTGGAGGAGGAAATCCGTCAAAGCTGTCTGGAGTTCGGCGGGCTCCGGGTCAAGGAGCCAACAACCTACATACCTACCGCCCTGTTTTCCTAGAGAGAGAGACGGCAACGGACGGCACTTGGTCATATTCGCTCAATTGTCCCGTCCGTCGGGAAGAGGAGCCACGAAAGACATTTCCAATCGTTCCATGGGAGCAAAGGGGGGCGCAGGGCAGGCGCAGCCATGCTTCACCATACCCACCTGGGTAAAGTAGTTGCGCCGTCGCTTAAACTGCAGGTGCCGTTGGGAATGGAAAAGGAACCGAGAGAAGAAAAGGCAGACGCGCCGTCCCATCAACTTCCAACAGGCACACCATATGCAGTTGTACTTGAGGCTTGCATAGTGTGTGTTGTCGGGCCTTGCCTGGGACGAATCAAAGCACTCAGTGCAAAGATCAACTCCGCACACCGAGAATTCGTTAGGTGTGCTGTGGGCCGAGAGTCTTGACCTTCCAGACACTTTTACACCCAACCAACCGAAAAAGTCGCAGTTTCCTTGATGCAGTTGTCCACGGTCACACTCCGTAGCGAGCGAATCGCGGGAGAAGCTCTTGCCGAATCCTGGGCTGTTCTCCAAGATGCGTTCCATTTCACTTCAATGGACATTGCAACAGTACATTTTGTGCTCAGCCGCACCGAGGAGAAGCAGCAGCATCTTGGTTTGTACGCTCAGTGCACCACATTACTGTACTGAGATCTTGTGCCTAAGGTGTGCACTTCTCCTGCCGCTCCCCGTGCAACGACAAAAGGGCAAGGGCCCAACATCGACCAACCGGCTGCCGATTTCGAGGCTGCCGAGGACTGCCAACACGGCTCAATCTCAGTCGTGGGTTGCACGGAGCAGGGGCCGTAAGAAGGGTCTACTATTTGGAAGTGCAAGCCATTTAGGTCTTGCCAGAACCCAACCCTACTCTATCTTTTGCTTCTTCTTTGCTTCTGATCCGCGAACCATGGTTGAAGATGGTTCGGCATTTCGACATTGGATTGGTTAGCTGCAGTCCCGCCGTCGACATGTCACATCGTCCACGAGGCTTTGCCACAGCCTCCCGGCTTTCTGTTCCTCCATTCTAATTGACCGATCGGAAGGCCGCAAAAGCTGGTCGCCTTACTTCCCCGATGCTAAACCTTATGACGCACCTCCTTGGATGTAAGCCTGCCAAGAGGATTAGTGCTGAAGGACAGACAAGCGAGCTCGTCTGAACAAGATTCCCGCGAGTACATCCTACCCAGATACACAATGTTGATACACACACCCACGGCTGAACCGGAAGAGCCTCCCCGTCGCTGCACGTCAACCAGGGACTGTACTATACAGTACACAGCCATCATCACGGTTGGGCCCGGTGGCCCCTCGGACCAATGTATTGTGATTCTCCCCCCTTGTGCTATTGCGCCCGGTCCCTTCCTCCACCCGTGGGTCCTTCGACCGAGGGGCTTGAATAGCGATGTTTGCGGGCCGTGGTCAATGGCATAGACATAAACCCCTTCAACGATAGGGGTTGGACTTGGATTCCTTCGACCACCGCTAGAACAATCCTGTCTAGCCCTTTCGGATATCGGTGTGGCGTCGTCAAGAGCCATGCCCAGACCAGCGTGACCTGGTGATCGTCGGACCAAAGTTGAGCCTCCTTGGCTGGGGTGTATGTACAACTTGAAGTTGTGCAGCATCGGGCCGGGGCATCTTAGGCCTTGTGTATTGTACCTGTAGAGCCTGCTTCGGGGTGGTCGTTACTTTGGGCCTCGATGTGTCAATGCAGACATGTACGGATGCACCCGGTGTCTGGACACCCCCATCCCCTAAGCCCAACCTATCCCCGTTCGCCTTACTTGGCTACGGCGAATTATGTGCCATTCCGCTTCACTTCACCGTGGTCCGGGACAAGATCCACCTTGTGAGGTGAAAGATATATGGTCCAAATGGTCCATACAGCTCTCTCATAGAACACTGCATCAACAGAGCAGCATGCACCTCAACCCATTCCACCCATCTACTCGCGATACCTTCTTGATCATCCCAACTCGGTACTAGACAGCACATCGTATACCTCTTTTTCTTGTAAGCCACTATCCGCTCTTGCTACACTTGTCTGACCTTTGACAAGTCTTAACTTCCTGTTGTGAGATATCCAGCACACGGAGGCTAACATCGACCTGCAGGAGCATTCGTCTTTTGTCGAGTGAAACCGGTGAACAGGACGGTTCACAGCGCGGCAGTAGCATACGCCCCTTGCAGTCGGTCATAAGGTGTTCTTGATGGAGGCATATATGTATCTTCCTGGCAATGGCTACGAGGGCATCACCTGTCAAGACGATCCATGGCCGGATTCAGCCAGCATGCAGAGGAGCAGCTCCCAGTCATCCAGTGCTTCCACCCTGAGCAGCAGCTATACGGCCAGCACTTACATGACGGATTATTCGTCTCTCGGCCAGCTGTCGCCTGTCGAGGACCTTGGCTGCCACGACCCGGCGGCAAGCTTGTACCAACTTCCATGTTCCCAGCCGCAAGACGCAGATCACCTTCTCTTGGCCACCGGGTCCCAGTATCAAATCAGTGACCAACAACACCTACCCCAAGCTCTGCAGCTTTGCACACCTTACCAGCTCTTTACGCACCTGGTCCCCAGCATCGAAGCAGCGGCTCGTCAAGCGACGGATCATGCAAGTCTCATGATCCAAAGTCAGGGATCGTATCTGCTGTCGGGTCTCCTTGTTGTCACATGCGACGTCGTCGACGAAGCGCTTTGGACGCTCCAAGATCAAGGACAGGATTCGTCTCCCCGGGCAGCTGTACAAGACGTCCTGTACCGACACCTCTATCGCCAGTTCAAGGATGGAGAGCAGTTCCAAGAGGACCCAAGCAGGACCCTGCGGGAAGCGGCCTACCAGCTTCAGCTCCGGCTTCAAGGCCCCAAGGTCCCGGAGATATGCTACTACGCCCTCCTTGCTGTATTGGCCAAGCTGGCCGAGGACCTGAGGGCTGAGCCCACGGAGGAGGAGGTGACCGGAGTGAAAGCGGTAGCGGCGGAAGAGGAGGAGGTAGAGGAACCAACAACGGTCCCCGGGTCTCCTGACGACGCCTTCTTCGACCCTTCACAGTAAGTAACCTACCTACTTTACCGTCTTCAAACAAACCCCCAACAACAGAGCGGAAACAACACACGCACCAAGAACAAGCCAATTGAGGCAGCAACCTGATGATGCTCCCCCATCGCAGACTCCCAACGACAGAAAAAGAACGCTACCCGTGCCTGATACCCGGCTGCAAGCAAAAGGGTTTCAGCCGGTCGGCCGACCTGGACAGGCACTACAAGATGGTGCACCTCGGGGAGGAGCACAAGAAGAAGTACGCGTGCGACTACAAGAAGTGTGCGCGGCACGATGCTCCCTTTTTCCGCCAGGACCACTTCCGTGACCACCTGCGCCTGTTCCACAAGGAGGACCTCCTCAAGCGCGGGTCGGGGGCGCCCGACCGCTCCTGGTGGGAGTCGCGCTCCCCGCGCGCCATGTTCGCCGGCTGGTGGCGCTGCAACCGCTGTCTTGTCGTCCGTGTCGACTATGAGAGACACGGCTTCGTCTGCCCGGGCTGCGGGAACCCCTGCGAGGCGGAACGACAGAAGTACAGAATGGCTGCGGCTGCTCAGGCTGCGCGCGGGGGTGGGCGGAAGTGAATCAGTTTCCATTTCTCCTTCTTTCCCTCCCTTTTCGCTTTGATTATCTTCGTTCATGGCGTTGGGTTGCCTATCTTACCTGCTACTCCCGGCTGATTGGGGCTCTCGCCCCCTAAGCCCCCGATTCCAACCATCGATGGTTCCGTCATGATGCTTTGAGTACTAGATGTCATTTTCTCCTGTTCGGCTGGTCTCCTGGATCGTTTGCATCGTTTGTCTTTTTCTCCCTTTTGCTAACTGCGGAACCCTCCTTGACGAAATGACATGACTACGACGATGACGAGGCTGAACCAAGTGACACAGTCTCTTGATGATACAGGGAACATATCTTTTTGCCTGTTTTCCTTCTTCGAATAATTTCCTTCAGGCGTCGTTCGGTTTCACCTAGTAGGACAGTTGCGGCGGACTAACATTTGTACTACTTACACTGAGGCTGCGAGGGCGCCAGGTCTCAGGCCAGACGGACGCCTCGCAGTTTCTGTCCCACGTTACTGAGGGGGGAAAGGGGGTTGCGAGACAGACAGAAGGGGATTCCCCCCCTCGATTGAGGTGGCACCGTGCCACTTTCAGCCCAAGGAGGGCTGTGTACCAACGTTGTACGTTACCTCGTCACGTCATATGATCATACAGACGATACCAACGATAGACTACTCCGAGCGGCGGGAATGCGGGAATGCGGCGGCTGGGCTGGCTGCGCAAGGGATGTATTTCATTAATCAGCTTTTTTGTACTTTGCAACGCTGGCGTTGTCGAGTCTTGGGTGGAGAGAGTCGAAGGTCTGGCTGGTGGAAATCCCCTGATGTTAGTATCGGTGGTGAATAGGGGAATTGGAATTTGTGTTGGAACTCATCGGGTGATGGACTGGTGGTCGTGTGCAGGGCACTGCACGCCGAGTCCACACTAACAGAAAAGGCGATCCGTCAGGCGGATTTGCCTGCCCATTAGAGGCCTAGTTTCTCCGGACAACATTGCAGGTCAGGAAGAGCGGATGTCTGTTGCTGGAATAGTTAATAGACTTCTTGCCTTGCTAATCCCAAATCCAGGCTGAGAAGTATCCGTAAATCTATATTGTCCCATTTGAATCGCCCGAGTCTCTAAAGTCTAAACCGTCCAAACTTTACCGTACTGTACCATCTTATCTCCGGCGCGATCCGCAATCGCCGCCGGCTCGGCTGTTGGCGCTTCGGCGTTCTTTCTCCGCGCTCTGGCCGACCCCGCAATTTCGCTGCTTGGCGTGCTGTCGAGCCCTGAACCGCCTGACTAGCCGAATCAAGTAACGTACGTGTAATCAATTACATTAGAAAACGCTTAGAATCAAACTTGTTAGGGAAAGCTCAAAGGACTCGATAGCAAACCTCATCATTCTCTATCAGCTCAGCTACTCAAAAACCAAGTTTCGGTCGTCATCATATTCTTGACCGCCTTGCTCGACCAGAGCAAGAAGCTCATCGTTTGAGACATGCTTTGCGGGATGATACATACAAACAAGACAGGGCGAATATGCGGGGAACTGCAGCACCCTTCCCACTGCAACCCCTCGTCCGAAAAGTTTTACCACATTGGTGACCAGTTTTGTGTTGTTGAAGGTATCTGCATAGCTACCGCAGCTTGTCTATGTTAGTATACATCTAGCGCATGCTCTGTTTACATGACACCAGATCTGATGCATAAGCTTCAGTACTAATGTACGTAGGTAGGTGCCAAAGCGCGTCATGTAACGTTGAGCTGTGGTAAGTTCTCTAGTGTTAGGCTGTAGCCTGTAATGCAGGAACTTGGAAGTTGGAGGAGGGAAAAATATTCATAACTTTCAATGTTAATACTCCGTACATAACCATACATACTGGCATCCCACTCCACTGCGCCGAGATGCGCCAATCCCTCACTTGCAGCATTTTTGCACTGCTGATCGCTCAGAAGTGGGAGGATAAAACAGAGAGTTAAAGAATTGCGCGAATTGAGCGCAACTTGCACAGACACGGACCGGAAACATTACAACCAAATCAGCCTCTAATCTAGGTAGGGTCCCTGCATCCTGTCAACTGAATTTTGCTTGTAGGCTCCGAACACGGCTGTGGCCGGTATATATCCTTGAACCGTCCTGCCCCAGACCGATCCAGCGACTTAGATATTTAACCAACCGTTTGCTAACCACTGCTGTCCTAGTCAAGACTTCCGACTTCCCCGCCGAGCAGAGCCGATCTTTGTGTGTGTGCTACACAACCTCTAGGTCTACGGCAGACACTGGGCATTCCCCAGTTCCAAAGGTTCTCGGCCTCACTTAAACTTCCTCTCTGCCGGGCACACTTACCGCGGCCCACCCGACGCATCCAATCAAGTGACAGGCGCTCATACGGCTGTTGTTCACTTCCTCGGCTTTCAATCGCCGGCCTCAGCTCCAATTGCACTCCTGACAGCCCGGTCCGGCTCTACCCGTTATCCTTATCATCGATCACCATGCCTCCCATCGCCACCTCGGCCTTCCGTGCCTCCTCCTCCTTCCTCTCCAGAACCGCTTGTTCTCGCACGCCGGTCACTGTAGCATCCCGAGCCGCTCCCGTCTTCCTCTATTCTCACATCAGCCGGCGCACCATGGCCACCAACGCCCCCGCCAAGATCAAGGTCAAGAACCCCGTTGTCGAGCTTGACGGCGATGAGATGACGCGCGTGATCTGGAAGGACATCAAGGAGAAGTTTATCTACCCCTACCTGGATGTAGATCTCAAGTATTACGATCTCGGTCTCGAGTACCGCGACCAGACCAACGACCAAGTCACCCTGGACGCCGCCGAGGCCATCAAGAAGTACTCAGTTGGCGTTAAGTGCGCCACCATCACCCCTGATGAGGCCCGCGTCAAGGAGTTCAATCTCAAGCAGAGTACGTAATGGAACACTTATACTCCCAGCACCAGACCTGAGGCTTAACAGCAAACAGTGTGGCTATCACCCAACGGCACCATCCGGAATGCTCTAGGCGGCACCGTCTTCCGTGAGCCAATCGTGATCCCCCGCATTCCTCGCCTGGTGCCTGGGTGGAAGAAGCCCATCATCATTGGCCGTCACGCCTTTGGCGACCAGTACCGGGCCAAGGACCTGGTTGCTCCCGGCCCTGGCAAGCTCAGCATGGTCTACACCCCTGAGGGCGGGCAGCCGCAGGAGATTGAGGTGTTTGAGTTCAAGAACGGCGGCGGCGTCGCGCAGACCCAGTACAACACGGACGAGAGCATCACCGGCTTCGCCCACGCCAGCTTCAAGCTGGCCCTCGACAAGGGTCTTCCCCTGTACATGAGCACCAAGAACACCATCCTCAAAAAGTACGACGGCCGCTTCAAGGATATCTTCCAGGAGCTGTACGACACGCAGTACAAGGCCGAGTTCGAGGCCAAGGGCATCTGGTACGAGCACCGCCTGATTGACGACATGGTCGCCCAGATGATCAAGAGCTCTGGCGGTTACATCATGGCTCTGAAGAGTTAGTGCCACCGTTGAAATTCGTGTCACCCAGTAGCAAACTAAGCTGACCACCCTGTGTCTTCAGACTACGACGGCGACGTACAATCCGACATCGTCGCACAAGGCTTCGGCTCACTAGGCCTCATGACCTCGGTACTCATCACGCCCGACGGCAAGACGTTCGAGTCGGAGGCGGCGCACGGGACCGTGACGCGGCACTACCGCGAGCACCAAAAGGGCCGCGAGACGTCGACCAACCCCATCGCCTCCATTTTCGCGTGGACCCGGGGCCTGATCCAGCGCGGCAAGCTCGATAATACCCCCGAGGTGGTCGCCTTTGCCGAGTCCCTCGAGCGCGCCTGCGTCGACACGGTCGACGTTGACGGCATCATGACCAAGGACCTCGCCCTCGCCTGCGGCAAGACGGCCCGCGAGGACTACGTCACCACGGGCGAGTACCTCAACGCTGTTGAGAGGAGGCTTAAGCAGAGCTTGAAGGAGAAGCTTTGAATGAAGTTCTAGATTAAGAGAGAGGCTCTCCCCGACGTCCAAAGTCCCGACGGGATGAGTTGATCTCTCCTGAACGAAGCGCAAGCCCGTCAGCATAATGGTGGGCGTTCGCGGACAGGTCCCACCCGAGATAGGCCACGGCTGCGCTCACGGCGTGTTGTGCAAAGATGGGGTTCATTGGCCAAGATCTTGGATGAGCGCGTACTTGCTTTGTCTGAGTTGCCTGGACCTGTTTTTGGCATAGAAGACAGCATATCAGCCATCGTCTCCTTGATATATACGCACATCTTGATTTGGGCACGGGAGGGGCGCTATTCCTTGCTTGGGTTGATCCAAACGCTACGCCTTGAGATCTAGGGTTGGAGATCTGAGATTCTGGGTTCCTTGTACATCTTGTATACAGTGCCGTTCATAAGACAGCCAAGAACATACCGTGAAGCTTACCATGTTGATTCGATCACTTTGACCGCGCTATGTTGGTATATTTCCCTAAAAGCCTTCCTAAATGCCACCATAATCATACACGCCTTTTCGGGTTCTAGCTGCTCAAGAAGAAGCGAGAAATAAGTTACGCTGGCCTGGAGAGAAGAAAATATGATACCCGTCGGTACACCATTGCCGATTACCTCGCCCTGATGCCGTGTATTTTGAAGAACACGCCGTTCATCATCTCGCCTTAAGTACCTTTTCTGCAGTGAGAACTCAATAGCTGCCAAATCAGCCATTACCACCAGACTTGCACCCCCTCTCCCCATAGAGAAAAGCCCTCATCATCAATGCCCCAGTGAAACACCAACCGACCCCTTTCCCTCCCCGGCAGCCGCACTATCCCCTCCTCCCGACTGCTGTGCGGCGGCGCTCTTCTTCGGCCGCTTCGCCGTCGGCGTGCCCTCCGCTGCACCTCCTCCCTCACCCTTTTCCTTTTCCTTGATTTTCTTCTTCTTCGCCGGCCGCGAGGAGCCGCCCTTGGGACGATACCCTGGGTCGTCGTCGACAACACGCTTGCGTTTCCCTCCTCCTCCACTCGACTTGGTAGCCGGCCCGCCCAACGTGCTCGGTGTCGCCACCCCTCCTGCGTACCCGAGTAGCTCATCGTCGAGATCATCATACGCCCCTTCAGCAGCAGCTGCTGCGGCGGCCGCGGCCGCTTTGCTGACCCGCTTGCTTCGCGCCGACCCGCCGCCAGCAGCGCCGCTCCCGCCTTTCGCGGAGGAAGAAGCGCGCTCGCTGGCTGCCGCCCCGCCAGAGGCTATCGCTCTGCGACGGGAGGAGGAAGGGGCCGGGTGGTCGTCCGGGTGGAGGTGGTGGTCTTTGCCCTCTTTGGCTTCTTTGTGGTGGTCCTTGTCCTTGTCGTGCTCGGCGTCCTGCAGAAAGGTCTTTGGCGCGTGCTTGCGCAGCCAGTTGTACACGGAGGTGGGGTTGCGGAGCGCAAAGTCGCGCTGGGCGTCCTTGCCGCTTGTGGCCGAGCCGCTGGCGTGCGCGAGCGGTGCCAACGTGGGTAGCAGGTCCGGTTTGGAGCTGGTGGTGTTGTTGTTTGATGAGGTCTCGTCGCCGGCACCGGCACCGGCAGAGCGCACGTCAATCTCCCAGATGTAGTTGTCAATGTCGTCGGCCGTGAGGAACGAGGGTGGATGGGCCTGCCCTTGTGCCGGGTCGGCCGGCGAGTCCCGCCCTGCTTCTATCTCCGCCAGCAGCTCCGGGAAGCGCTCGGCTGCCGAGGAAAAGGGCAGATGTGGCACCTCCCGCAGAAGCTCCTGGTATGACTTGGCTGGCACCGGTTCCGCGGGGGGGCGCCCGTCAATGTCGAGGAGCAGCGCGTCGTCGTCAGGGGGCGGGTCTAGGCTTAGGTCTATCCGCTTCTCGGGAGGGATCTGAGCGGAGTTGTTCACGTCGAGGAGAAGATCGAGTAATCGGCTACAGGATATTGTCAGCACTATCATGAAGGAAATGCCAAGTTGGCTACAGGTGATAGCCGCACTTACTCATTCTGTATTGCCAATCTTCGCGCAGTGGCCAGGGCTTGTTGCTCCAGCTTATGGAGCTCCTCGCCCTCGTGCATCTTCTGGTCAAAGATGATGCGCATTTTGCGATACTTCTTTTTCCATGACCGGTACGAGGGCTTGTCGTCGGCCATTCTGGCGTCCCCGGTATCGTTTTCAGCTTTTACTCGGATGTCGACTCTGCTGCGTGCATCAACTTCCATTGCGTGGTCGATGTCTGCCAATTGAAGGCGGGTGCAGAGTTCGATATCGAGATGTGTGCGATGTCAAGGGCTTGTGGCTGGGGTTGACTTTTTGGGCCGCAGTTGCGAGTGTGTCCCGGGTGAGGATGAGCAGGGTTGAGGACAAAAGGCTGAAGCTGCAGCTGATTTCAAGGCGTGTTGGATGGCGCGTGTCGGCAGCCGGTGACCCCTGTCCCCGACGATGAGGATGAGATGCACAAACTGGAAGGGAGGTGCTTTTCTAAATACGTAATTACAGCGTAGTTAAATACCTACGAGGTATCCGCCCAGAGTGGTCATCGGAGTTGCTAAAATGACTGTGCAGCCAAACTGGAGCAATCGCAGAAGCTACCACAACCAGCCGTTGCTTAGGCAGTTGACACAGTTCATATAAGTTAAGCTCCATAGCCTAGCGCCTTTCGTGACTCGGCCATCTCTTGGCGTTACTGATATTGATTCTTCAATACCGTATATTACACCCCTTCTCAACTTCAAGTTATTCTTAGCTTACAATTCTACTGCAGCTTTTACACAATTCAACATCCCAGGGACTCGAAAATACAGTTCTCCCAAAACCAGCCGTCAACACCTACATACAACACACCAACCACCAAAACCGTCGCATGCTCCGTTCGCTCGCCCTCAGAATGGCCGAGAACGCAGCGAAGCGCCTCAAAACAGACAATGGCAGCCCCCTAGCCATCGGCACGCACAACGGGCACTTCCACGCCGACGAGGCGCTGGCCGTCTACATGCTGCGGCAGCACGTACCCACTTACTCAGGCGCGCAGCTCGTGCGCACGCGGGACCCCGCCCGGCTCGAGGCCTGCCACACCGTGGTGGACGTGGGCGGCGAGTACGACCCGTCCCGCAACCGGTACGACCACCACCAGCGCAGCTTCGGGACTTCCTTCCCGGGCCGGCCGACCAAGCTGAGCAGCGCTGGGCTGGTGTACCTGCACTTTGGCCGGGAAATCATCGCACGGCGCCTGGGCTTAGCCGCTGACGAGGACAACGAGTCCGTCGGGCTGGTGTGGCGCAAGGTGTACGAGAGCTTCATCGAGGCGCTCGACGCGCACGACAACGGTGTGAGCGTCTACGATCCGACCCTGCTCGCCGCCGCGGGGTTACAGAAGCGCTTCTCGGACGGCGGCTTCACCCTCGGCGCCATGGTCGGCCGGCTAAACCCCAACTGGAACGATCCGGTCCCCGAGGACCCGGCCGCGGCGCAGGCGGCTGAGGATGCCCGCTTCGAGCTGGCTAGCACACGCATCGGCGAGGAGTTTGACCGCGAGCTCGACTACTACGTCCGCGCCTGGCTGCCCGCGCGCGAGGTGGTTGCCGAGGCCTTTGCCGCGCGGAGTGACTACGACGGTGAGGGTCGCATCATGGTGCTCAAGGGTCAGTCGGCGCCTTGGAAGGATCACCTCTACAACCTTGAGGAGCAGCAGCCCGACTCCGGTAAGAAGGTGCTCTACGTGCTGTACCCGGAGAAACCTACGCCAGACGCAAAGTGGAGGATTCAGTGCGTTCCGGTCGCCAAGGATTCGTTTGAGAGCCGGAAACCGCTACCTGAGGCATGGAGGGGGTTCCGGGACGAGGATTTGGATGGGATATCGGGCGTGAGCGGCTCCGTCTTTGTGCATGCCTCGGGGTTCATTGGGGGGAACAAGACGTTCGAGGGTGTGCTAGCAATGGCGCAAAAGGCTCTTGCGCTTTGATGGGGTGGATACATTGCTGATGCTTGCAAAGAAGCATTATCGATGCCCAAGCGGGTCGCGCATCGCAAGGCAGGTTGGGCACTCAGGAGTGGCTAACGGCAACGCTGATCCGAGCATGGGGCTTACCAGCAGTCCGACACCGGAAGGTGGACTAATGGTAGCTCCCGGGATGTGATCAATTGCCGTTTGAAGGCCCAAATGGGGCGCCGGTTGACTCTCATGTAGCGATGTCAAGGTGGCTTCAACCTCGTTGACTATAGCACGGCACCACTTTGCCCAGAAAATGATCCATTTGCCTGCTGCAAATGCAGAGAAGCTGCAGTAGTACAGATAGCAAAAGACCTCAACCCGAGTGTTCTGCTCGCATGACCTCAATCTCTTCCGTTTCCTCGTAATTCACTGCTCGCATAACCCTTCTGCAGACCGGTTGCTCAATCTCCCTGCTGCCCCATCAACCGACCGTAGGATAATGTGGGAATCGTGCTGCAAGCTGGGGAAAGAAAGGGGGTTGTTTCAGGAAATCAGGACGATCAGGACGGCCATTGCCAAGGACCAAATAAATACAACAAAACAAGAACACTGTCCCAGCCCGTTATCTCCCTTTGTCATCTCCATCCGGTAAACCCAACCAACCAAAACGCCCGCAGGTTCTTTTCGTAGTCTCGTAAATCTTGGAGTACCTTGTCCTGCCGGGTAAAACTCCAGGCAAATATCAGCAACGCGTAGACACAGCTTTGGTGGCTATCTGAGTAAAGGCGCAGCGGCGAGATAGAAACCCCGGCACCACGCCGGCGACTCGCAGAAAAGCACACAGCTTCACCCTCGGATGGGGAGATCCTGTTGCGGATCTGCCGGCTGCTGTTGCTGTTGCTGTTGCTCCTTCTTTTCTTCAGCGGCAGCCTCGACGTCCTCGGCGCTCGTTTCGCGGTGCAGGAAGCTGCTCTCCTTGACGGGGCTGCCGGCCTGCATGTGCGGGTGGTGCTGGTGGTGGATGTGAGGGTGCAGCAGACTTCCGATGCCGTTGGGCCCACTGACGGGGGTCGACAGGTGCGGGATGTTCTCGGGCAGCGGATGCTGGCTGCCCACGGCGCCCGTGTCGACGCTGTCGCCCTTGCCCGCCTTGCTCATGGCATAGTCGCCGCTGTCGAAATACTTGCGCTCCTTGAGGTGCTTGGCGAAATGGTCGCTCCGGGTGGGCAGCTTGCCGTACAACCGGAAGAGCCGCTGCTCCTCCGGGGAGAGAGACTGTGGGGTTGGACATGGTGTGTTAGCGAGGGATTCATGAGAAATGATCAGTCCTTTTTTTTTTTTTTTTTTTCTCGCGCAACAAAAAATGATAAAATCTATATCTGATTAGAGACAACCGAAGACAAAAGAACCTACCTTGACGTCGATCTTCTTCGCCTGGTGAGGGTTCATGGTTGCAGCGTTTAGGTTTCGGGAGTTGTTCACGATGGTTCACTGATCGACTGCCAATCGGGCCACTCCGAGTTGTAAATCGTGATGGCGAATCAAGGTGGTTGTGGGGGAATTTGGCGCTTCCTAATTGCCAGCGCCTTGGAGAAACAGCACGTCGTGCTGCTCTTCCTCTTCCTTGATGCAGCAAAAGGCGGGCGCAAGACCGGTGTTTCGAGAGGGGTGTGAAAGTGGAATAGATCTCGGTGATGGTGTCGCAGGTGGGAGGGAGGTGGGGTTAAGCTTGTCGTTACTGCAGTTGGGTGGAATCTTTTGCTCGAGGGCCTGCGCAGTCGTTTTCGGCTAACGGCAAAGGGTTGTAACAGGCCGTGTAGGGGAGACAGCTGCTAGCAATTTCGCGATGACTCTGCGTTCGGACCAGACCGAAAACGGAGCTATTTGAGACGGAAACACTTTGGCTCAGTGGGCGGTCGTTTCCCACCCACAGACGATTATATAACAGTATCTAGCAATGTTGATGTTGTCTTGTGGATGTTTTGCCAGGCGACGAAATTCATGCGGTTGTTAGGTAGATCCATGCTATGGTGTTACTGATATACCCGAGATTACAGTAAGAGTCACCAGCTCTTTGGTCGTTCAGTGATCATTGCGCTGTCCCAGGCCTACAATAGTGGGGAATGCAACAGCCGGCACTAGCCATATGCAACGCTGTGCGTTCTTCACCGAGTCTCGATCGAACCACTCGATTCAGACCATCGAAGATAGCGATGGTTGGTATCCTGGTTTTCCAAGACGGCAGTGTAGTATACATCATGCTGTGTCACCTCTTTCCCCTCTCCTGTCTCTTTTCCCGCTTCCATGTCTTGCCATGCATATCGAACGCTCAAGAACACTTATGGTGGCACGGATATATTGAGTCGCAGTGACATCCTTGTGTCCTGGCCCGTCCGGATCAAATCACCAGATCGGTCGCTTGCAGCTGTCTCGTCACGAGGAAAGAAGCCTCATCACACAATATCACCAACCCAATTGCACTTGGCTCCCACCCGAAAGGCCGAAGCTACAAAGCCCTAATATCCATCATCATACTGATTCATACAGTCGTGGAATCCCCTGACTTGGCTCCATCTTGGAGAGAACCAGCCAGCCCAAACCAACACTCGCATAGACCCCAACACTACCTAGGCAAAGCTAATAAAGCGAACATGCCGCCCATGACCGGTCGTGCGACAAACGTCGGCCCGTCCGAGGGATACCCGCCCGTGACAGAGTCGAATAGGTCGGTCATGGGCCGGTTGGTTGACGTGACGCCGACCCAGTTGGCGAGCTTGCTTATGAACATGTCGCGCGTCTCGGTGCTCGCCACGGCGGCAGCAAACATTTCCCAGTCCGACTTAGCCCAGTTATGCCTTGTGTCAAGCGGCACGGCGTGCTCCTCGGCCACGGTCGGGTAGAAGGCGCTTTGCATGTCGTAGACGGACTGCGGGATAAAGTTGAGACCCAACAGCTTGTCGGCGTAGATGTTGTATAGGAGGCCTTTTTACAGAGAATCAGCTTTTGGGTTTTCATCCTCTGCTGGTTGGGGGTGAAAAGGGGAAGCAGGGGTTACTCACCGTGACTGCTGCCATTCCCGTAGCTCAGGGTCGTGTGTGGCGGGTTGGCTTCCGAGTTGATGCCTAATGTCTGCCATTTTACGAGGTAGTCCTCAGCTATAGCGCCAAACCGATCGTCGTTATTTGTGAGCTGAGCGATCTGAGACATGGCTTTTAGCCCAATGATGCCCTTGATGGCCAGGTTCGTCTGGTTGCTGCAGGGGCACCGTCAGCACAACCTGGGGATGCTAGAAGACAGGAAGAAAACGACAACTTACGCAAGTGGCCCTGCGAAATCATCAGTGGATAACTGGTGTGCAGGAATTAAAGAGTCGTTCACTAAAAACTCGGCCCATTGAGACAGCTTGAGGTAATGGGCGGAGAGGTAGCCAGTGTCGCCAGTACGTTGAGCGTAGGCAAGTGACATGATAATCATGTTTCCCTATTTTTCCACCCGTCAGCTGTTACTGGAACGGCTTCTTACACGGCCAAGAACTGGAACAAACTTACACACTCCTCCAATGGCATCGGCTCGTCATTTCCCGCCGGATAGCCCCTGGCCACCGGGAACGTGCCCAGGTCATGGATGGCCCAGGCATTCGGATACGCTCCGCTCTCCTGGTTCTCGAACAGAGGGTCCAGCAGATATCTACCCAGAGTTGCATTGAGATACAGGACGATTGGATACGCAGGGAAGATTACGTCAACGGTCTGGATGTCGCTGTTTGAACTGATCTCCTTGAGGAAGATATAGGGCTTCGACGAGGTTCCGGCATACTGAAGAGCGCCAAACGTCTGGCGGACGGCAAGCGTCGTGACAATGGCATAGTCCTTCCCAGCGGCAGCCTCAGAATCGGCCTGGATTTGTCGGTCTAGCGCAGAGGACACCTCGCTGGCGTGCTGGTAGTCGTTATAGAAATCGACCACTGCTGTGATTTGGTCGGGGTAGAAGGACGTCCATAACCCGGGAACAGGTTCCAACTGGCCGCTCAGGCCAGCGAAATTGATGACGCGGTCCTGCATGAGGCCGTGGGTGAAGAGCCGTTCGACTTCCTCTTCATCAACATCCCCCAGATCGTGCGAGAATGCAAGCACAGGCCTGGGTTTACGCGATCAACTCCAGCTCTGCTTATACTGAGCAGTTCTTGGGTTTGACTTACCATTGTTCTCTCACCGGTCGGAAGTTCGACTCCATCGTGTTGGTAAGATTTTTCATCTTCACAAACTGGTCGCGTACCGTCGTGTCGGCACCGATCTGCCAGGTCAACTGTCCATGTCATTGTCAATTTTCTTACGCCTCCTTAATCGGCCGCTTATTACAGAAGAAAGTACTTACGCCGCTGTCGGATCGAGTTGAAAGGTACCAATTCCCCCAGCTGGCAATCTCACCAGACTCGGCAAACTCCTGCTGATTTACCCGGGAGAACTTGTGCATACGGATATCGTCGGACGTAGAACTGTCCCACCGGACAACTTGTGAGACATCCCCGCTAGCCCATTCTGTGGACATTCGTCAGTCAGGGGGGCAAGGGCCCCTACTGTGGAAGGTGTTGTGAGGGAAACGGGTAGCTTACCTCCACTTACGTCCATGTAGATGGAAACCTTGTGTGACGCCCCATCTGAGGACCTAGCCTTGACCGAAACATAAGAAAACTGCAACGACTGCCTCGCCATGTCGTCGGGGTAGACAGGGGACAGGAAGGTGACCGTCATTGTAATCTTTCCCTCAACATCGAAAGTGAAGATGCTTTTGGTGGATGTATACTCCAGCGACACCTGGTTGACGGGCCCTGGGCCCTGGTGGCCTCCCATCCAGTTGTATGTCGTTCCATCCACTGATACGTATCCTTGCCAGCCCTGGACCTGTGTCCTGCTTCACGGTCAGTAGTTGTTCTCATAGACTATGATGAGCAGGGCGCGAAAATCTCACGTCCAAAATCGTGGCCAGGAGCCGGGTAGAATGCACGTTGGGCTACACTGGAGCCAGGCATTCAGGTAGGGCGATCTTACAGCCAAAGGCACTGCAGGCGGTCTTGTCGGTACAAAGGTTGGATCAGCACCACCGCGGCTGGCGTGTACAATGGCCGTCAGAGCGGCAGTTAGCTGGGTGAGCTTCATGGCTCCTGTACAATATGATATGTAGGGCAGGCAGAAGATGTGCGGGCCCTGGGGTGAGATAGGGTGACCACGGTCCAATATTGATGCAGTTGAGAGGCCCAAGAACTCCAGGACAGACCACAGTTGTTGACTAGGTCCGCATACACTGCGAGGGTTGGGATGAGTGCAGAGGCACGTCAGAGAGGGAAGACGGGTTTTGTACATACACGGACAGCGGCATCTTGAACGGAAGGCATCACAAGCACAACGAGATCAGACGAGGGGTGAAGCAGTCACTGTAACACAGAGGCGACGCAAGAGTCGAATGGACCTTCAAGTCAGCGGCTCAAGGGTATGAAAGGTCACCCACAAGCTCAACGTACTAGGAAGGTGATGGGAGTAGGAGGTAAGATACCCTGCGAGATGCAGTTACAGCAGGAATCTCGAACTGCTCAATCCCCTCCGACGTGTTGAGGTAGGGAAGAGCCATGTATTTTCTCCAGCATTGTAGAGAGGTATGTCATGAGAACCACCTAGGCGGGGATTCCTCATTGTTGTGGGACGAGGGACGGCTGCGGTGTTGCAGGCAACCATGCCAAGGCTCAACGTATGCCAAGGTAACGTTCAGCCCGCATACTAGACCGACGGCACAAGGAACACTCGTATCCGGCTCGTCGGGGAGCGAAAAGCGACGGTTTGAGCGAAGGATCGGAATCTCCATCGTCATTGCTCTTTCAGAGGGACCATCAGTACCTGACAAGAACTTCTCTCCGTCCGACGACTGCTATGTAAACTTTTCCATAGATAAGTTGGATTTCAGATGAACCTGAAGGCGTGGAATAGGGCAACTTGGGAGAACAGTCCAGAGCCTACAGAATTCGTGTTGTTCGCGTCTCACCGCGTACCTTACCGCGATCTCTGTGCACTGAATTTGATAACGTTGAAGTTGGTTGGAGACAGGGCTGCAGGGGTTGCGATCAAGCTGTGGGGAACGGGCGCCTAGCCCTAAAAAGGAAAAGCGCGTGATGATCGCCCGATCGAGAGATCACCTGCCTAGGGCAATCGCCAAGTTCCCCGCACTGGCGGATCCGCCGCACTGGCAGGGGCAGCTTGGGTCATCCGTCCACCAAACTCTTGTCACCAAGCCAATTTTTCAAGAGACTTCTCTTCATTGAACCAGCTCATGCTAGTTCCATCGCCTGTCCATGCCGAGAATACTCAACCGCTTGAACTATACTATATACTATGGTACTCCCAACGCCCCTGAATCCATAATGCTCGACTCCTCCACGGTGCTTTCTACTAACTCCACGACATGGTAATTCACCAGAGACCTAAGCACCGCAGGTAAGGTATGTGCAGTACAGGGAGGTGCTAAAGAATGCTGGATTGGGCCTCTCAAGCCGCCTGGCACTGGATTCCACCTCCAATGCTACATGGTGTTGTATGTACACCAAGATGTCGGCCAAATCGACCCTACCTATGATTACAAGAATGCTACAACAGGAAGGCGCTCCAGCAATTGAAAGCCCTTGTTTCTGTGTATTTGAGAAAAGCTCCCAGGTCTTGCAAAACCCCTCGATGATGCAACGTTGGGGGAAATCCGCCATAAATCAATGCCACCCCACCCTGCCGATGGCCCGGAATGAGCGCTCCAACTGCCGGCTGCGGCGCAGATCGCCGCCCAAGGGACACACAGACCGGACATCAACTCCGCATGTGCGCATGCCAACTCCGCACCCGTTCCAATACCCGTAATCCAACGACAATACAGAATGACAGGCAGCCATCCCAGCGGAGTAGGCTCTCGTGACGAAACGTTGCGTTGATGTTGGAAGAGCGGTCTTAAGACTCAATGTGTGGATCCCATGGTTCCGTGGGCATCGCAGCACAAGCAGATTTTGACACCGCTCACAAAATGGATGGGGACGGCTCCCTGGGTGCACAGCTCATAATGTTAGAAGCGAGTATTTGACACTCCAGCCACGTGAGGCAACGCGCATTCCAAAGGTGTGTGCACAGCAGATTGTGTGAAGCAGCCCCGTGGCGCGGGTAGATGCGGGAGATGTGTCCCCAGTGCCTGTTTGCTTGTCAGCATGATCACCAGAAGCGGGAGGGTATACGGTGGTATATTGACCTACGACCTTGTGATCCTTACGATACTCGTTTCGGAACATCGGCGGCCATCAACTAAGCGGCCGCTGAAGCGGACAACGATAAGCGAAGATATCATTCCCAACTCCTGGGCAGAGAGTGGAACTAATTGGTCGCAGATGAGTAGGGCCATGACCGAAGATGCCGACGTTGGCCTAGAGCCCTTCTTTCGCAAGCATATCGCCGATATCAAGATAAAAGGCAACCGCGTTGAACCTACAGAGGGAACGTTAGCAGTGCATGACAAGAACGACGACAGCGGGATCAGACATGACTTACGAGGGAGGGTGCCCCATCAACTTCTGCGTGGTAAAGCGAAGCCTGTTGCTCCAATTGATCAAGTCCAGATGGTTAACACCGAGCAGCGTGCCCTTGTAGGTGCCCCATTGGCTGCTTGTGACGCTGACGAGCCCATCATTGGGGCCCTCAACCCGCTCAATGACGCGGTGCGAGTAACGGAACGGGCTCAGCAGCGGCGGGCGGTGCATGACCATGGCGCCATACGAAAAGTATCGGACGGCCGGGTCATCGGGCGTCCGGGGGTTGAACTCCTCGGCCATGTATCTCGTTGTGAGCTGGGCAAAAGCGGAAGGCTCCCAGCCAGTCGCCCGCTCCCAGAGATGGTACAGGCGCGGCAGGTACAGCGGGCCTATCCGGTCGATGATGTAGTCTGCGAAGGGACTGCCATGGTGCGGCGTGCCGACCGTGACCAGCGACTTGACGTCGACGCCTTTGGGGTGGAGCTGAGAAATCATGTAGCGCGCGTCGAGCCCGCCCATGCTGTGGGCGATGATGTTGACGCTCTTGCCCTGTGCCTGGGCTGAGATGTCCTCGGCGAGCTTGGCCGCCCTGTGCTCGATGGAACCGCTCGGGGGCACCGAGGCCGTTATGACTTCAGCATGGTTACCGCTGAGTGCCTCCTTGATGCCCCTCCAATAGTGTATACTGGGCAGCAAGGAGCCAGCCAACTTCAGCTCGGCGAAGCCCAGCAAGCCGTGAGCAAGCACGACGGGATGTTTTGGTGTAGCTTGTGGCGTGTCAGTCAAGAAGCCATCATTGAGCGCTTGTGGCAGCGTGCACTTACCATATCGGTCCCTGAGGCGGGCATATTCATCGGCGATTTCCTTGCCTAGACCCTTGATCCGCGCGTCTGTTGGCTCTTGATGGCTTAGAAGACGTGCAGCTGCGGAGAAATATCGACATTGAGAGCGCCATGATTGGGACCGGCACGCGGCCAGGCCTGCTCTCATCTGCTTGATCCCAATGCTACAAAAGGCAGCTTGCGGCCGAGTTTAGGTTGGAAGTGAGGTCACGTTTCCTTTCTGTTATATTCTGTTTTATCCTCTCGCTCTTTTCTCACCGTTCTCCGCCTTGTCTTGAATCTGAGATCGAGATTCGACGGTTGAATGCGGATGAATTTCAGTGAAAATGCATGTTGGTTCAATGGGAGTGATGATGCTGATGCTTTCAAGGATTTCCTGCTTCGTTCACCGTATGGAATACAGTTTATATATACTTTTTGCACTATCCACCCCATGCTGCCTGCATCAAGATGGCCGCTTCGGCTTTGCGTTGCTCCGAGTCCCCACTGTTCGTTCTACAAGAAGCATACCTTAACGTTGCAGTCGATGGTGGTCGGCCACAACAATGCAGTAGACTTTTAGCACCAACGATGCATACGGCCTGAGAAGATGCTTCGCCATCATGGTAGGTGGTGTTTTTACACATGCGCTTATTGGAGAAACAACCGCCAAAAGCACATCGACAAACATCGGCGAGACCGCCTGTAGCCAATCGAGGAAATTGGTGGCGTAGGGCGTTGAGTCCTGGCAGAAGAATGCTCTCTGTGTAACCACCGACCACCAACTACCGACTACGTCGGTTGCGCCGACGGTGTGCTCAAGCCACCTAGGATCTAGACTGAAGGAGACAATTCTACCAGAGGGTATGTATTGCACTGCTCTCTTCGTGGGCGTTGGGAATTTGAGCCAAGGGCAAGATGCCTACACAGAGAGGAACGGCAGTTCTCTCAAGTGCCACGTACAAGCTTACATAGGGCTCACGGCCGATCGGTCCGTCCACGATCCAGTCTTCATACACTGATAGGCACGGTAGCTGATAATGGAGAGTAGGTAGGTACAACACAATACGGCAAGATCAGTCAGGAGGACAGCACCTGTGACTGTGGCTCGACTGCTGCTACTACTTACCTTGGAGTCTCTTCCGCGACTCACACTGTGCTTCAAGCACGAAGAGGTGCTGATTACAGATAAGACTTGGCTGAGAACCGGCAGCAGGAGTGCCGGCTTGCATTGTGCTACCAGTTTAAGCGCGCTGAGGCGCCGGTCCCAAACTCCCGGGCTCGCAAGAATGACAGACGCGTTGGATGCTTGGGCCAGGATGAGGGGGTTGATATCCTTGTTCTCCCTCCCTACCTAGGGACCCGTGTTGCTGTCGAATTGATCTCCTCTTCTACTATCTATCCCATTGTCCTGCTCAGGGCAGGCTTTCTTTCACCATAACGGTTCAACACCGAAGGTGGTGGCATCTCGGTCAGCAACATGGATCCTCCAGGAGAATGCGTCCGAGGAGCCTGCCCCGTCTGGGAGAACCCTCTGTCTTATCGATCATCACCCGCCGGCAATGCCTTCATGATGGCTGCATTTGCTGCTTTGATACCCCCTAACCTCTACTCATTATTTCGCTACAGGACCTCTTTATACACCTCCTTGATCACGGCCGCGCTTGTTTTCCGTTTGGTCGGCCATGTAGCCAAGTTCATGCTGGGCAACATTCCGGTTAGCCACGCCTATCCTGCCCTATACATGTTGGGCACGCATTGGAGCGTCACACTGCTCGCCTCAGCCATTTTCCTGTCGCTGCCGCATGTTATGGTCATCTATGGGCACGACTTTCAACTGGTCTCGAACCCATTTTATGTCAACCTGCTCTTCTTGGTGCTCGACATTTTCACCCTGGTTTTCCAATCGGCTGGAATAGGCCTTGCTTCCAGAGCTGACAATGTTGTTGAAGTCTGATGTCCCCAGTAGCACCCCAACTTTGACTGTCTTGCTGACACGGCGGTCAGCTTGAGCGAGGAATGAGGATTCTCCTGACGGGACTTGCGTTCCAAGCCGCCGGTCTTGCTGCATTCTTGGGAGCATACCGCTACTTTCAGAGGAAGCTCTCCCATCGCCGCTACATCCTCGATAACAGATTCTTCGCCGTGTATTCATCGCGGCGGTTCCGATACTACATGATCAGTGAGTCGGCTCTGAGGATGTTTACCCTAGCAAAGCCTTGCAATACTGACACCGGCAAAAGATGTCCAGGTTGTGGCGGCGCTCCTTCTCCTCCGAACAGCAATCCGCATTGCGGCCTTTGCCAGCGTCACGACCCCCCTAGCCACGTCGCAGCTAACTTCCTTCCTACTCGATGACGCCCTCGTTCTCGTGGCCGCCATCATTCTAACAGTCCTCCCGGTTGGCCGCGTTTTTGGCATTACCGTTTGGCGGGCAACATCTCCCCTGACCTCATCCAGACGCCGGCCAAATAGCACTACTACCACTGCTGCTGGCAGTGAACTCCCCTTGCGGCGTCGCTGGCACCGCCGCAAACCAAGCTACCCCGTCACCAAGTGGGCCATATCAAACCCACACCCATCACCTTCTACGCGCTTTCCGTCGGGGCCCGGATCCGGAGCAGGACCAGGGGGACTACCTGCTCACCCAGCACCCTACCGCGCTACCACAAGTACCACCGATCCCCCGCTCATATCGCCAAAGAACAACCCCGTCCACCAGCGCGGACCATCATACGACTTGAACGCCGCCTCCACGCCCCACACGGCTTCCTCCTCGTTCATGATGGCGGCGTCCTCAGAGGACAGCCCCGGCTATTACTACAGTCCCACATCGCCCCCTATAGGCTGGGTGACGTCGCCTACTACTACTATGGAACAACAACATGGGAGAAGGAAGAGAAAATGGCCTCGGGGTGGTGGTTACTACAGCCCGGAACCGGGTAAGCAGTTGGTGGACAGCGACGCAATTTGGAATTGATCGAGCACTGCAAAACTAAGGGCGGGCGGGGATTCTGATGGCTTCACAGTTTACAGATTGCTTTCTGGGTAAGTGGTTCCTTAGAGAATGGATATGCAAGGTACTTTGGGATGTTATGGATGGTTTTTAAAGCCCGGGCGAGTCATAGCAGTCCCATGAACTTTCGTTATCTGAGTCCCATCCACAGCTCCTCGGCGATCTCTTGCCTACCTAAAATATCCCATCTTCAGCACGTTGCTTATATACAGCACTAAGTTTCGCCTCGATTGGTCTGGGCATGTCCGATATCCTCACCACTTGAAAGCCGGATGAGGCATATTCTCATAGTCGAATCCAGTGTCCGGTTCTCCCCCCGCCTCCTTCATATCGTAGGCCATGTGGTGTCTCCAGGCTCCAGAACACTACATAATCCTCGAGCCATAGCCTGATACGATCCTTTAATTTGCGCCGCAATTTGGCATCACTGCTGGGGTCGAGAGACTGATTCATCATCCCTCCTGAGCTTGAGATACTCGTCTTTGGACTTCCTTCAAAGTCCGCAAACACCCCGGCCCTCTCCAATCCCACCCGAGCCCAGTCGCCCAAACCCCACTCCTCCGCGACCACGGTGACACTGCCTCTCTAACCGACCAAATGACCGAGACTAACGACACCAGAAGGGTGACGACAGCGTCCAGAAGGACGTTGGACCTCATGGTGATCACCATTTTCGTCGGAGCTGCCCTGCTGCTGACATTCCTTGGTATCTTCTCCAGCCTTGTGCGAGCAGGCGGTATAGAGCATAACGAAGCGTGCAGTAGCTCTTTGACTGTGTGGAAAGGGCGTTAGTTTTCAACCCACAAAAGCAGACTCATCTTCAGGCTCGTATCGGGTCAATGGGAAAAGGATCTTTCCGTTCCAAGCGCCAAGGTCTTCAAGGAACTTGAGTTTCTTCTTGGTCGCGAAAGCTGCCTTCATGAGGTCCAGAAGCTTCTTCTCGAATTTGAGGGTCAGCGTATCGTTGTCCTTGTTCTTTTTCTTGGCCTCCTTCCCCCTTTCTTCGATCTCTTTCTTCTCCCTCCATGTCGCGCTGTTAGGGTTCACGTTCTTCCAGAAGTCTAGGGCTTCCGCTCCGTCGAACAGAGATAGGCTTGTCCGGGTGATTAGCGATGAGAGAAAAGCCGAACGTACCAAACCCCATGTTTGAACCGATACCCCATCTCTGACCTGCTTGATTCTGAGGATCGAACAGGGGACCTCCATCGAGTTTGGGAGGAAGTACTGCATCCTGCTACCACTTTGCTACCCGTGGCGGGTGGGAAGTAGGAAGGGGGACTTGGATTATATACCCAATGCTAGCCTCATCGATATCCCCGCCGGTGCTTGGGGCTGCAGGGCACGTCATGTTCATCTGTTTCGGTGTTTGTTGTGAGCTAATGCCATCCCCAGCCAAGAGTCTCTTCGACTTACTAAGGTATCATGGCCAGCTTCGTGGTCACTAGAGGGTCGAGACCCATAATTGTCTGTGTCGAGTGTAAGCTTGGCCTTCTTGCGTACAGCTGGCTCGCTGCCACTGCCCGAGAGTCTCTTGGAGTCGCGAGGTTTGCCCATCTTGACGGGTGGACCTTGACGCGGAGGTATGGCTGACTGTCGGACTCCTCAAAACACTTCTTGAGTGATCCGGTGGCATGGCAGGCTCCTCTCGGGGCCGTGCCTTCCTGTCGTGGTTATCATTTTGGTGGGTGGTGGGTTTCATTGGGAAACAGCAACCTGCGGCTTCTAGACACCACAGACTGGAGACCCTTGCAGGTTAGCGACTGCCACACGGTTCCTATTGCTCGCTACGAGTGCGCTTGGAATGTTGAGATTCGAGAGCAAAGACGACAAGCCATCGTTGTTAGATATCGAACATGATGGCTAAGATACTCCAAGTCTCACGAGATGGAGGCCCTTATACCACGTACGTGTGGGTCATGTGCCCCGGAACCTCCGTACCGTATTCTGGCACGGAGATCCCGTAACACACCATGACCATTGACCACCAAGATGGATCGTATCGCTACGCCGGCCCCTTGCCCAGCTCATCCGGCCATTGTAGAAGCTCTTGGACGACTACATCACCCTTGCCTAGGACTACTGCACGGTATGGGACGAATACCAGCAGCTCCGAAGCGCGAACAACGCTCCGCGTGGCCAAGTCCAGGGCCTCAAGCTGCATGGCAGACCACAGCTCCTCTTTTCTCCAATCCTTCAAGTCTCCCACCCATTAGTAGTAGTGTATGCCCCTTAACAACTCCAACAAAAGACGACTAGATTCTGTTTTTAGTCTATGCTGAAGCCTCGTTCATTGCCAGTCCGTTCTGTCCATTGTCTACCTGATCAATGCGGGCGGACAAATCCATACAGTACTAGTAGCCGACACCGTGTTCACCGCAACAAAGCATACTTCTGCGCACGATCTCTTTGTCTGTGTCCTATAATATCACAAAACAAGGGAAGTATAAATCTAAGCAACGACCTCTTGGAGTGCCAGTGTTATGTGATATCGCAGAAGGTATAAATATCCCGAGTTCGAAAACAGATTCCATCCTTACTACCTATTGCCTACGATTATTTGCCTCTTGAGCAACATTTAACTAATACATACAATTCAGAACTACACACTCCAGCACCAGTCACAATGTCAAACTCAGAGACAACTAGCCAGACTGACGCTAGTTCTTCTTTAGTTCCTGAATCCTCCAGTTCATCTCGCATCCCACGGAGCCTGAGGCGCGTACAGGGGTCGCGGCAGCTGAGTATGGACGAAAATTCGGGGGATGAGAATACACGTGAGTCTCATTCCACCCAAGATCCTCAGGCCGTCCCAGATGCTGATGCCCAGATACAGTGGCCCATTTTCTTCATCCCCCGGGATGACCAAAACCAGCATTACTTTACGAATCTAAGAGACCCCAACGTCCCGCAGAGTGCCCTAACAGAGGCAGCTATAGCGGACCAGGTCCGACGAGTTCAAACGCAGCTCGGACGGAACTTGACAGCCGACGAACAAGAGCACATCCGATCGGTGATTACCGATCTGCAGCCTCAAGCAAAAAATTGGGGGTCAGGGGAGGATAGCGATGCCGACTCGGCGGACGATGACCCTCCGGAGCACGAGTCCGAAGCCGATTGGCCTCCAGACGCCGACATGAACTGGAATGTCAACAACAACGGCGACTCGGAGTGGTGGGATGAACAACCCGTCCAGTGGGATGCTGACCCTGAAGCCAACGACCACCCCAACGCCGAGGCAGACCCGGGCGCCGAACAACCGCATCAGGATCGGCACATGCTCTCCGAGATTCGCCGGACACTCGACGACTTGCGGCTCACCATCGGGAACGTCGACCTCCGTCTTCAAGATGTTGAGTATGGGAGAGCACAAGATCACGATGAAAGCGACGAGCGGTGGGATGGTCCGGCGAAGCTCACCTCCGCTCAGGCCTTGCAGCGGGAATGCATCGACGCTCTCTTCCAGCGGGAATGCATCGACGGGCTCATTAAGGCGGTGCGCGACGTCTCAGCAGCAGCGGCCGCCGTCTCCTCCACCGTCGCACAGCGGGCTAATGTGGAGAGCACAAGCTCTCCTCCCTCGGCTCCCGGTGGCGCTAGCACCAGCAGCGCTCCTAGCAACGGCGCAAACCACAACAGGAATAGCAACGCACAGCAGCAGCAGCCGATCCTGCCCATTCAATACGTGCAGCAGCCGGCGGTGATGTGGATGATGCCCAACGGCAACCCCTACATTCCCGCTCAAAGCCCTCCTCCTAACCAGCAACAGACTGACCAAGCCCAGGTGATCAGAATCGAGCTGCCTCGATCGACTGTGACGTTGCTCGCGTTGGCCGTAGTCATGTGGACCATCATATCGGCCATACTGCTCAGTGAGAGGCTGTCGGACTCCGGCGTCGGCACCTACGTCAATAGCGGTTACAACGGGCTAGAAACAGCCCTAATCTTCGAGTCGTGGGGGGCATTTGTCCTCTTGACTCTGGCGCTGGTCTACCTGGGGGCAAGCGTATGTACTTGGAGAGGAAGGGGGTAGGACGACAATGGACGGGACGGTGTTCGACTGGGAGTACAAACCACCAGCAGGCTGGTGGTGGTCGTTTTGCGCTGGTGTTCTTTGCCTTACGGCAGGTTGCTATTAATACTTGTTGGGTAGGTAGGTAATTTACCTGTACTTAGATGTCAATAATGGAAATCTTCAATAAGGCGGATACCTAGGTAGGACTTAGTGTACGGAGCGTTGGTCTTGATTGTATTCTGTGTCTTGATGTTAGACACTTCCGACTGTGTGCGAGTTATTCATCTGGCTTTCGAAAATAGGGGGAAGGGGAGGGACCTAGCAGGTTCGCTCCACACGGATGCTGTTCTTGCAATGCCACTGAAGCCAGCTGTCTTGGAGGTTGGGAAGTGATCGCGATGGCAGGCCACCCACATATCAAATTCCTTTGTCAGCGTGCTCGGTACCATCTAAAGGAACTTGTTTGCTTCGTCTTTCCTTTCCTGGAAAGCATGCGGTCTTCTCCGAGTCTGGATCTGAATCGGACTTGCGTGCCCCTTCCTTGTGCTGCAGCGCAACACAACGAAGTTCTTTGAATCCATAGCTACATTTGTACGGATGCGTACAAAGGTATGATCAAGATGGCCGCGAAGGATCTCCGAGACGGCAAGCCGAGATCCTCCCGACACTTTGACAGATGCGTCTGCACGGGCTTTGCGGGCTTGATTGAGATAAGCTCGAATGTGTTGTCCATAGCAGCGTTGCTACCTTGAAGCTTGGTCTGCTGTATTGTAGACTTGTATGTATGTACATTGAAAGCCCATGAAGCGGGTGTGTCGCTCGGTCCCAGATAGTGCCAGTTGTGGCACCGGTGGGCGACCCAAACTTTGACTTCTTTCAGCGCCGAAATGGAGGGGAAGAGAACGGAAAGAAACCGGGAAGCAACCGGAAGTTGACTGGAACAGGACAGTCGGAGACCGTGGGCCTTCCCGCGCCTGCCCGATATCTCGGATACCGACGCTGACCGTGCGCAGGAAGCATCCTCTTCGGTGATGCAAGTTGTCGGACCCAGATTCGATTCCGGCTCTTCACATCCTACAGTTACCCAGGTGGTCAAAATGTGCCGAACACTGAGGATCTGCGTACAGAGAAACAATCGACAGCAGCGAAGAAGGAGCCAATGACAACTTGGAATTTGGGAGGAAGGTAGATTGATGATTTTGGCATATACCATGGATGGAAATATGCCTGGATGGCCGGAAGATCTGGCAGGTCCTTCCCAGGCTTCTTTTGTGGTTGCGGTGGGAGCGCTTGCGAGCTTTCCTATCCGGAAAAGCGTGTTTTAGCCACAGCAGCCCCATTGGAGGGCGCGGGAGTTTAAAGTGACGGCGTTTGTTCCCACACTCCTGTACCAGACCAGGGCCTTTTCACCTGCCACGCCAGCTCATTATGCCGCGTTATGATCTTCACCTGTTTCTCAACTGCCATCTCCCGGCATGCTTGTTTCCTTCTTCAAGTTGGCTGATATCGGTGGTATAACTGAAACCCCTCCCTTCCAGTTCTGATCGCCGTTGCAAGGACTGGCCGCAAACGCGATCCGCGTCTCTCTGCCTTTTCGCTTCTGGTCCTCGCGTCTGACGTACATTCGCCTATCTTTCCTGGGGACCATGTGCATCATGAGGCGAAAGCCGTGCCGCGCCCGACCTGCGAGCTGCAGCGCGTGTGCAGATGTCACTGCGGACACCTCAGTGCGGAAGACTCAGCGACATTTCGTCTGAAGCCCGCTGGATGGCCCCCGGACTGGGCTCGTTATAGGCCTTGATGAAGGAGGTGGGCTGGATATTGATTGATATTGCGTGCGTTTGTGGGGTTAAATTGAATGACGGCAAGGAATCTCAGTCCTGGGACTGCTGCGGTCTTGCACTCCCTGCTGTGGCATCAAAGCCTGCCATCGCTGCCCTACTTGCCATTTAGCCTATTGCGGATGTCACTTCGTCCTGACTGTGACACCGGTGGCCATCTGCTCTTCAGACCCACATCGGTTGCGTGCTGAGGACCTCTGTATAACGTCGTTTGGATGCGGGCTTGTGCTTTGTCAAGCTGACAAAGTCCCAGAGAGGAAATCGTCAATATCTTGAATCCCCCGAAGAGGCTGTCACCTACCCAACCGGACGCTCCTCCACGCGCATGCCATTCCCACCCGCATCTCCCGCGGGCCCACGGAACCAGTCCTATGGGCTGCAGCACGCCCGTTCTTAGGCTGCCCAAGCCCACATACAGACCTGTCCGGCCAAAGTGACTAAAATGACGGTATCTATACCTCTTTGGGATGATATCAACGTCCGCCATCTGAACCATGTTTCGGTCCCTTTCACGCACGTTGGCGGTGGCCGGCAAACAAAGCTATGGCCCGTGGACGTTGCGTTATACGCACTCCTCTCCTCCGTCCAACCCACTTGACAAGATACATGACTGAAAATCTTAGCTATCAACTTGCCATTCCATCGCCATCGTGCCCTACATCATGCGTCTGGTTACGGTGGAGTCTCAAGTGCCGTGATGCCATGACCGTTAATACCAGGCCCCCTCCATGTGACACTGAAGCAATCAACACTTCATTCACCTATCCCTTGGTATATGCCTGAATCTGTCCAATGGCTGTATCCCCCAGACCCACTCGGACCAGTTTCAGACACGCCTGGCAAGCTGCCGGCCGAGATGGCTTTACGGAAGAGCAGATATATACCAGGTAGAGTGAGTACCGGCCTTTCCGAGGTCTAGACCGGCGCCGTTTCAGTTTCCACCGATCGTTCCTTGGTCCTTGAACCAGCCAGCTCCAGCCCTAGGAAGGTCTTGGCCATATACAATAGGAGGCCCTGGCGCCTCTAATCCTCACCCCTAGGTGAACGGCACACCCTCTCGTTTCCTTCTTCGCCTGCTCTCCTTGAGATGGCGGTGACAACCACCAACCCTTCGAGCGAAAGCGGGCATGGTCATGGAGGCGGACACAGCGGAGGAAGCGCAGGGGAAAGCTCTGGAAGCCATGGGCATGGCAACCCTGCCATGGCCGCATTCTTTGCTCAGAGACAGATGGTCGTCGAAAAGATGATGATGTACTTCGCGGCCGGAATATGTGGACTCATCGCCATATTTGTGATACTTCACTGGACACGATGGCTCTGTGCCAGGCTGGAACGGTCAAAGAAACCCCTTGGAGTGCTGGGTCGTCCGTTTGTCGCGACCTCCAGGTAAGCAATAGCCCCATCTCGCTCTCTTCAAACAACAGGTTCGCTGACGGTTATAGATTTGTGAGGAACCTGTTGGTCCGAAGGCTGCCCGGATTCAAATCTGCGGGTCACGGTCTTCTGGTTTTCGGTTATGTCGCCATAAACGCGGTTGTTGCATTTAGCAATGTGGACATCTCCCTGCCCAACTTTGCTGCCAGGTTCGGCTGGTACGTTTTATTCACTCCTTCCCCTGAGTGCCGGCGCTGACTTGTCTAGGATGGCGGAGGCGAACATATCCCTCGCAGTATTTCTGGCCCTGAAAAACACACCTCTGGCTTGCATCACGGCATATAGCTATGTAACTCCTCCCGACCTTCCCCAACGGAAAGCGGCATTTGTCTAACATAACGTAGGAACGACTCAACTGTCTCCACCAAATCGTCGGCTACACCATATTTGTCTTTATGGTGTTACATGCTGCTTTTTATACCTCCTACTTCAGTTCTCAAGGTCGACTCTTATCCATCTATTCCCAGAGGGGCCAGATTGCCGCCATCGTCGCTGGGTTTGCCTTCCTGAGCGTCACCCTCTCGGCCACATTCGTTCGCCGCATCTGGTACGAGCTTTTCTACATAACTCACATCTCTGGTTGGGTCATAGGAATCGTCGCAGTCGGGTTCCATCAGCCGCATTTAGCAGAAAAGGCCCTCATTGTGACGCTGCTCACATCCAGTATGTGGTGCCTCGACCGCCTCATCCGGGCCTCAAAATTGTTGTACTACAGACAGGAGGCAACCTTGCACCCACTCCCCGACGGGGGCACCAAAATTGTGATGAGGAAGGCACCCGCTGGGGCCGAGCCAGGAAAGCACTGTTTTGTCTGGATTCCGGCGGTTCGCAGGTTTGAGACGCACCCCTTTACGATTCATCACGGATCCCCTGTGGAATTCACGGTCAAGGCCGAGAACGGGTTCACTCGCGACCTGCATAAATACGCGGTGGCTCATCCCGGCGCAGCCGTCAGGGCATCCGTTGACGGGCCGTATGGCACCTTCCCCGATCCCATGGAGTTCGACAAGATCGTGCTCATCGCCGGGGGTGGAGGAGCCACTTTCACTTTTGGGCTCGCTGCAAATCTTCTTGAGAGGATGAACGACGAGTCCCGCAAGTGCCTTGTTTTCGTTTGGGCTGTCAGGGCGCACGGTGAGTTGTGATCCCTTCGAGCTAGCCTGTCATGACACTGACACAAGCGGTGCAGAAAATCTCTTTTGGTTCAGGAAGCAGCTAGAGATGCTCAGAACTCACGCGCACTCGGCCAAAGCCAATGTTTCCATCTACGTCACGAGGGCACCGCCGACAATTCCCGAGCTTCCCTACGGCCATGGGCAAAACGACAATGGCTCGTCCTCTTCCTCCGAAGATGGCGGGTCGCCACCCTTGTCGCCTGTCGACGCCGAGAAGCATTCCGCCCGTCTCCCCGCGGCTGCATCTCGCGGCTGGGGCGCGCTGTCGGAAAAGGACCTGGAAAAGGAAATGGAACGGGCGATCGAGACGAGGATTGAGCTCGCCGACACGTCCAACAAGCGCAACAGCAAGAGCAACATCATGTCGTCCCAAGTCTACAGCAGCCATCCTGTCAAGATTGGCCGGCCCGATGTGGCCTCCCTCATCCGCGACGCGATCGCCACCACACCCCAGGACCAAAGAGTCCTGGTTGCAGCATGTGGTCCGAAGGCAATGATGCGCGATGTTCGAAACACGACGGCGAGGCTGATCGTGGGTGACGGGCCGGCTATCGAACTACATTGCGAGGAGTTTGGTTGGTAGAATCGAGACGGGATCTGGATCCTCCTATGAATCTGATGCGAGTGCGAGCGCGATTCTAGTTGGGCTCTCCTTCTCCCCTTCATGCGTTCCATATTCCTTGCAAGATTCGTCAGGCGCACACAGGCGAATGGCGTTAAACTCTTGAGAGTTCACGCGGCAGAGGCTGCTGCTATGCATGCAGCCAAGCATGCGGACGCAAGGAGAAAAGGGATGGAGCTGTTTACATGGCTTGGACCCAGCTAGTGGTTTGCTTAATAGAATCGAGAGCTGTGTGACAGTTGTTAAGAGTATGCTCATTGCTCACTATGCTGTGGGCTACCGGTATGTGGCAGTCTGCATATGCAGGTTGATGTGAGCAATGAGGTTATGTATGAGATTGTTATCAGCGGCGATGATCAACTGTGCCGTAGCGAAGCTGCAAGCATGCAGGTCGCGCAGGTTGTGGCAGTTGTGACAACAACGCCGTTGAGGAATTGAGGAAAATGACTGGTGGAGCCTGCGAGAAGCTTCGGATATTTACGAAGTACATTGCATTTCACGCATTACATTGGAAATGGAAAATTGAACGCGAAATTAATGTAAAATGAGGCGCGTGTACGAAGTACTTACAGGCTCATTACGTTGCATGCATCTTACCGTACCGTACCTTATCATACTTACAGCTGTGCATCATCCTTGGCATCCGTAAACCTGCGCTTAGCTGCTTGGTCGGCCCTAAAACGGCATCGCGGTTGACTCCAGCCCCTCCTATTTTGCCTCTGAGGCTTGTCTTCGACGCCGAATCCTTCAAACTCACAGACCGCGATCTTTTCGATTTAAAACATTGCTCTTGTCCCTTGCGCTCAAACTGCTCAATCCGTCGACTTTTAGTGTTTTCAAGACAATTGTCTCGCCATCTGCAACGGCGCCTCTTTGTCGGTCCCTCTTCCATCACTGACGTCAGCGAGCCGCAAGAAAGCAACCGGCCTGGTCGTGCTGAGGTGATTTGCGGGACGGCTCCCCTCTAAGGACGACAGCTCTTCCGACTCTGGCATCCGAGCTTCCACGCCTGCGATAGTTAGCGCTTCCCTCTCGAATTACGAAGTATACCTTAGTGTCCGTATAATCGACGGTGCCGAATAATACATATACAGCTTCATTGCCAACAATGGGCGCTTTTACGTTCAAATGGTCAGTCAATTGTCGCATTATTTGTGCTCAGGCTGCTGTCACAGCGGGCGGGCGGGCGGGCGGTTGGAGGTGTCGAGCCGCAACCTTGAAGCTTGCAACATGGCCAGGAACTGCTATGACTCGCACTGGTCACTTAGCTTTCGCCACAATGACGAATTGACGACTCTCTTGTCGGCGACCGCTGTGCTAATGCTGTGTCGACTGTTTTTGTAGGCCTCATGACGCCGAGGAAGTCTACGTGACGGGCACCTTTGACGACTGGAGCAAAAGTCAAAGGTTGGAAAAGGTTGGACAGGTGTTCCAAAAAACGGTTACGCTCCCGGATACCTCCGATAAAATATACTACAAGGTAGGTCAACGATCTCATTCTATACCGCTGGTACAGAAAATCCGCCGACGAGGTAGCTCGTAGTCTGAGAGCTCCTTGAGTTGGCGCACGCGACACCGGATCAAGTTCCTGAAGAACGTTTCAACACCTCTCGCAGGGTCAGAAACACGACCAAGTGGCCGAAGTTCCAGCGCCGAATGATTCCCGTTGATCCAATGGTGTTGTCGCGGCTGTCATTTTAGTTGAGCCTTGCGTTATGACGCACGACTTTCCCGCCGTCACAGGCTGCACAGGAAACCATCAGAGCCAGCTGCGGGCGATTTTAAGCAAGCTAGCGGCACAAGTTGAGTGGAACCTTGGGCTTGGAGACGAAATTCCCACCTCGGCTGACCACGAATCTGTGACTGGCACTAAGGAAGGACAAGGACAAGGGCGTGGGACCGCGGCCTCGCGTTGCACTCTTCCAGTTCTTCCCCTCTTTTGTTTGCTTTAAAGTTTGGCTGGTTCCTCGCTTGCTGCCAAGTTTGCGCTTGCCTGGAGCTGCCAGCCAGACCTAAACTTTGACCGTTCTTCCACCGGTCGTGCCATATTATTGAACCATCATTTCTTCGCGTCGCTGACGTATTATTTGCTCTACTGCAGTTTGTCGTCGACGGCGGCTGGACTACCGACCACACCGCGCCGCAAGAGAAGGACCCAGAAGGAAACGAAAACAACTTCTTGCTACCTGAACAGATGGACAAGGTAGAGGAAACCACCGCGACCGCGGGACCCACCTCTGCCAACCCCGATGTCATGGCTGGTGGTTTTCCCGTGGAAGAGGAGAAGAAGGCGAGCGAAACTGACATGGCCAACGCTGCCATCAACTCTGCCGCACCTGACTCCACTACCGCCCAGCTTGCCGGCGCTGTCCCGTTAGAGGAGAAGAAAGAGAACCCCGATGTCATGGCTGGTGGATTCCCCGTGGAGGAGGTGAAGGAAGAAGAGGAAGAGAAGCAAGAAGCTGCCGAGGACAAGGGCGAAGAACGGAAGCAAGAGACTACCCCTCCTGGCGGCTTCCCAGTGACACCCGCCGCCGAAGAGGAAGTTAAGGTAAACCCACTCCCTGCAGCAGAGGGCGCCGTCAACCCGATCAAGCTTGAGCCTGGCGAGCAGGTTCCCCGGGACACCTCGGCCAATGCAATTGACAGCCATGTTACGCTGGACAAGGAGTCCTACGAGAAAAGTGACCGTATTCCCGGGATTCCAGGGCTGGGCACCGGTATGCCGCCTGCCTTCTCTGCAAACGAGGCCACAATCAATACCGTTGCGCCCGACTCAACCACAGCCGCTCTGGCTGGCGGAGTTCCTTTGGAGCCCAAGGTACCCGAGGTGGTTAAGCGGAGCCAAGAGGAGGCCCACGCCGAGCCGGAAGCGAGCGCCGTTCCCGAAGAGGTGAAGGAGAAGGCCGATGTGGAACAGGAGCTCCTGCAGAAGGTCGCCGAAGCCCCATCGACCTCCGAGGGCACCGCTGGCAAGGGCACCGAGAAGTCCGAGACCGACAAGACGGTAGCTGAAACGATAGTGTCTGCGGCGACCACGGCCGGCGCGGTAGCATTGGGAGCTGCCATCACTGTTGCCGAGAGCGCCAGCCACGCCGCGGCCGATGCCGCAACCAAAGCCAGCAATGTGGCGGCCAGTGTTGCGGCCAAAGCTAGCGATACCGCGTCCGGTGCTGCAACCAAAGCCAGCGAGACTGTGGGTAATGTTGCAGCTAAAACTAGCGATACCGCGTCCGGTGTTGCAACCAAGGCCAGCGATACCGCAGCTGGTGTAGCAGCTACAGCCAGCGATACCACCACCAATGTCACAGCCAAGACCAGCGATACCGTGGCCGGTGCTGCGACCACAACCAGCGATACTGTGGCCAATATCACAGCCAAAGCCAGCGAGATCGCGGCTGATGTTGCCGCCAAGGCAACCTCTGCCGCGACGGATGCCGCTACCTACCTCCCCGACTCTGTTAAAGGGGTCCTCCCAGCATCCACCCAAGGGGCGAGTACCGAGGCAAAGAAGGAGGAAATTCGGGAGAGCATGGCCCCGGAGGTTCCTGTCGAGGTCAAGCAGTCCTTCGTAGAAGCCGTTCAGAGTCCCGAAGCGGCGGCCAGCACCACAACTGTGGAGGCGAAGAAGGAGGTTGAGGCTGAGCTTCTCAAAGCCAAGCCTGCGGAAGACGCTGGCGAGTCCGCTGCTGCGGCCGCTGAGGAAACAAAGCCGGAAGAGAAGCCGGAGGAGAAAGCGGAGGAGAAGCCGGTGGAAACGGAAGTTGTCGCGAAGCCTCAAACCGCGGAACCGCCGAAGCCAGTTGAGGTTGAGGCACCCAAGGCTGTTGAGAAAGCCGAGACCGTTGAGACTCCTCAGGTGGTCGAGCCTCCCAAGGGTGCCGAGCCGGTCAAGATCGTCTCAGAGGCTAAGCCCGCGACTACGAGCTCGTCTGTCGATGCGCCGCCACCGGCCGAGGGGATCAGGACTGTTGAAGACATCAAGCCCGTCGACCTGTCTAAAGCGGCGGATGAGCCCAAGGTTGTCGAGCCACCCAAGCCTATGGACGAGCCCGAAGGTGCCGAGACGTCAAAGACTGCAGCAGACGAAAAACCCACCGTTCCAGCGGAGCACAACCGACCAGTGGTAGATGTGACCAAGACGGATGCGGCCAAGGCGGTGGAGACGACCGCTCCGGCCAAGGCAGTGGAGAAGACCGCTCCGGCCACCAACGGAGCCAACACGACGGCTACCACCTCGGCCGGCGCTGCGGCAAACGGCGACAAGAAGGCTGATGGGCAGGCGTCCGAGAAGAAGAAGAAGAACAGGGTCAGTGGCTTCTTTTCCAAGCTGAAGCACAAGTTCGCTTAGGAAGGCGGCTCCATTGTTTGCCGCTAAGGGCTCGAGCCATAATACCTCGTTTTGCTTTCCCGCCTCATCGCAGACTAGGCTGTGTTTGCGGCCCTCGTTGTTTCTTTGCGCCTTTTTTACGCTGAACCAACCCTATTTGGGCAAGGACTATCATGCATCTCCTTTCGTTGAGCAATGACACTGTTGTATCAATACCTGCTCAGTCTTGTTTTCACCCATTTGCTCCACCTACCCGTCAAAGAAGGCTGGAATGGATTCTGATGATATGGATACGTTATGAGTGTTCTTCCGTCGCGCCGTAAAACCGAATGGAACTGGAGGGTTGCAGGTGATGACTGTTTACTACCTGCCTAGGGGCCAGAGTTTAGTCATAAGTGACGGGAGATGGATACACGTGTATGGGTGTGTGGTCATGGGAGGGTGCGAAGAGGGACTGAAGAGTGATATCCCAGTCTTTCGGGTCGTTGTGTCTGGGTGGCCTCATTGAATACTGTTAATGTCTTTTTTTCCCTGCAATGGTAGTTGCAAGTCTGTTTCCGAGATAATATAATTCTGTCGCTGGGTTGATAAGTTGGGTTTATAGATGTTCTGTCTGGGGCTATGTGCCTTCTGCTGGACTTAGTGTATAAGTGTACGTAGGAAGGGACACCTTTGGGCCAAACAACCACCACCTTGGACATCTCGCTCCTGAACGCTATACACTTCGCAGTGGAATCGGCAATTGGGTTCATAACTATCGATTCGCTTCCTCTTTTGTTCCAAAACCCCAGTCTCCGATGGCTTTGGCAGATACCTAGGCACAGGATGCAGAGCAAGGTCAGCTGACTCGATGCATGACAGACGCCACTCCGGTGCAGCCGGGGATCGCTAACGTTATCCGGGAATGAAAGGCAATTTGCCCCGCGACTGGAGTGACTCCTCCTCCTTTGCCCACCCAACCTCTCGTGGGGTCCTGAACTGGGCCCCTCCCAATCACCAGATCCCAACCTACCTGTCCCTGGCAATGAGCGAGAATAGGAATTAGCGAATAGTTTGAACACAACGACTCGAAAAGGGCCTGGGAAGCTTGCTTTCCGAAATTCGTGTCAGTTACAGGCCACTCACGGCAGACCGCCGCGAGCAACTATCTTTAGGAGGTACGCTAGGAATGCATCGACTCGAATCAATCATCATCGCTTGCGTTGCTGTATTCTTCTTTGCTGAGAATCGCGGCTGACGATATCCTTGAAGGAATTGGTTGCTCTTCTCGTGCTGGCCGCGAATCACGCATGAACGCCATCGAGCCGTCACCGTTTCATCGTCCCCGCTGCCTACCATGAGCTCGACACCATCCGCTCCCAGCAAGCCGCTCTCGGCTCCGGCCACGGCAAACCACACCCCGGTCGTCTCTCAATCGCCCACTCCAAGTTTCGACTCTAGCCGTCGCCAGTCACAGGGTTCGCTCCACGCTCAGGCCACCCCGAGGAAGGGCCAGGCATCGAGGAGGCAGCATCGCAACCAGCGGCGCCCCGGAGGTCAGGGCGGTAATGGACACCTGGACCAGGAAGACGAGCTGGCCGAGTTACGGGCCCTGCGCAATGCCTCTAGCCGGCGCGGCCAAACTTCCATCACGCATCTGATGAGCTACGCTCTGCCGCCTCGCCCTCACGATTACCACCATACTCCGTATTCCCGCTCCTACCGGCGGAACCCTTCGTGGGGTCAGGGATCTGGCTACCACGCCGCTGACAAGGCGCGCTACATCAATGCAAACTATCGCTTTGTCGTAAAACCCAGCGGAACATACGCAAAGCAGGCCGCCGATGCCGACGAGCACATCGACTGGGCCGATGTCCTCCAGGTCATTGCATCCGCCGAGTCCCAGCAAGCATCCTGCCCCATTTGCCTCTCAGAACCCGTCGCGCCGCGCATGGCAAAGTGCGGCCACATATTCTGCCTACCCTGCGTCATGCGTTTCATGAACACTAGCAATGGTGAGCCGGCTGAGAAGAAGCAGACTCGGTGGAGGAAATGCCCCATTTGCGAGGATACCTTCTACATGTCGGATGTGCGCCCGGTGAGGTTCTACGCCGGCCAGGAGTCGCCGCTGCCCCGCATTGGCGACGATGTGATTCTCCGTCTCATGGTGCGGAACGCGAACAGCACATTGGCACTGCCCAAGGAAGGCGCGGCTGAGGTCTTTCAATCTGGCGAGGACGTGCCGTGGCATTACGCAGCCAATGTCTTGGATTACGCCAGGATTATGAAGGGCACTACCGGCTACATGGCGGAGCAATTTGACCGCGAAATCGAGGACCTTACGAAGCAGGAGAAAGAGGACGAGCTCCTTTATCACGAGGACACCGAGTGGACGCAGAAGGCTATTAGGGCAGTTAACGCGGCAAAAGAGAAGCTGACCGAGCTGGACGAGGCTGTCTCGACAGACAACCCTGCCCCTCCCCCTAATCCGGGCCAGGCAAAGCAGGCCGAGCAGGACTTTTATTTCTACACATCCCCGCCACATCTCTACCTCTCCCCGCTTGACATCCGGATCCTCAAAACCAAATACGGCTCCTTTTCCGCGTTCCCTACGACGCTGCTGCCGAGGGTCGAGCACATCTCAACCGGCCATGCGGTCGACGATAGTCTGCGGAAGCGGGCCAAATACCTGGGCCATCTGCCGCGGGGTTGTCTAATCAGCTTTCTAGAATGCGACTGGACAGACATTGTTCCGCCTGAGATTTTGGAAACATTCGCCGAGGAGATCGAGCGCCGCCGCCGGCGGAACCGGGAGAAAGCCACCCAGGAAGAGCGCGAGCGGCTGCAGGCCGAGCGCCTTGAGGCTGCCGCCATTCGCGACGCAAGACGGCACCTTGGCCCGGTTGTCGACGAGGAGGTGACTGTGCGCTTCGGAGGAGACATGAGCCACCATTATGATGACGAGCCGCGTGTCGACATGAGTGATTTCCTGCCCCTCGGCACCGGCGCGCCGGCAGCAGCGGGCACCACGCCCCCTAATCCGAGGCCGGGCTTCTCGTCGTTGTCGGACATCAGCACCAGCCCGTCCGGCACCAGGACCGTCTGGGGAACGCCCATGGTCGGGGCGCCTCCTGAGCCAGTCCCGAGCAGCAGCCGGCGTCCAAAGGCGGACGATGGCTGGTTGAGGGACGCTGACGTCCTGGAGACGCTGGGTGCCGCGGATATTGCCGTGCAGTTGGAGGCGCTGGGAGTCGAGGCTAGTAACGGTGGTGGCAGTGGTGGGGCTGGGAGTTCGGGTGCTGCGGCCGGCGGCGGAGGCAAGAAGAAGAAGAAACAGAAGATTACGTTGATGAGCACTGGTGGTCGGCGAGGGTTGTAGAGGGGCTTTGTTGTTGCTGAGGGGGTTGGGTTTGGTTTGACCTCTTCTGATCTGTGTTTATTGAACAAGAGGAGGTATCCTAGGTACCTCGTGTATCTCTGGGCGGCCTGGCACAGTCCCTCGTTGCTAAGGTGCGTTAACCTCGCGGGTTGACGGAGGAGGAACTCTTCATGAGGCGCTGCGGGAGTAGGGATTGGGTTACTCATTATTAGGTTTATCTTGATACAGAAAGACCAATATATGGCTTAGCATCATGTGTTTATACAGATCTTTGGTTTATAAGTTTGTTATAGTCCTCATGGTCGTCCACCATTAGCCGGTATGTATTTACAATACATAATGCCGAATATTGACCCCTTTTCCAAGCATAGGCTTAAGTGGCAGCTAACATAGCAAGTGCAGTTGCATAGGTGCCTCATGCTGGGTGCTCTGGCAGCTTACCTCATGGCTGTTGCAGTGATGATCTACACCACATACGGGAGAGCTCCAGCTACCTTAGCCACTGCAACGCGACATGAAGTCATAGATCGCTCAGCGAACATGCACCACTGCTGCTCCTTCTCCGCAGGCAATGGAGCGAGTTGATAATCGTTCGGTCAATTGTTTGCAGATTCCATACAATGTCCCGCGTAGCCATGACATCACGCCCTCATGATGTCATGCCTATTGTGACTCGAACCCCTTATTTGAGGCTGGCCCTTTTCCTATGAAGAATCTGATTGATACGAAGGTTCTAAGCAGCAGATATACTTTAATTTGACAGGTATCTATACGTGTGTATCTCGAGAAACAATCGTAGCGACAAAACAACATTACCAACAACAACAACAATGTCGTCCGGAAAGGCTCCTAGCGCTGGCATGAAAGTATGTGCCCCTGAACCATCCGTTATGTTTTGCCCAAAGTCACAGCACTGACGTTTCGACTCTCAAACAAACAGGTCACCACGGGCAAGGACGTCCCGACAGTGCGCGAGACGGCAGGCCTGGTCGACTCGTCCTCTCTCGCAGCCGAATCGACCCGTGCCGGCGGCACCTTTGCATCAAACCCCGGCCAGCACGCCGAGCAACAACAACAGCAGTCTCATCCCCAGCCCCAGTCCCAGTCTCAGTCCCGACCCCAGAGACAAGGCACAGGATCGGCCCAAACCGCTGAGGGCGGCCAAAACCAGTCCCAGTCCTCCAAGGGACCCAAACAGTCCTCTCAGCAGGAGGGCTTCGTGATCGGCACAGGCCGTTCTCTAGATCCCGGCTCAGACAGCATCAGCAAGGGAAGCAGCACCGCCGCAAACAAGACGACCTCCCTCTCCCTCGAAAACCAGCAATCCTACGGCGGTATTGCACCCTCGTACGCCCACGGCAGCCACTACGACCAGGAGCGGGCCGCGCACGACCGGCCCAAGGGCAAGAACCTCACCGAGGGCGGGTTTGAGGGGACCGGCACGGGACCCGGTCCGCTGCCGGAGCCCGGCAGCGACATGGACCCCTCCCGGCTGGCGGAGCGGGCCATGATGGGCGGGGCTAAGAAGGCTCATGGGGCTGGAGGTGAAGGGGCGGGTGTGAAGCAAGCGGGTATTAATGATGATAGAAGGTACGCGCCGCTTGGAGGGGATCAGGATGCTTAGACTCGTTCAGCCATTCAAATGTATTGGAGAGAATAGGGGCGTGGGGGTACATGAGGGAAAAGTGTCATATGGTATGTATAGTACTTCCGACGGAGGGGAACTGGAGGCTGTGATACTGGCTCTGTCATGTCAGATTCAAGTCAGTGATCACAATCACGAGATGTAGGGACAGAAATTTGATTGCTTACCTTACCAGCGTAAGCTGTATCTGGGGAGGCCAACTCATTTCAGTCCATAGCCCATGATCGGGATGGTTGTCCAAAAAAGCATCCATTACTGATAACCCAGTGCTCACCGAATTAAGTATTACCTAGTGACTCAGCCTCGGTGCGCGGCCTTGTAGTATATATACAATCCTGACACTGTTCTCAGCAATAGAGTTCGCTTGCCCGACAAAACTTCCTCAAAAAGGTTCAGATCAGGTCGGGTCTGCGCTGGTGTGCCTCTCACACGTTCCTTACCCCTATCTGCTCCCTCAAACATTGGTTCCAAACAACAAATCTTCACGGAATCCCAGCGTGCTCAGGTCTTAGATATCGCATTGTCACCCTCTAGAGCACAACGGCAGCGAGACCGGCAACAGCGGCAAGCACGCCGCCCGCGTTCAGGGCAAGGTCAGCCGCGCTGTTGCTTGAGTTGGCGGCCGGGGAGTTGGTTGTGCTGGTGGCGCTTCCCGAAGCCGACGATGTCGGGTTGCTGTTGTTGTCGGTGCTTTGCGTGGTCTGGGCTGCCGCCGAGGTCTGCGAGGCAGCGGAAACCACCGCGGTACTGGAGGGGAACTGGCTCGCGTAGCCGCAGAAGATCTCCCTCTGGCCCTCGCTTTCATCTAATCCAGCAGAAAAATCAAGAGGTTAGTGAGGAGGCCGGGGAAGGAAAGAGGATGAAGGGAAGCTGGAGAGGGAATCCTTACGCTTCCTGGTGTCGTCGGGGCAGTTGTTGAAGCATCTGCATTCGGATTGGGACGTGTTAGCCAGTGCTAATAAGATGAGATGGACGATTGGCGTGTCGACAGGCAAACCTACGTGACGATGTTTATCCACTGATTGCACTGGCAGTTGTAGTCGCCGGTTTTGCAGTTGGCGAGCTTTGCGTTCTCTCCTTCGAGACAAGCCTCGACAATGTAGTTGGCGGCACAGTCAGAATTCGACTGGGCCATGGCGGCCGATGCCATGAGGGCGATGGGGAACAAAAAGGACTTCATCTTGTAGTGTTTTGTCGAGAGAGTTGCGGAAATAACAAAGACAAGGCTGCCCGTCCGATGATGCTCTTTGGGGAGTCTCGATTATATGTATATGTTGACAGTAACGAGTGTATTGTACGCAGCAACTGACGAGGAATACAAAGTAGTATAGCAACACGCAACGGACCACGGCAACGAAGCGAGCGGAATGTTTCTCACAATGGGAAATACGAGAGCGGATAGGAAAGCGCTCAGTGGGAAGTTCCAGGAGGAAGGGGAAATGCACTAGCCAAGGTAAGGTAAGGTAGTGTTGACTTTGATTACGGACATGGGTGCGGCGCGACTGCCGCTCCAGGTTCACAGATTCTTCCAGACTCCCTCATTCAAGCTCGGACTTCTCCAATCGATGGAAACGCAGGCGTCTCCAACACCTGGCCGTGATCCTTTTCATTGGGCTCATCGGCCGTGAAGTTGTCTTGGCAAGCTGATTGTGCCGGTTGATGCCCTCAGCAACTCGGCTTTGCTCGAATGATTGGCACTTGAGTACGGATACATATTGACTTGAAGATGAACTTGCCGCGGTCCTTGAAGCCGTGGCAATGACAGGGGAACATCACGATTCCTTGTTTTGGCACCTGCGGGGCCATCCGTTCAGCTTCACAACCGACGCTGTTTGATTGGTCAATTACTTAAGTGACAACGCTAGTTCAAAAACGGGTTAGCGGACACAGCGCAAGGGCCATACACCTTCCCACCTTGGCATCTCAAAGCTATCCACCTGAGTCTGCTTTGCCTTGCAATTTGATTATACACTTGGTTGTCGCGATATCTCTGGAAACTTCGAATCCCGATCGTGGTCAGTACATTATTCCATACACCGGTCTACATTCTAGGAGCCAAGGCCAGATGTACAATCCTCGTACTCTCTCGCGGCACAATGGCTGTCCTTTCTGTGAGCACCACCTTTGTGAATCGACATCCAACCGGACCTGAATATCAGCGGCCCTTATTGAAACAATAAGGTAGCAGACACTACAGGCATCTTGCAACTGGATAACCATACCTTTTGTCTCCGGAGAACACTGCGAGACAGAGGCGCCCAACTATGAAAAGCGCACCGGGAGCTAGAGCCTCGCCAGTATGAGCTACGAAGCCTGTGTCAGGCCGTCGAGCTTTGCCGGTGTGCAACTGAGCTTACACCGAGGCGATAGCAGGTGAGGTCTCCCAAAGGTTCTTGACACGTGCATGTAGTGGGCATCCCGCTTCAAGCTGCTGTAGATGTAAAGGTACGACTTCTACGGCCTGCCAGGTCAGATGCTACGGGTCTTGAGTCCTCCATCGCATACCGGCCGATACACCTGAGGACCCTGGAGCCGGTGGACCTAGATGCAATCACCTAGTGTCCTGCTGGTTCATTTGATGGGCGATGCTCTGAAAGGGGACCTTGAGGCCGAGGTTGCCGGCCTGACTCCCTCTTGCCTTTCTGCCTCTCCAGCCCGATAGCCTCTCATATGTTTATGCTTCCAAGCAGTCCAGGAGGAGACGAAGTGCGAGACAAGTCTGCCATCTGCTACATTATGCCTGAGGAGCGGGTCCTTCGAGACTTCCATGTCTTACTAGTAGCATCCTTGAATAAGGCCGGGAAGTAGCCCCTATCGCAGACTGAAACCGCTTGCCTGAAGCACCACGCACGACAACGAGGGCGGTGAGCCTTTCCGAGTGAAGTAATCAGGAGGTTGATGATGTTCTTCGAGAGTAACCGTCCCCACGTCCAGACGGTCTTCCAACAGCCAACCGCTAGATAACTAACAGGTGCGTGGAAGTATGACTATCTACGTACACTATCCGTACTGAAGCAGCAGCCCCATCGACTCCTCTTTATGAGCCAAACTTCCACATACAAAAACCCAAAGCAAAACAGGAAAACATGACGGCTCGTATGGTATAGATAAAAACGCCCCGCAATATGCTCCATCTAATGTCCCGCCTCCGATCCGTAACCCTCTCCAGATGCTGGTTGTCGTCGTTAAATCGTCCGTGTCCATGGGTCCCAGGGAATACATCCCGTGGCGAGTCATTCGTTTCCCTCCGTATTATGCTTCCAGTAGTGATGAATAGCGGTGATACAGCCCCGGCCGCGAGGTCGGGCAGTGATGCGGGTGTGTAGTTCGGCTGGGGAGTTTTCACGTCATACGTGCCGGCTTCGCTTGCCACCACCAAACACGTCCTTGCCGTTCCCGAGACTGCCTAGGTCAAAGATCTCAGCCAGGTTGACCTTTCTCTTCTGCCCGGCCCCTCGTCCAAGCGATGTCCTAGGCCCTCCTGTCCTCGCACTTCTGCTCCTCCCGTTCCGCGGCGCTGAGCGGTTCGAGGCACCATGTGGTTGCGAATCGGAGAGGTCGAGATTTGCCAGCCGCATGGCGGCGTCTTGTGGATAAGGATGTGATGATTGAAAGGTGAAAGTTTCTTGCGAGGGAACAATGATGTCTACTTCCTCCACTACCGGGGTCGAAGGGCACGTAACCGTCGTGAGAACAGGCGGTGCGGAGTCCCTCATCTGAATCTCGCCCTTGTCGCTTGGCTGTGGTGTTACTGCTGGGACAGAGCGTGGAATCTGCGGTGATGATGCAGTTGCTTCGGTCTTCTCTGCTTCGTCGTCGCTCTCGAGCGGCGGGGATGTCATCTCCCGCCCCTCTAACCGCTCAGTGACCCATCTGCGAATCCTCTGCCCTTCGCCATTCACTGCGCCAATATTCTCTCTGTCCAGAAAGGAGAGGAGGTCATCAAGACAGTCCTGATACCCATCCGCACGCGACTTTGCAAGGGCGGAAGCAGATGTCTTGTACAGCTTCGTTACCGACAGGGCGGCGGCTTTGAAGGCCTCGAGTAGCTCGTTCGACTCAGCACTCATTGTGGCCTGGTTTTGTCCGACGATGGGCGGATGGCTTTGGTCGAGCCAGGGCACTGCGGCCTGGGAATTACTTGTCGGATATGTCGAGTTTCTGCCTTAGCTGATTGCTGTGGAAGGATATGATGTGACTGGCGATGGAGAGCTTGAGGGGTTTTCACTAAACCGAGGGGAGCCAAGGCGCTGGATGTGGGCCAGAGCGGAGCGTGACAGCGGCCAGGGTATTGTCTGCAGTGGGGTGTGATGGGTTATGGAGATGGCGGAAGCGTAGAATGAAGTGCTTAGGGCTAACGTTGGAGAAAAGTGTGTTCAAGATCGCATGACTTCGAGACGAGTAAGAACTAAGGTAGCTTTGGCTACGCCTTAGGGGTTCGCGAAGTTGGGTATCGACATCTGAACGGCGTGCGCTGTGTTGTCATGCCTGGGACAGGGAGCGAAGGAATGTCGCCGGTATCAAGCGCCACAGCGGAGATTGGCGGAAGTTTCCAGGTGCAGTCGCTGGTTTTTGATGATTCGCTCAAGTGGGTGGGGATTGTGGAGTGGCACGTGCGTCTAGCTCGCGGCCTTGGCACCTCCCATCCAAACACGGCAAGTGTCACCTTCACGAGTCAAGGTGTTAGACAGTTATTAACTGTTAGCTGGTGTACTCCCGTCGCACCAAAGGCCTGTTCTCAAAAGAAGCTGAAGGCAAGGTAAAACAATACATAGCTTGGTCACTCTTACTGTAAGCTTGAGTTCCTAAAGTACCTATGCCTTTCATGGGCTCATATGCTAGCCCAGTCACTTGGTCAGGGGCTGAGGCGTTCCACAGAGGTATTATTGTATGTAGTCGAATTTGGGGATGAATTGATCAGATGTTGACTGTGTTGGAGCATCACCTTACAACAGGTGCGCCAGATATCAAACTCGCTGTGTAGATGGTCAGATATCAGTTCCTCATTAGCTAAGGAAAGAGTCCATATCCTAAGGTACCTTACCTTCGTACTGTATGTACCGCTGTAATGCCCATATTGTCTTCAAGTTCCTTGTGGCCTGCCTCCGGAACATGTCTCGCTTGGACGAGCAACATTCTGTTTGCTCGGTAAAATTCAGATAAAAAAGGCTCTTTGCTTCGATAGCCTGATCGTATTTTCTGTACTCTGAGTACTACCGTTCTGGGTAGAGCACCTGCGGGCCTTCCGTCGACAGCACTTTAATCCCCTCCGCCCTGTGGCGGTTTTGATTGGCTGATTGGGACGCGGTTTGGACCTTTTTGGGGTTCCTCGACCTCAGAAATTCGCACCCTGCGAAGCACCCACCCATCTTCAACTGCATTGCTCCGAGCCTGCGACTTTCTTGTCGCAAACTGCAGCCACCAAGTCAGCGACCATCACCAAATCTTGTGGAATCATTCAGAAAAACACCCCCCTTCACCTTCAGACCCTCACTTATACACGCGAGGGCGTGTAAGTCGCGTAGTAGGAGCCATAAGCCTCCGCGAGGCGCTCCCGTCACCATGGCTCCCCGTCCCCGGCAGAGCGGCAATGACACCGACGCGTCAATGCCCGATGCTCCAGAACCCAACCAGAATTTTCGGGCCGGCCAAGACATGGTGAGATCCCCTGGCTCACCTTGCTAGAACCCCCTTACCCAAATTATTAGTTCGCATGTGTAAGTCAAAACCAGCCTAGACTAACCGCTTATTGCCCAGGACGTTGACGAGACGCCCGACTACACCGATTCGGATACGAACCCGAATACCACCGCCAGCAGCGTGGCGGGCGAGCCTGTCGTGGACGGCCGCAAAAGGCGCTCAGAAGCGAACCAGTTACGGAGGAGTATTTTCGGCAAGAAGCACGACAGATTGGGAGAATCCAAGGTAGGCAAGGCAATGAGGCATTTGTGATGGAATTGCTGCTCACGCCTCAACAGGAAGATGACACCATCCGTCGATTCCGCTACCTCCTCGGCCTAACGGATTTGTTTCGCCACTTCATCGAGACAAATCCGAACCCCAAGATCCGCGAGGTCATGGCCGAGATTGACCGGCAGAACGAGGAGGCCCAAAAAGCAAAGAAGGGAACCGGTCGCCAGGGCGGCGCTACTAGCGATAGACGCCGCCGGACCGAAGCCGAGGAGGATGCCGAGCTGCTCAAGGACGAAAAGCATGGCGGCTCCGCTGAGACAGTTTTCCGCGAGTCGCCCCCCTTCATCCAGGGCACCATGAGAGACTACCAAATCGCCGGTCTCAACTGGCTGATATCGCTTCACGAGAACGGCATATCAGGTATCTTGGCAGATGAAATGGGTCTGGGCAAGACCCTTCAGACGATAGCTTTTCTAGGTTACCTGCGACATATCATGGGGATCAGTGGCCCTCACCTGATCACTGTGCCCAAGTCGACCCTGGATAACTGGAACCGGGAATTTACCAAGTGGACTCCGGAGGTCAACGTTCTCGTTCTGCAGGGAGCAAAGGAGGAGCGCCATCAACTCATCAATGACCGCCTGATTGATGAGAATTTCGACGTCTGCATCACCAGTTACGAGATGATCCTTCGTGAAAAGGCCCACCTCCGAAAATTCGCCTGGGAGTACATCATCATTGATGAAGCCCATCGCATCAAGAACGAAGAGTCATCGCTGGCGCAGGTCATTCGCATGTTCAACTCGAGAAACCGCCTGCTCATTACCGGCACCCCTTTGCAAAACAACCTGCACGAGCTTTGGGCACTTCTCAATTTCCTCCTGCCCGACGTGTTTGGTGATTCAGAAGCTTTTGACCAATGGTTCTCTGGCCAGGGCCGTGACCAGGACACTGTTGTCCAACAGCTTCATCGAGTTCTCCGGCCTTTCTTACTCCGGCGTGTCAAGAGTGACGTGGAAAAGAGTCTCCTTCCAAAGAAGGAGGTTAACGTTTACATTGGCATGTCGGAGATGCAGGTCAAATGGTACCAAAAGATCCTCGAAAAGGATATCGACGCCGTCAACGGCGCGGGTGGAAAGCGGGAGTCCAAGACGCGGTTGCTCAATATAGTCATGCAGCTCCGCAAGTGTTGTAACCATCCCTACCTCTTCGAGGGCGCAGAGCCCGGCCCGCCTTATACCACGGATGAGCATCTGGTTTACAACTCTGGGAAGATGTTGGTCTTGGACAAGCTGTTAAAAAGACTGCAGAAACAAGGCAGCCGGGTGCTCATCTTCTCCCAGATGAGTCGTTTGTTGGATATTCTGGAGGATTACTGCGTGTTCCGGGGCTACAAGTATTGCCGCATCGACGGTGGCACTGCGCATGAGGATCGTATTGCCGCCATCGACGAGTATAACAAGCCCGATTCGGAGAAGTTCATCTTTTTGTTGACCACAAGAGCGGGAGGGTTGGGAATCAATCTGACCACTGCCGACATCGTCATTCTTTACGACAGCGACTGGAATCCGCAAGCCGATTTGCAAGCCATGGACCGAGCTCACCGCATTGGTCAGACCAAACAGGTGGTCGTATATCGCTTCGTTACGGACAATGCCATTGAGGAGAAGGTTTTGGAGCGTGCGGCGCAGAAGCTGCGTCTCGACCAGCTGGTCATCCAGCAAGGGCGTGCGCAGGTCGCCGCCAAAGCTGCTGCGAACAAGGACGAGCTTCTTTCCATGATCCAGCACGGCGCGGAAAAGGTGTTCCAAACCAAGGGCGCCTTCGGAACGCTTGCAGAAAAGAATGGCGAATTGGATGATGATGACATCGATGCCATCTTGCAGGCCGGCGAAAGCAGGACCAAGGAGCTGAATGCCAGATATGAGAAGCTCGGCATCGACGACCTGCAGAAATTCACCTCGGAGTCGGCTTATGAGTGGAATGGCGAGGACTTTGCCGCACGCAAGAAAGATATTGGCATCAACTGGATCAACCCGGCGAAGCGCGAGCGCAAGGAGCAAATATACTCGATTGACAAGTACTACAAGCAGGCCCTGCACACTGGGGGCAGAACCACCGAGGCAAAGCCGAAAGCGCCCCGTGCGCCCAAACAGGTTCCGGTTCACGACTACCAGTTCTACCCTCCTAGACTGCGCGATCTCCAGGATAGGGAGACCGCATACTACCGAAAAGAAATCGGGTACAAGGTCCCTCTTCCCGAGGGCGACGACGAGAACCTGTCGGAGCGCGAGGCCGAGCGAGCTCTGGACCAACAGGAGATCGACAATGCCACACCCTTGACCGAGGAGGAACAAGAGGAGAAACAGGCACTTGCACAGCAAGGGTTCGGTGACTGGAATCGCAGGGATTTCCAGCAGTTCATTAACGGGTCCGGGCGCTATGGGCGGACGAACTACGAAGCAATTGCGCAGGAGGTCGACAGCAAGACCCCGGCGGAAGTCAAGGCGTATGCCAAGGTCTTTTGGCAGCGGTACACCGAGATTGCCGATTACAATAAGTATATCAAGATCATCGAAGACGGTGAAGAGAGGATGCGCAAGATCGAGCACCAGCGCAAGATGCTGCGCAAGAAGATGAGCAAGTACCGTGTGCCTCTGCAGCAACTCAAGATCAGCTATTCTGTCTCAACGACCAACAAGAAAGTGTACACAGAGGAGGAGGATCGCTTCCTCCTGGTGCTGTTGGATAAGTATGGTGTGGACTCGGAAGGAATCTACGAAAAGATCCGGGACGAGATCCGGGAGAGCCCTCTTTTCCGCTTTGACTGGTTCTTCCTCAGCCGGACTCCGACCGAGCTGAGCCGTCGTTGTAACACTCTCCTCACGACAGTCGTCAAGGAGTTTGAGGATGTCAACACGACCAAGACGAATGGCGTCAACGGGAAACTTAAGCGAGAGCCGGATGACGATGAGAATGATGAGGACAGCGTCCTCGGGATGGCGCCGGCCAAGAAGAAGACTAAGGCGAACGGTGTCAAGGTTAGTGAGATTTCTCGTCTAGTGTCCCTGTCATGATATTCTAACCCATGCGGCAGAATAAGGCGCTCGATAGTGTAAAGTCAGCGGCGGGTAGCAAGGCGACTTCTACGTCAGCTTCGCGGGCGTCAAGTGTCGCATCGACAAACTCCAATGCCCCGGCCTCAAAGAGCAAGTCAAAGGGCAAGAAGAAGTAAAGCATAGATTAGTGTCCTCCGAGGTTTATGGTTAGGAACTAGATAGGGTGATGAACGGTTGAGCATGTCGCAACTGGGACTTTAGTTTTGTCTTTCTGTCTCGGTCGATGGAAGGTTGTGACGAGGGGCTAGATTAGGACAGGAGTTCAGGGGTTATTTCGTCGTCTATGTTTGCTATCACGGAACTGGAGTCGCAAAACAGTGACTTTGCTGGGCATCTATCTCCAAGGGAGGCAAGGCTCAACTCAAGGACTACGTATGTAGAAGAGAAGGGGTGATAGCAATTGCAGTGGATTAGCGCTCTACTCGGATCAATGACGGCGCCGTACTAAAAGTTTCCCAACAGCGCCGGCCCGTCCACTTTTCAGTGCGAGGGATCAGACCAAAAGGCATCTGTGCATGATCAAAGCCAGGGAGTGAACGATGGTTGAGTCTTGCAGATTCTAGAGCTCTAGGTATATCCGCAACCCAGACACGGCAAATGCAGGAGCTGGACTGCTTGGGCTTGGAAAGAGTAAGAGAAACCCTGGTTTTCTTCTACCGGAAGTAGAAATGGTCCCTCCCACCTAGATCCGCCTAGCCAGCCGTGTTTCCCTAAAACGCCATTATGAAACATCATTGATGCCAAAGCAGATGCCCCTCTTCTTTCAACACCCCCCTTCAGTTCCTTGATCACAATCCATCAATTTCTCAAGCAGTAGCGGTGCCCATCTGCTGCTGCCTGTTCGCCCGCTCCCGCTCCACCTCGTACATGAAGTCAAAGTAGCCCTTGTCGAAGTGGTGGACGCGCACGTAGCCGTCCTCGCCGCCGCTGGCGTAGCTCTTGCCCGTGGGGTCGGCGGCGATGGAGTTGAGCGGGCCAAAGTGGCCCCGCACGCGGCCAATCTCGTCCTCAAAGATCTTGTGGTAGAAGCGCGCCTCGAACCGCCCTTGCCGCGACGACGTCGTCGTCACCTCGGACGCGGCCTGCCCGCCGCCCAGAATGACAAAGTCCTTCTTGGCCGTGATGGTCGCCGTGTTGAGCGGCGTGTCGGCCGGGTAGCTCTTGAGGACTTCGAGGTCCTTGGCGGAGATCAGCTGTGATGGGGTTTTTAGTGAGCAGGTGTACTAGGTGGATATTGATTGTCTTATTGGAGAGGTTGTGTTTACCTTGGCCGTCTTGTCTTGTGAGGCGGTGATGAAGTATGTCCGGTCCGAAGACCACTGCATGTCAGTGATGGATGAATTGAGCTCGTGTACGGGAATGTTGTAGATCAGGTCGCCCGTCTTTGCGTCGTACTGGGAGACGGACCCGTCCTCGTGGCCGGCGATAATGTATTTGCTCAGGTAGCTCCACCCGGCGACGGTGGCCTTGCTCTCTTCGCACACAATCGTCAGGGCCTTCTCGTCGGACTGCTCCGCCTCAACGTCGATCTTGATGTCCAGCACAACGATGGTGCCCAGGTGCCCCATGCGCTTCTCCGTTACGCCGAGGAGCTTGCTGCCATCCTCGTTGAACTCGACCCGCTTGACGGCGGTCGGGAACTCCCACGATTTGAGGCACTTGCCCGTCTTGATGTCCCAGAGTCGGATTGTGTTGTCGGCAGAGCCCGAGGCGATAATGGTGCTTGTGGGGTCGACGTCAACGGACCAGATGGCACCTTGGTGGCCGCGATATGTGCCGAGGCGCTCCCCGTTGTGCGAGAACCAGACGCAGATTTGCTGGTCTTTTGACGTGGTGAATATGAGATCGCCGTCCCGGTTGTATCTGCAAAACAGGCCAGGTCAGATACGATACCCAACAATACACGGTCCATTCTCGTGTCACTAACTTGACTTGGGTCAGGGGCCGTTCGTGGCCCTTCAGGAGAATGGGCCTCATTTTAGCGAATCTGGCGGTTCGTTCAAGCCGGTTTCACTGGGTATCGATGTTGATCTAGGTGCAATTCTCTTTTCTTTTTCCTTTTTTTGGTCGCGGGGAACGTAGGACTCGAGTGCGTGATCTTTGCAGTCTATCGCGGGGCGTAGGTCGTCTTTGAGGTAGGGGATGCTTCGGTTTGTCCTTTGATCGAGGGTTGATTTGCACGTATTTTTTCCATCGATTGTGCGTGGCGCAGATAGGGAGGCTGACGGCGTAACGATAAGAGTCATCGCGGGGCACTCTAACAAGTTTCCCCACCCAGTTTCTGTGTAATTATTCACTGTATTTCTGTATCTCAGTAGGCCATTCTGAACCCTAGACAAAGGGAGAGTAGGTAATTACTGTAACTACGCCATAGCGCGTATAACCCTGGGCACACTGTATTTCATTATCCCGAAGCTTTAGGTACTGTACAGTACTTAACGTCAACGGTTGAATGCTTTGGTCCATAGCATCACAAAGAACCAGAACCAATCTTCCTAACCTAACCTAAACGCTATTCGGATCGAGGACGAGTAACATTTCTTTGGAGGCTGAGTCTTGTCATGAAACTAAAAGGCAAACAACTTAGAAAGGCATTTTAATCCATGCCCCAGCAAGTTATTGGCTAATTAATACTTTCTCTATTGCCACTCTACCAGCTCAGGAGACACCTTTCCCTTCCTGGCGTCAAATGTTCGCTCCGTGCCAGATGCTTGTACATATCTCAAGCCCAGTCTTCCGTCGACGAGTTCAAAGCCCTAGCGGAGCAATTAAGATACAGCATGGACTGTTCAACTATATTAGCGGCTATTCCGGTTCTTCCTGGCCGACTGAGCGCTGAAAGTCCGTGACTCAGCGCTACTCTCTCCACTACTTCGGGCCGTCTAGGTAGTTGTTCGTGTTTTGTTTTATCCATGGGGGTCCAGCCCTGAATTCCTGTTGTTCCCCGACTTCTCTGCCCTCGGCGGCCAATTGACGCGTTCTGTGATCTGTCTGTTGCCGCTATTGCGATTACACGGCAGCAGCGGCCGATAACCATACCATGACGCTTTCACGTCTTGTCCAGAGGGTTCCTGCTTCGCGTTTTGCACTGAGCGCCAGCCAATGTTCGACGAGGAATCCACGTTGCTCAAGAGGGAAGACACGGCCGAATGTCGAGTCCCTAAGAGCCAATTTGCGGTTGAATCGCTGTGCAAAAGCTACACTCACAACGAGTGAGTCAGTATCGGACGAAAGCAGCGCAACGTGGGACATACAGCCCGAGACCGGGTTGCGGCGTGCCAATCCTTCCTCGGCTTACACTAACACGGCCTCCTCCGCTGCCCCGCGTGGTACCCTCCGTGCACCCCGCCAGACTCCATCAGTCCTCGTCCGAAGCAGCAGCACCAGCAGCATTAGCAGCAGCAGAGCGTCTCTTTTTCCCCATTACCGCCTCGTGCCCGCTCCAGCTGCTCCCAGGGCCTTCTACAGTTCCAGATTTCACAGTTCGGCAGCCATGGCCGCGACAAAAATTGACGGAACGGCCATAGCACGCAAGGTCCGTGAGCGGCTCCAGGCCGAGATTGCGGAAAAGAAGGCCATCAATCCGCGATTTCAGCCGTGCCTCAAGATCATCCAAGGTGCGTTGCATCCCGCCCGATATATGCACAGAAAATGAATTAATACCTCGTGGCTAACCCAAATACTCGCCGCCGTTTAGTGGGTGACCGATCCGATTCTTGTAAGCAAGCCACGAGAAAATGCTATTACCCCGCCAGATAGCAATGGAGACTGAATTGACTTTGGATTTTGCTGGCCAGCCACCTATGTGCGCATGAAGTTGAAAGCCGCCGAGGAGGTTAGCTACTCTGTCTTGCCCAGATCTCGTTCTTGGCTACATTAGTTCCTGCGCCCACTGACCCATGGCGGTCCCCTAGGTCGGCATTGTTTGCGAAGTGATAAAGTTTGACGACACGGCTACCGAAGCTGAGCTCGTCGCTCGTGTGGTTGCCCTCAACAACGACCCCGCCGTTCATGGTATCTTGGTGCAGCTTCCCCTTCCGAGCCACGTCTCCGAGTATGCCGTCACGTCGGCCGTGGCAAGTGAGAAGGATGTGGACGGCTTTGGCACCTACAACATTGGCGAGCTCGCCAAGCGCGGCGGCCGACCATTCTTCGTCCCCTGCACTCCGAAGGGTGTCATGGTGCTTCTTAAGGAAACCGGTATTGACCTGAAAGGCAAGAATGCCGTCGTCGTTGGGAGGAGTGACATTGTCGGCAGCCCCGTCAGTTACCTCCTGAAGAATGCCGACGCCACTGTCACGGTCTGTCATTCCAAGACAAAGGACCTCGACCAGCATCTCAAGGACGCCGATGTCGTCGTCGTCGCCATCGGAAAGCCAGGCTTTGTTAAGGGCGAGCAGCTCAAACCGGGCGCTGTGGTCATTGATGTGGGGACCAATTACATACCCGATGCCACCAGAAAGTCGGGCCAGCGCCTGGTGGGCGATGTGGATTTTGAATCAGCCTCCCAGGTCGCCTCATTCATCACGCCTGTCCCCGGTGGCGTGGGGCCCATGACTGTTGCCATGCTACTTCAGAATGTCGTTGATTCGGCTACGCAGTCTTTCGACGCCGAGAAGCAGAGACAGATCATCCCCCTTAGTCTCACGCTCCTGGATCCTGTTCCCTCCGACATTGCCATTTCTCGAGCGCAGGCGCCAAAGCACGTGTCACAGATTGCCAATGAGGTTGGCATCTCGCCCTCGGAATTGGAGCCCTACGGCGCATACAAGGCCAAGGTCGATCTTAGCATCCTCAAGCGCCTCGGTCACCGTCGGGATGGCCGCTATGTCGTAGTCACAGGCATCACACCAACCCCTCTCGGCGAAGGCAAGTCCACAACCACAATGGGCCTTGCCCAGGCTCTGGGTGCCCATGTTGGCCGCCTCACATTTGCCAATGTGCGCCAGCCCAGCCAGGGTCCTACTTTCGGAATCAAAGGTGGTGCTGCTGGCGGCGGATACAGCCAGGTCATTCCCATGGACGAATTTAACCTGCACTTGACTGGCGACATTCACGCTATCACAGCTGCCAACAACCTCCTAGCCGCCGCCATTGACACGCGCATGTTCCACGAAAGCACCCAAAAAGACGGTGCTCTTTACAAGCGGCTGGTTCCTGTCAAGAATGGCAAGAGAGCGTTTGCCCCTGTAATGCTGCGTCGGCTGAAGAAGCTGGGAATTGATAAAACAGACCCGAACGACCTGACCGAAGAAGAAATCCGCCGTTTCGCTCGTCTTGACATTGACCCGGAAACCATCACTTGGAGGCGCGTTCTGGACGTTAACGACCGGCATCTGCGTGGCATTGTCATCGGGAATGCGCCGACTGAAAAGGGCCACAGCCGGGAGACAGGGTTTGACATCTCCGTGGCTAGTGAGTGCATGGCCATCCTTGCCCTGAGCACCAGTTTGGCCGATCTACGGGAGCGCCTTGGCAGAATGGTGGTTGCAAGCTCGCGGAGTGGTGAACCTATTACCTGCGATGACATTGGCGCAGGCGGTGCGCTTACTGCGCTGATGAGGGACGCAATCAAGCCCAACCTCATGCAGAGCTTGGAGGGCACTCCCGTCTTCGTGCACGCAGGGCCGTTTGCCAACATTAGCATCGGCAACAGCTCCATTCTGGCGGACAAGATGGCTCTGAAGCTCGCCGGCACCGAGCCCGATGAGGATTATACGACCAAGGCCGGCTTTGTTGTGACCGAGGCCGGGTTTGACTTTACCATGGGTGGCGAACGCTTCTTCAACATCAAGTGCCGCACGTCAGGTCTCGTCCCCGATGTCGTCGTCGTTGTGGCCACTATCCGCGCGCTCAAGGTTCACGGTGGCGGTCCGCCCATTTCGCCCGGAGCGCCTCTTGATGCAGTCTACAGGGAAGAGAATGTCGAGGTTCTGCGAAAGGGCTGCGTAAACCTGGCGAAGCACATTGCTAATGCTAGGTCGTACGGCGTTCCAGTGGTTGTCGCAATCAACAAATTCTCCACCGACACGCAGGCCGAGATCGATGTTGTCCGCGAGGAGGCCATCAAGGCGGGCGCCGAAGATGCCGTCCTGGCCAACCATTGGGCTGAGGGCGGCAAGGGTGCCATAGACCTCGCTCACGCTGTCATAGCAGCGGCTGAGAAACCCAAGGACTTCAAGCTCCTCTACAGCCTCGAGGGCACCGTGCAGGAGCGCATTGAAAAGATCGCCCGTGAGATGTATGGCGCTGCCGCCGTCGAGTTCAGCGAGCTCGCCCAGAAGAAGGTCGACACGTACACTCGCCAGGGCTTTGGTAACCTGCCCATCTGCGTTGCCAAGACGCAGTACTCGCTGAGCCACGACCCGGAGCTCAAGGGAGCGCCGACTGGCTTCACGGTGCCTATCCGGGACGTCCGCATGGCTGCCGGCGCTGGCTACCTGTATGCCTTAGCGGCCGATATCCAGACGATTCCCGGCCTGCCCACCGCTCCAGGCTACCTCAACGTTGACGTGGATGCTGAGACTGGCGAGATTGAGGGCTTGTTCTGAGCATTCTAGCATATTTCGGTTCATTCATGCTTCATCAACTGTCTTCCTGGCGTTCATCATGTGGCATGGGAAGTCGCTGGCTTGTATCTTTGATCAACTCACTAGGTATGCGGTATGGAGCAAGCTTAACGGGGAGTCCGTGTTTTAACACATGGCGCTTGGGTCCTGGACGGGTAGAGGTTGGAAAAGGCCAGTAGGGGCAATTTTAGACAGCCATCTACAGCATAAGAGATACCGGCGATTTATGTACGAAGCCAGCAATATAATTCATGCTTTCGAGCCCAAGCGTATCTTGGTCAGTTGATCGGACTGGTTTGGATTGCAAAGTATCTCTATTCCCATAATATCTCCTCTTGGCTATGCTATGATTATCCTTCTAACGCCTTTTCCCTTTACCATCATTAAGTCCTAGATCTATCATTAGATGATTCGTAGCGTGCAAAGTAGCTAAAAATACACGATATAAGGAAAGCCCCAAGGGGCATGAACTAGCACGTAGACAGGAGAATACAATGAAATACAGATTGAAGGAAACAAATGAGAATATTAGAAAAGAAGCAGTCAAACCGAGTACAAGAACAAGTGTTGAAAATGAAGAAATAGTACAAAGGCGGAAGATGAAACGGTCGTCAGTCGTCTGAGTCGTAAGGTTGAAAGAAACAGACAAATGAACCAGCCAGCCAGCCAAATCTTACCCTACCATGCCCTTGTATGTAATGCTGTGTGTAAGTATCAAACGTCTCATAGTAAATCTTCCAGGTACAGTATATCCCCACTGTCCGTGTTTGTATCGAACATGCCCGTTTACTCCCTCTCTTCTTGAGAAGAAATGGCAACGGAAAGCGGAAATGCAACGCGGGAACATAAAGAAAGAAGGAGGTGGAGAAAATAAAGATTAGGAAATCAGAACAGCAAGGGGGAGAAGAAGACGAAGATGCAGGAAAAGGAGATATATCCCGCCGCGCTTGTATGCCGCTATGCAATGCCGAAGAGTCCAAGGGGTGTGTGTGTGTGCGTGTGTGTGTGTGTACACGTGTGTAATGTTGTTTGCTGTATTGTGTAGTGTATATCCGCGTTTTTCATCTTAATATTAATTTTAGGTTCCAAGGCTGGCGGCGGTTGAGTTTGCTTTTCGGGAGGCAGGGAAGGAGAGCAGGTTTCCGACTTCACTCCTCCCTCGGTGATGATGATCGGTAGATACTGGAAGCGTGCGTGGATTCGCCCGGGTGCCAGTGCCCTTTTCTAGTCGGTCGGTCGGTCGGTATCCAGAAGAGAGGCGAGGGAAGCCGGTAGTTGTTCAAAACCACATCCGCCCAACCCCTTCCTCCACCTTCTTCAGCACCCCGACCGCGTCCCAGTACAGCCGGCTGCGCTCCCCGACGCAGTCGCTCTCGAGCCGCCGCCGCACCAAGCACACGACGTTGTGGGCCTCGGGGGCGCCGCGCACCGCCACCACGTCATCGAGTGTCGCGCCCTCGGCTGCCACCGTGCGCAGCCACTCGATCGCTGCCGCCTCTTGGTCTGCCGTACTCCTACTACTCCCACTACTAGTAGTAACGGCCGCGGTTATGCCTAGGGGAGGGCTGTTGTTGCTCCCCGCTTCGCTGACGCTGGCGCTGGTACTACCGGACGCCGCACTGCTGCTCCGCTGGCGGGCTTGCCTTTGCTGCTGCTTATCAGAAGACGATGGAGAAAACGATGTGGATGATGATGACGACGCGCTAATTGTGCCACGCGCGCGGTGGCTAAAGGCCCAGCAGATGAGCGCGCACACGTACATGGCCCAGTAATCGGCCAGGTCGAGACACCAGAGCGCGGCGGGCGGGCCGTGGTAGGGGGACAAGGGCTGCTCGCGCTCGAGGAAGAGCAGGATGGCGCGCGCAGCGTAGACCGTTGCCCGCACGGGGTTGAGGCCCGCCAGGCTGGGATCTGTGTACGTGCCAGCGGTGCCGCCGGTGGTGTTACTGGTTGTTAGAGAGGGACTGGTGGTTGCGCCCGTAGCCCACAGCCGGACGCGGCGCTGGTGCTTGACGAACGTCGACCCGTGCAGCAGCTTCTGCGTAAACACCCACGAGTCACCCGCCACGGCGAGCAGGTCGCGCAGTGGGGTGTGTTGCAGGGCTAGGTAGGAGTTGCCGACAGGGCAGCCCCCGAAGAGGTAGCTGATGCGCTCCTCGGCGTCGATGTACGGCATGTGCGGGGTAATGGGCGGCTGCTGCTGCGGTTCCGGCAGCTGATCGAACTGGCTTCCCATGTTGTCCATGTTGTCGTCGGGCGCGGGGGAGTTGTCTGCCGAGGCGGCCGTGGCGAGCAGCGACCTATGGCGACGCGGCAGGCGCAGCGCGCAGGCACTGAGAATCATCAGACGGTCAAAGTTACGCCGCGAGAACAGGTCCACCTCGGTGAGCTGCTCGAGCGGGGGGACGAATTCGGGATCGACAGCACCGGGATCCTCGGCCAAGGCGGCTTCCCATTCCTCGGCCGTGCGAGCCTCCCACAGTTTGGCGCTGCGGCCAAGGAGAGGGACCAGATGGAGTGCGGCTGACCCGTCAGCTTCGAAGTCCTGGGCCCGTCGCTGTTGCTGGTAAACGGCGGCGTGGCCGTCGCAGAAAAGGCATCCGGCGAAAAGTCGACGGCGCGATTCCGCGTCGACCCAGTTGCGCCACCGGTCCTGGAGAGGCAGTTGCTGATTCGAGGCTAGCATGGCGTGATCCAGGAGAGCCGGGCTGTGGTAGAGCACCTGTGTGTTGGAAACAGACTGTGAGTATGCCTGCCCTGGAGCCTTGGAACGAGTCGAGAAAAAGGGAGGGGGCGCTGGGCCCTGCACCGGGCTGGAGCGCGTGGGATCAAAGAGGGAGGACCACGATGTTTGTGCTCGTGAGCGAGCACCAGGAGAGGAAGTGACATTGACATTAAGATTAAGATTACTGCGAGAAGAGTGCGAGAAGTCAAAGACCAGGGACGACTCTGAAGAAGATTTGGAAGGATTTCCAAAACGCGAAGAAGTCGCCGACGAGCCATACGACGAAGAAAAACCCCCCCAGGGAGTTCCCTGAAGCGGACTAAGGTGCCGCAGAGCGAAGGGAGACATGGTTGTGGTGGTCGGTGTAATGGAATCACACAATGACGAGTTTGAAGAAGCAGGGGACGAAGTAAGAGACCAAGCGGTGGTGGTAGTATCGGCAAGCCAAAAGCCGCTGTCCTCAGAAAAAGCAGACGACGGCGGCGGGATAAAGTATGGCAGAGCAGCACTCACCCTCGAATACAGTGACTCGAACGGTTTTGAGGGCCGCGTGACGGCCTTGCGGCCACGAAAACGCGCAAAATATTCGCATAGGAGGATGGCTTGCATGATCTGCATGGTCCACTGGGGAGTCTGTTGGTTCGCCGCCATCAGGGCTTGTCAGCATCGTCGTTTTGCAATTTAACCATAGCTATCCTCGACGAAGGTTCTCCATGGTCTACTCACCCGTTTCACCTCCTGCCAGGCAAATTCGTGTAGCTGATTTCCCCGAGCGCGGTCTTCCCTGCTGTCGAGGTGTTGAGTAGCTACGGCCGCCATGGCGTACATCAACGCATCTTCCGGGGCCGCCTCGAAAGTCTGTCGGTGCACCATCGGCAGAAATTTGTCAATCCGCGCCCAGTACACCTGTAGATATCTGGGAACCGCGGCGCGGACGGGCGCCGGTAGCGGGATGGTCATGGTCGGAGGGATCGGCATAACACATCCGCCTCCCATGGCCAGGTCCAGCTCTGCGGCAATGCCGGCGCTGTGACTGCCATCGTCAACGCGGAGGTTGGCAGCATTGGCGCCATCGCCGCCGTATCCGGCGTCCAAGCCACCTAGCAGACTCATGTCGCCCATGCTAGTACCCATAAGATCCTGGTGTGCCTCCATCATGATCCCTTTCCGGCGGTCGAGGCTCGCCAAAGGATCAAGTCGGCTTGGGAGAGTAGGAACGGGCGCAACCAGAGACTCACTTGCATGAGATGCCGCGTTCATGGGTGGCGTCTGGCCGCGCAGAGACGAGATGGAGTTGTCCTGGCGCTGCTGATGGGGGCGGAACGTGCTAACCGTTGAATTGCTCACGGAACCATGGTGGCTGGTCGCTTCAGCGAATCCCATAGACTGGACATTAAGCACTGTGCTCCCAAAATGCTGCTCTTGCGCCGGCGGGTTTGACGTGTACGAATTGATTAGGAAAGGAGCTTGTAGGGCTGAGACTCCGTCCATTCCGGCGCCTGGAGGGCGGAGACCCCGTGATCTCGTGCTAGGATACGGGGGCAGCGTCTGCGAGGTAGCCCATTCGGTGGTCGGCGACGGCCCACGGATCCAGGGGCGAGTGCGGGAGACGTCTGACGGGGTCGAGTAGGTGCTGTCCGATGCCGATGATGGCCATGGTGAGGTATCATGCTCTGGCAACTGCTCGGGCGGCTGTAGACCGGGCGGCTGTAGACCTCGCGGCTGGAGCCCCTGCGTGACAACGTAGATAGGCGGGTGTCCGCTCCTAGGTGTTTGGTAGGAGCCTGAACCACCATGATAAGGTGACGCTAATGATGGAGCGTGTGTTGGGGTGATGACTGAGATTTCGGGGGACAGCGTGTAAGGACTATGGTACTCTCCGGGTGAGCCTCGTACAGACGCGTAGCTCGAGCTGTTTCCGTGTGCCGGACTCCCAAGCTGCGGGAACCCTGACTGGTTCCTAATGGTGGCGGTGCTGGGTGTCGGAGGCAATTCGGTTGTCGAGGGCGAGGGAGCCGGTCCCGTAATGGACGACGAGCTTCCGTGGGGCTGCGGAGCCTGTTGGACAACTGGCGCCGAAGAAGCATGCGGACTCTCTGGTGAGGTGCCCGATCTCGGCACTTGATCAACATTTTCGCTTCGCATAGCCGTCAGCATACAAATCCCGGGGAGAGGGGGGATCGCATTGTACACGCACTGTTTTTGCTGGTGCCGTGCCAGCAAATCTTCGCGGTGAAACTGCTTCTCACAGCTTGGACATTGGAACTGAGGCGCGCCGTGACTCAACTGGTGACGCCTGGAATACTACATGAGCACACCAACACACATCCAAAACCAACCAGTACCAAACAGGATGATAGCCGGTAAGGCAAAGTAGGAAGCTCACCTTAGATGTTCAGCCCGTGTAAAAGTCTATACATAGTCAGCACATATGCGAGCTCGAACGGAGTACCCCTCTCATACCCTTGGAGGTTTGCAAATTTCGCAGACATGGACGGGCAAGCCCTTCTGTGCTTTGCTGACCCGGTTGGTCTTTGGAGTCAACCTCGGCTGGAACGGTGCTGCGGAGAGATGCATGGGCATGGGCCTCTGGGGGCCCCGGGCCGTTGAGGGCGACGAGGCAGAAGAACCATATGCTGTCGGGTCCATCGAGTCGCTGCTCGTCGTGCTCTGACGACTGGCAGACGGCCGGTTTGTGCTCGCCGACAGGGTTGGCGACGACGACGACGAGGACGAGACTGCGGGGATGGGGCCTGCTCCTCCTGACCCTGCTGCTGCTGCTGTTGCTGCTCCTTCTCTTCCTGAAGCCGGTGGGGCAGAATTGAGACCTCGGGATGGGGCACCGCGCCTTTTGGGCTGGGCAGCGAGGGCGGCCTGGTTGATATCTCCCTCGGTGGCCTGGCCGGGACTACTGGCAGATCCCGGGTCTGCTTGCTGGTTGGTGGGCGGTTCCTGGAGCTGACCGGCACTGGCCGGTTTGCTGGCGCCCTTGTCCCTTTTATTGTGGGGGTGTCGACTGTCGGCAGTCTGGCGGTCGTCGTTGACATCCATTATAAAGTCTAAGCTAGCCATGACGGACGGCAGCAGTCTCTCAAATTGGAAGTTGGGGATGCCAAGTTGGGACTACACAGCCCTGCTGGGGCCTCTGTGACAAATGGGGAGGTAGCAGTTGATACGAAAGATACGAAAATGGATAATAAGGCCCGACAAAACCTGGGTCGGGTACGTCGGGTATGCCAGTACACGCGCGGCTGCTGCAGCACGCGCGAGCAGAGAGGCTCAAAGGTAGGGGAAAACAAGAGAGCCAGCAGAGCACGATGTGGAAGCGGAGGAGACAGAAAGCAAGCCTCAGCCTGGGACTACGACTGGGGGGGTGTTCATGGAGGGAAAGGGGGGGGTAGAGGACTAAGGAGAACTGGTTGCAGGAACGGGCCCGAAGGGACCGCGTGATTTCGCAGCCGTTGACAACAGGACCCGGTATGAGCATCACCCATTGATACAACAGGACCCAAGGGCAGCATTCTGGGGTGCTACAGCGCGGCACGCCAGCGGCGCTGCTATATTCAGATGGGCTCCAGGACCTGCCAGGGGACGTTGGCGATTAACCTCGAAAAAGATGGGATGGACCGATGGAGTGCCCTTGCAGAAGAGGCTTGGTGCCCGTTAAAGAGCGGCTGTCGCCCCGCAGGGCCCTGTCCCTGTCAGCTTTGCAGTGCCCGGGATGGGGGGTGGGACAGGGGTTGGGATAGCCGACCACCAACTAACGCAGCGAGATTGTATTGTATGTACAGTATGTACATACAATACCATGTCGTGATATTAGTAATATCGAACATACCACCGATTCGGCGACTCTTTTGAGTCGTTGCAAGACGTTGTGTGTCAGCGGAGATAGCTAAATGCGGGAGACAGAAAAGGCCATCGAGGAAAGGGGGTACGCGATTTCATGATGTTGATGCTCTTTTCTCCTCGACGTTGGTCTACATTGAGCGTTGAAGCTTGGCGCGAAGAGTAAGCTTGTTGTTGCGAAATGCTTCTGAGCCACCGGGGCCAGCCACTAGGGGAAAGGTGGCGTCATTCCAAATAGACGCGGATCTCTTAGCTGCCGCCCGAGACGCCGGCTTCTCTCCATTCCTTAAGCTTAGCTAGACGCCGCAAGCAGGCTACATAGAGCCGGGGAACCGCCGTCCGTCCAAAGTCGCCTCGTGGCCTTGACAATTTCCAGAAGACTCTGATGCCGGTTTGGGAACGCATAGGCGCCGCGAGGTTACTCAAGGTGTGGTAAATGTGTCGTACAGTATCCTCGTAGGGCTGCTGGAATAAGGCCGTCGCCGAGTCGGGACATGGCAGGGTATTGACATGTGGCAACCTTTCAAGCGCAAGGATGCGGGTGCCTGGTGCAACACCTCGTAGCCATGTAGCACAGAGGACGCGGCTCTCTTGGGAAGCCGGGTTGTTGGGTACATCGATTGTCGCCAAGTCCCCTCAAGTCCCCTCTTCCCAGCTACACGTGTATGTATGTACGTATACCGTATATGTGGTGTGTCTTGCAATTCTCAAACTTTGGTTGCCGTCTGAGAAGAGAGCGGCGCATGTCCTCAACCTGCAGAATCCATGTGCCAAGGATCCTCTTTACCAAGAGCTTCACCCTGTAGCCGACTGGCGAGCTGTTCCCTTGCGGCCAGGGTTACACAAGGCTAAAAGCGCACACTTTCCATGAGAGTCAGCTGCAACGCGACGCTAGACGGTTGCTAGGGCTGCCAAGAGGGCAGCTACATACTTCATAGAGACGTCTTTTTTTCCACACTGAGTGGGTGAAGTTCGAGAAGGGTGCCAGATCAGTCATTACTGACGAGCCTGAGGAATGTCGGTATTGACTGATTAGACGGCCGAATTGGGCTCAGTTCCTTGAGACCGGATTGGGACGTCTCACGCCTATTTGGTGCGAGAGCAGCAGCCATGTCCTCATGGCTCATGCACTGATGTGATTATTGTGATGACAGTCTCACCACCAAATCGCTTGATCTCCCTAAGCGCGACCATGCTGACGGCGTCTGCGCTAGTGCAGTGTTGGGGTCTTGCGTGCCTAATGGTTGTGTGGAGCAGGACAGTTCAGATTTGCTCCCCGAGATCGAAGAATGTGTGTCGGCCGCGAGCCGGTTCAAACGTGGGCAGAAGGTTTCCTAGTGGACGGCTCTTGACGGAGCAAGTTTTGGTGCGGTGGGATGGGTTGGCTGATGTGCATGCAACTGCCAAGTCTCACTGCTCTCATTGGTCAGATCAGGACTGCGCCGCATGCTGGTGAGATCCTATTTTTGCCGAGTCCCCCGTTGAAGAAGGCTTTGGATGAGAATGATGAGACCTTTTCTTTCTCTTGCGTCGAATCATGGCAGCTCACTGCATCGTGGGTTTGCCGCGATCCGCATAACGCCAAGGTAAATGCAAAGCGAGGAAACTACGAAGAAGCAGAGCTGCAACTTGCCAGGAGCAGGCGCAGAGGAGGAGAAAGCCAATGCGTAGCCTCATCGTTGGCAGTTTCCCAGGTCCGATGTGCCAAGAGATCTGATAGTGTAAGTTAACGTTTAGCGTCAGATTGCCTTTCAAGTTTCAACTTCGATCGGGTGTGGAGAATGGAGAATTCGGTTGCCACATCTCCATGTCGCAAGCGACCGGCCAACGGTTAGTGTATTGTACATACCTTACTGTACACTACGGCCAGATGGGTTGATCGGCTTCAGACTACTTCTCTCCTACTACTGCAGTAAGATGTATTATTTATTTTGAGGCAAAGGTCGATTGGAGATTCTCAATGGTTCCGTTTCTTGGGTTGTACAGCAGGTGTTGCGAAGTAGAAGCGCCGGCATCGCCAACAAACTGATAGTTTTGTCCGTATGTGCAAAGTGTATGTCCGGAAACCTTCCGGAGTTCCCGGTGTTCGGCACCGACCTTCACTGGCAGTGCTCGAGCCATGTTTCGCCTCATCTGGGGTAGCTGGCTGCTGGACCCTCCTGCAGAACTGGCGCTTATTTCACCACGTATATGGAGATAACTACGTAGTGTATGCAACTGCTGAGGAACCGGATTCCCAAGGAGCTGGTTTCACACAGTACTCATCTTGCATTTGAGGAAGCTATGTACCATCTATCACAGTAGGCCCCGAAGCGCGCTTGTCTCAGAGATGTCCGAACTTCTATAACGACGAATGTTAGCAATTGATCCCCTTGCTAGGTATATTATATGTCCTCTCTCGGCTATGCCCTCGAGCCTCCAGCCAGGCAGGGGCTCGTAAGGAGTAGCAAAAGAAACCAATCAGTTGGTAATTCACCAGGTATTGTGCATACATACGAGGAAACATTAGCAGCTATCTTAGTACCTGAATGTTTGGCTTCGGTGTATCTCAACAGGGTGCTGCCAATCCAAATCGATGATAACCAGGTCCGAAGTCCTTCCTCTTGCATCCTTGAGGTTTGAAGTACTTGGCGCCGTGTTTCTTCAAAGTCAAAGACAAGAATAAGAAGGTCTGGACTCTGGAGATCAGCTCCAGTTCAGCTTGATTGACGGAAGCACCCGCGGCTGTTGCGACTACTTGCGAGAGTATTCGTCTGGTCCCCCATTTCCATTTTGGAGCGAAGTACAATATCCGCAAACACACCTACGCTACCTCGACTACATTACACTGGTCTGCCCAAGCATAGTTCTTTGGCAACACTTTGGAGGGTGTGTTTTGAGCAATGCGGGTGCAATTACGAAGTACATACATGTTGTATTCGTACTGTATTGTACCTGAGCGTTATCGTTTAAGTGCGGGGCTCACAGCACTAACACGTTCAGCCCGGGCGATTAATCCTGCTGCCTGGCGTCGGTTAACAACCCGGCCGGGCCGGCCCCTTGTAAACCTGAGTTTTGCAGTGTCATGTCTGTCAGGCACTGCCGAATCCTGTGCTTTCCTGCAAAACGGGTGCCAGACGTCACTATGTTCAGGAATTGTCGCAATCCCGTAAGCTCATATTTCATTACAAGTGTACGAAGGTAGGTGGTGTGGTTCGAAGGCACACAACACCGTAGTGTATGTACAGTACAGGCATGGGGTACCGATGGGTTGGTGTCCGGGTTTCCGACGACGGCCCGGGACCCGGGACGGTGCGAGACTCGGCCCACCGGGTCCACCTGCCTCGATTGACTACTTGCAGTTGCAGTATAGGGCATACATCCGGACAGAGCGGTAAGGTACTACTGTACTGTAGTACTGTATTCACAATGGAGTTAGACTTGGTAAGTTACAGCAGAAGGTTAATGTTACTTCAGCGTGACTATTCTTTCCCTTTTTCAGGGCTTTTCCCGCCCACAGCCACATTTAATTGTGCTGCCTAACTCGCGTACACTAGCGCGGTAAATGCAGAGATCACCACCAGCCTGTTCCGTTGCTTTTCCCTGAGTCCCGGCGAAACCTCGACGATTTGACTGATGTTAGCCGTCTCATTAAATATGGCAGACGGTTGCAGCCGGCTGACAGATAGCTCTACCGTTGCTGGGTGCGACACAGAGGGACACGAATCCATTCATAGCCACAGCCGCGTTAACACACAAGGCCCTAACATTATCTTCACCTTCAAGTTCTGAAACTGTTTCACACTTGAGCGAGTCGGCGATTTCGGTGTTCAGCCCAGCTTCCTTCGTGAGGTCCGTGTAACCTTACTGCTCCTTCATGCCCGCCTTCCACGTGGTCCCGGTGTCTCTCTCACACTACTTTAACTAATGCGTATGCCGAAGCGATCTCGTCTCCTCGGCGGGCTCGTCTAACTCGGGCAAGAAGCAGCTGTGTTCCCCGCGCGGAACAACCCCCGGATATCTTGAAACCCCCATCTCAGTGCCATTTCCAGCTGTTACAGTCTACAGATATACACCACCAACAACCGTGGCATGTAGCTGGGGAGAGGGCAGTTGCACGTGGTATCCTGGATCGCAAACCATCACTAACTGATACTTGATAGCCACTCCAACCCCCGCAGAACTTCGGCTGGTAGAACTAAGAGCCAGAGCCTCGATATTCACCAGACAGACATACTCGCCCTTACAATTCAAGATCCGCCCTGCCTCCCAACCTCGAAATTGTAGAGCCAACTGCTGCCGTGCTCGACAAAAAGCTGCGGGGGTGGCACAGTCACCTTGAAAGGCAGGTCCTCAGAACACAGAGCCATGCATGCTCATGAGATTTGATCTTATCCAAAATTTGAGCCAATAGCAAAGTCCAACTAGTCTAAGAATGAAGCTACTTTGTAAGCTATCTCGCTAACCGCCGTTGACCGCCGGCTCTACACCGCGGGACGGGTGCCACGACAGAGTCAAAACCTTGATGGTTATGGACACGGTGACCTCTTCGGAGACCATTTCACAACTAGATTACACAAGTAGCTTTCGAATGCCAAGTTATGTCCGCGGAGCCAACAGGATTTACAGTTAAACTATCTTGCGCCTGGTGGTCTCTTGGTCGTCATCAACTAGCCCATGAATGGCAGGTGTTAACAAAAACACTAACACTGCGAAAACACCAATACGTATTGTACTGTACATACGTCGTTGTTCTGGTCGTCAGATGCTGTCGTGCCGTTTGATCACGAACAGCCAGGGTCCAGGTAGCTTGAATATCTATACAGAGCTACTTACCGTCTCTAAGTTGGGTTGTATTCATGAGGATTAAGCGTACATAATTCGATGGTTCGATGCAGGCTAGCTTGCTTGTATCTCGATTCGTCCATGAGGATTCATAAGCGTAAATGGATCGTGGCAGCATCCCGTCTCTATCGAAGACAAACCCTGACCCTGCTAGGACAACAATACCCCCTGAGACATAACGTTAAGGCTCTCCTATGTATCACCCGTCGATCTTGCTTTCTAGAAAACTGCCACCCACCCTTGTATGCACTTACTTCCTACGCCAACTGATCCAGAAGCATGTGTCCTGGTTGACTATTGGCCATCACACTCGGTTCCGGGAAAATAACCTATTGCGCGTCGACACGGCATAAAGCTCCCGATTTCCCGGCATCCAGACCATATAAACTGTGATATGACGGGCAGGGATTCGACTCCCAGCGCACGCCGCATGCCATTTGTCCATACATAGGTACATATTGAATTGTACCACAATATGTACAATTACATCCATCCTCTCAGCCCTTCCAGCTCAGCTTTATTAGTGTGCATGAAAAGATAATGAACAGAGATATCCGGGCTGGTGGTATAACTCCTAGCTGGCAATGCTTGACGATATGACCTCTCAAGCGTGCGGCAGTGGCAAATAACCTAACCTAACGATCCTTACCAAATGTCAATTACAGCCAAGCTCTCGAGCCTCGTACGATGTTTCAACCCGTGCCCCCGGTGTCCTAACGACCTTCCCGTTTGTTTGAGGCTGCCTAGAATGCAGTCGTCATCGAGGACCAGAGTTTCCGACCTCACAGTCGACACCTTGGCATCTATCTTGGTTAGCCGGGCTTCAGTGTGAGACGGCAGCTGACATGGACACCTTACTCAGTTGTGACGGGGACACATATCAAGGTCTCTAGATATGATAATGCCAGTAACCGTGATTTCATGTCGAAGCTCACCCATCTATCCCTAGATGCGAAGGACGTAACGCTCCTTACCTCTTTACTGTCAGTGTAGAAAGGGCAAATATTTGGCATTATGGTCTGGCTGTTGACATTTAAGTTCGATGTAAGCGTGGGGACAGACTCATGATCCCAGCGGGCACTGCTATGAACCATGATGTTGACAGCATGCTGGCATATGTTGTCTATTGTGTCGCCCTCGCCTTCGAACTAAACATATCAACAGCCAGACCGTAGAATTAGAGGACAACCGACCCACCCTGCTAGGTACCTCCTGCCACTCAGAGAACTGTCTTGGAAAACCACAGGAAAATCCCAAAAACCACGTCTATTCTGGTGGCATCTTTCCCCGGGACCATTGCTCGTGATGGGCAAACTTGAAGAGAGTGCTAAATAGATGATACTAGTAGTAACGCCTCCGCCGGCAGAACCGAGCAAAAATCTATAACCGTAGCCGTCCTTTCCACTTTTTTTTCCTCTTCAGAAAGAGATCAAACTTACCTCATACCCCAAGCCCATCCTCCCTCATGCCCTATTTTTCTCGTCCCAACGGTAATGAAATCATTTTTAACGTAGGGACAAGCGGGCTGTAACACCACCCAGAAAGAAGCCCGCGCATACCAGCCTAGTGTTACCACAGGGCTTCAACGATTTGCCCCACTGCCTTTGTTTGTGCGTGTACCATTCCACAGAAAGAACAGCTCACCTCAACCCATCATGTTTCGGACCGCTGGCTGGTCTGAATAGACCGCCGCCGGTAACTTGTCTTGTCCTCGCCCTCTTCCGAATCCTCGTCGCTGACAGGGCAGCTGCCGTCTTCCCGCGGTGCCCTGCGGCTCTTGGTCATCTAGGAATGGGGGTGTTAGCGTGAGGTTGTCAACCCGCTTTTGCTCTGAGCAGGTAGTTTATGGCGGGAAAATGAGAAAATGGACATGGCAAACAGAAACACTCGTAAAAAGGGGCGAAGAATAATGAAACTGGGTGAATCCGCAAAACCGGCAGGGAAAGAATCACTTACCCAAGACCTAACACCCCCAATCAAACCGAGGGTATATCCAGTAATAAAGTCATTCCCATTCCCCCTCTCACCACCGGCAGCAGCACCGGGACTTCTCGGGCCAAAGAAGCCCAGTCCCGCGCCGGGACCGAGCGGGCTGCTCGGCGACGCCGCTTCATTCCCGCTACCATTGCCGTTGCTAGAATCGGCGCGCAGCAGGGACGCCGGGCGCGCGGGGCTCTGCGGGCGGCTGGTGGGCCAGAACTGCCTGAGCTCGCGGCTGAGCTCCTGGCCCGTCGTGGCCCAGTTGGCGCGGATGTTGTCGCGCAGGTCCTGCACGTGGCGCTTGATCTCGAGCTCGTTCTTCTTGAGCCAGCTGATGTTGAGCTCCTGCCGCGACGTGCCGCGCTTGAGCTGCCGGGCAATGTACTTTTCGTAATCGCGGACTATTCTGTTTTCGGGGGCGAAGGAGGTTGCGAGGTTCCCGTGTCAAGATTTACGAACTTTCTCAAATAAAGGGGAGAGATAGAAAAGACAAATAAGGAGGGAAGGGACGGGGTTGAGGAGAACTCACTTTGTGATAATCCCCGTGGTGCTTACGCCCTCGGTGCGCTGCGTCACCAGGAACTTGCCGGCGGCCTTGATAGGCGCGTAAATGTCGTCGCCCTCGTCGGCGCCGTAGGGAATGTCGTCATGCGCGACATAGTCAATCTGGTGCTTCTCGAGGAACTCGGGCGTCACGATCCAGGGGCAGTTCTCGATGACCTCGTCGACCCATTTGCAGTGCCGTACCGTCTCGGCCCGTTCCTTGCCCGTAAGCACCGTGAGGCCTTTGCGCTTGTGCGTCTCCTCGTCCCCGGTCACACCCACGATCAGATACACATCCGGGAACGCCTTCTTCGCCTGTTCCAGCTGACGCATGTGTCTGCAACACCCTACATTAGCCTTAAGCTTCGTGACAGCCAAGCTAGCCCTGAACTTACCCAAGGTGAAATAAATCGAACACGCCGTCGGCATACACCCTTATCGGCCTACCCACGGGAGGCGGGTTGGTCTTGTAGCCGTGCGGGTGTGTGAGCTTGCCGATCGGGGGCGGAGGCATGGCGGCGGCGGTTTTGCTGCTGATGGGCGCGCTGCCGTTTGTGGTGCCGTTGCCGGTAGTAGTAGTAGACGCGGCGCTCTCCTTGGTTGTCGAGGCCTTCCGGCTGCCCTTTCGCGCCACGCGTTCGGCAATGTCCACGCTCGCCTCGGTGGTGTCGCTCGGCTCGCCGGGGTCGACTGCTTGCGCATGGCCTATTGGCGTCCCGGCAATGGCGGTAGATTGGTCGGAACTGGCGCGCTGCCGCTTGCTAGGCGGGTGACTGCTGCTGCTGCCTCCGAGCGAGTCGGTCTTCTTGTGGGCGGCTGCGGCGGTGCGGCCGGATTCCGGAGCCGTCGTATCACCCTCCTCGGCTGAGGCGTCGCGGGACTCCGTCTGGATGGTCTGCTGATTGTCCATTTCCACCTTGCTGGCCGCGGTGTTGTTTCGTTTGCGCTTCCCGGCGTTGTGAGACGAGGAGCCCGGGGACGACATGCTGGGCCGGAGCTGGACGGGCGCCCTTCCCGTGAAAAAGGGAGATTCCTGTAGGTCGGAGAGGCACACGTGTGGATTGTGGAACCACTTTATGTCGTAGATCGCCCAGAGTCGCAAATCACTAGGCAACGGTTGCAATTGACGTGATAGGCGTGGTCTGCCCGCTTTGTGGTAGGTGTCGTTGCTTAGCTGTAGCTCCCTTGGGTGGTCAATTGTCGGCTCTCAGCAATCCACTCGTTACCTGTCCGTTTCGGGGCGAAGTCTAAGGTAGTTTGCGACACCAGCGTGTAACAGAAAGAATAGCACGCCAACCCAAGGCGACGGCTCGAATCTGCTTGATGTTTGATCCAAGGACGAGAGAAGGAGACGAGACACCATACGTGGAGATCCCTAATTGACCCAATCCCTGGTGGTCCACACGGAGAAGGCCAAAAACCCCCGGTTTAGAACCCGGTCGAAATGCCGCTGCGACGCGGAGCTGTTGGTGTCCACGTCTAGTGTAAATTAGTGTAGAGAGACAAGGCATGCGCTTGCGCTCGCTCAACTCATGCGTGGCCGGAGTCGAAGCAGTATCTTCTATGAAAAAGTATGTAGGCCTAATTTACATAAGGTATTTGTCTGTCTGAAAGGGGCTGATGATGCGGAATTTGCAACCAAATTTGACGTTTCTTGGAAATTGCCGGGATGGGCTTCCCCTGCAGCAAAAGGTCACGTCATTCTTCTTGGCCCGTGCTCTCTATAAAGCTGTCCGGCGCGTGGCGTAATGTGGCGTTTGTGATGTGATGGAAGCTGCTTGGGAGAAACTGCGAAGCATATACTAGGTACACATGTACTTGAATCTAACCATTGTGTCGAAATTTCTACCTTACTTTACTTTCGCCAATTGAAAGCTAGAAAGCGGAGTGAACACGCGTACCATGATGTTCTGGAATCCAAATTGGCAGGTTGAGCCTCGGGTTCAACTTCGCCGAGCAGCGCACAACTCAACTCAGACACCGAGGACAGACCATTACCCCACTACCACGGGAGCTGCCGCTGTCAGATGGGCATATTTGAGGACACCAGAATACTCTCATAGCAGAACCCTTCCAGGGTGATGATCTCTTGAGCGGAGTTGGATACCGATACTATGATCATCCTACTCAATAACGAAATGTACGAGGAGGTCGACGCTAAGCCCTGATTAAAACCTCTCAAGGTTGACCAGACCGCGCTCTGAAGCATGCCCGTTCGCAACCGGAAATGTACGACGTTTCAATGCTCCGTCATGGAGCAAGACGCCATGTGGCATTTGCAGCCGAATGCCAGCTCATTGTAGCACGACTTTGTCCTTCCGCGCAGAGTGCCTTCCGCAGCGCCGCGGATCACCTGGTTTGCTCCTGTAGCAGTACGACTTGGCCCCTTCGGGCGCTACGGGTCCAAACTTCTCCTTGACTGAGCAGTACTCAAGACCCTCTCCCATCCACTCCTGTATGTGTTTGTGTAGTTGACACCGCGTGACGCCACACTTGCGGCAGTACCCTTGCCCCCGGATGCGCAGCTTTGACAGCGCATTCCTTTCCTTCTCCCCAAGCCCGGCTAGGGGAGCCATGGCTTCCTTGGCATGGGCTGCCGTTGGGTTTGTTCGTATGATGTTTCCTGCCAAGTGCCACGCCCACTCTAGATCGTTCGGGCCATCTCGGCGGGCTGAAAGAGGGACGGTGCCACGCATGCGACGGTGAATGTTGTAGAAATGCCGGTTCGTTAGGCCTAGGCAGGTGCTGTCGATGGGGTCGAGGAAATCGAAGATGACATAGTGCAATTCTGCGGGTAAGTCTAACAACGTCAACCGAGCCGACGGTTGGTGATGGTGGGGAAGTGGCTCCTTGTCCGTCACCGAGTAGGACCTCCGTGGGGAGCCGAGCGGCGGTCTCCGTACCGGGGCCCGTGATCGTTGCAACTCCTGCTCGCCTGCCTCAATCTGGCGTTCTTTTTGTGCCATCACGCTGTCTTCACGGGACTGGACCGGTTCACGGATCATCCGAAGGGTGAAGGTCAGCGGCTGAGCGAAGTAGTACTCGTCTTGTGTCTGGGATCTGCGCGGAGCACGTTTGGTCCCCCGCGGAAGGCCGAGCTCCTTCATTCTGTGATCCTCTCTGCTGAATGTCGGCCGCGAAGCCTCCAAGGAGGGCAGGCCGCTGTACAGAATCTCAATCATGGTTGAGGTGGAATGGGATTGACGGGTAAGAGATTTGTCGTTGGTATCGCAATGAGGGCCGCCCTATGGCGACGTGAGGGTAGCAGTCGTTGATCCCGTCTCAAGCAGCTTTAGTATGGGCGTAAAGGGCGATGAGGGGTTGGGAGATATTAGCCTGGGTGACGGATTGGAGCCAGCTCCGGCTTGTCCGATGTATATATATCAGGCGCTTGTCCCAGGGGGGGTCAGGTACCGATGCCGGTAGTTGCGCGGGGTGGATGCGGAGGGCCCCTCAATAGCAAGCTCATGAGGGGAAGGGCGGATTGATATTGGTACTTAAGGAAGGTTGAGGCAAAGGGCTGTCTGTCTTTGTGTGGCCAGCTCGGAGACGTATGGCGCAAGAATCGGCCAGCTTCGGGAGATCGGAGCTGCCGCGAGTCCTTGCACTGGTTCAACACAAGGTCGGTGCCGGAAACCAGGCGCAGCGCCAAGGTTGCCGAGCGCGTGATGGAAATGCAACCGAATTGGGCTGGTGTGCCAACCCAAAGGACAGGAAGAGGCTACTGTAGCTGCCGTTTGCGAGCTGGGGCAAAAGGGAAAAAAAGCTGGGGAGTGTGATCTACCGATTTCTGATTCGTCGTCGATGTTTGACCAGGCTCTGCCTTAGTGCCTCGTCCGATCGCCGGGCCTCGCCTTCAGGCCTGCGTTCTAGTGGGGATCAAGAACAAAGAGGTGGGTGCCGGGCTCGAGCAACAGTTGCCGGCAACCCCAGCCGATTGCAGCGGATTTGCGAATTCACCATGCTGGAGGTCTGTGGAGCGATGGGAGTGTGCTATCGCACTCTCCATCAGCCAATACACGCGTGTAGCTACCCCAACGTCACCGGCCATCACAGCGAACCAGAAGCACAACTGATCAGGAAAGTGCAGGGCATGTGGGAAGAGAATTGTCTAGATCTTTCGATCCGCAAATGTCATGCATCATCCTGCATCTTGAGGTCGCAAAACAGGCTCTTGGCCGGGAATAGCGGCTTGGGGGAAGCAAGACCAACATCGACATTAGCGCCCATATGAAAGTATTGCCACTTCCTCAGGTCTCATCCCGACCTGTTCTGACAAAGAAGGTTTAGCCAGCCGTCAGAGAGACGGTTTTCTCATTAGAAAATAAAGCTCGCATGAATGTTTTTGGAGAAGTCGCAAGGTCAGGCTTTCCAAAGAGCGGCTTTTCATGATGAGAGCCTGCGACTCGACTCGGGTTGATGTGATTTGTCCAGGACCCACCTGCAGGAAATGCCCCGCAGTTCCGATACGTTGGTAACTGACCGAATTGTTTGACGAAAATTACAATACCCTTTTGACTTGGACAAGCAAGTCAGGTACAGTACAATACATAATTACAACACACTTGCGTGCAATGCCGGACTTTTGGCAAGGTTGAACACCGGAGACACGAACTCGACGAGGACGCGAAGAGATGAGGCGACATCTCTCAAGTGGCGAAGGGATCTTCGGTAGAATTGGAGTGATTGCCTGTGGCCAGTGCTACACAGCCACCTGGCCACGCCACGTCGGTTGGCCCCGAGATCGGATACAGTACCTTCAACTCGCTTTAAGTTCAAGACACATGGGAGTGGCCTGAGGCCCAAGGACCAAGCATTTTTCCAAAATCGAATAGTGGTAGGCTTATATGCAGCAACATGACAAACAGGTTTTCATATTAGATAGATACAATACACGTCTTGGTGCGTTGGTGGATGTTGCGTTATCGATGGCAGCGCTCACATCCGGGAAGGGTCATCAACAGAACCTATATACCACCAGCTCTATGGAGCTCTAATGCGTCCGAGACCAAGGCTCACAAGGACATCTGTTGGGCCCGCGGATCGACTGTTGGCGGGATAGGCCACCGTGGGAGACTGTGGGTGTCTTCGACGTCCTCATACCGAAGATCTTACCCAAACTCCAAACTCCTAGATAGCAATCCAGATAAGCATGATGACAACGTCCATACCCTTCCCTTCACCGTCCCACTTGAAACTCCACATGCCATCGGTCTTCTCGTTCCAGTAGCCGCCCGTTGCGCTGTGCATGCCTCGCCGCCCGGCCTGGCCCTTCTTGTACGTCCCATCAGCCTCTGTTGATGCCGCCGTCGGCTTGTTGAGCTGGGATGTCGGTACGACGTGCTGGAAGATGGTGCTGTTGACAGCAAACTTGTAGGCCGGTGCGGTGGCACCCTGGGGTGTGGCCTCGGACATCACAGCTTTGAGCATCTTGTTCTGGAGGCGGTGTTGTCGTCAGCTTGGTGTCGCGTAGCGTATGGGTGCAAAGGAGTCAACGTACAATAATGGTCTCGTTCCACTGCGCCGTCTTAGGATGCTCATAGAATTCAACGCTTTCGAGGACACTGTTGCACACCTATCGATAGCGTGGATGTCAGCTGTGTCCTTCTGGGTTATCAATTCCAGTAACATGAACCAGGAGAAACACACATCGTTGGCAATTTGCTCGAGGCGTTTGAGTGGAATCGGCTTTCGGGACCAGTGTCAGCCAAACTATCCTTCCTCGTCTCGGCATCCTCGTGGATCACGCCCGTACCGAATTTGTTTGGGCAGCCATTTTGTTAGGGCCAGAAATCTTGTAGTCTAGTTTGAATCCCCGGTTGTTCGTATGCTATCGAGCGGGGTGAAACAGCTGAAGCCTTAAATGATCACCAATATCCCTTGGATATCCCTTGAATATCCCTTGCCGGTATCGGGATCGGTCTTAAATGCTTGCGGTCAAAGGGCCTTCAGGAAGTGCCTGGAGTTTCAGGAGCTGAGATTGGTATGCAGCCGGCCACCGGAGTACAGTAGTGTTTTGGATCTCAATCACTGTTGATACCCAACTACCGGCGTTTTGGCAAGGAATCGGATCTTCAGCCCAGCCACAACCTGATTGGAAGCCGAGGACTCGAACAACAAACGTCAGCCTCACGGGCGCTTGGACCTTCCGTAGCCGCTGCGGGGCAACTGGGCACGCGACGCCACAGCACGTGATAAGACACTGCCAGTGCCATTCGAGGACGGACCCACGTGCACCTCAATTTATGATTCCTAGTGGGGGTCACTGACGTTCATGTCATTGATCAATTGCTGAGCTTTGATTTCCTGGCAGCCGCAAACTGCGATGATTCTGAGCTCCAGCTGCACGGTGAAACCTCCTCAACAGCAACACCGAAGTTAATCTTGGACACCGGATCTCTGACATTAATCAGGATCGCTCAATGCTGGGCTGACCTCGTCATCGCTGTCTAATCTCATCATTGAGACCTGGTTGCCCGTCGCACAACAAATATCATCTTGATCGACCCCTCGCGCAATGTCCAGCCAGCCCTTACTCCAGACCGCCCCAGGTTTGTCCACAACCACTCCCCAGCATACTAACCCGAGCTTTTCTCTCTAACCGCGCCCATAAAAATCAGGCAAGCGCATTGCGCTCCCGACGCGCGTCGAGCCCAAGGTATTCTTCGCCAACGAGCGGACCTTTCTCTCATGGCTCAACTTCACCGTCATCCTCGGCGCCCTGGCCATCGGGATGCTCAACTTTGGCGACCGCCCGGCCTTCATCTCGGCGTTCCTGTTTACCGGCGTGGCCATGGCGACCATGATATACGCCCTCGTAACGTACCACTGGCGGGCGAAATCGATACGGATGCGGGGCCAGGCCGGGTTTGACGACCGGTTTGGCCCTACCTTTCTGGCCATCATCCTGCTCCTCGCCGTGGTGGTCAACTTTGTGCTGAGGATCACGTACTCGTCTCAGGACAAGCCTTGAGCTTGCGAGGATCAAATCTGGGTAGACTGTAGAGGAGGAAGAAGCTGCGTCAGTTCTGCCTGCGCAGATCAAACGCACCGTGTGGACATGAAAATGCTGGGGGTATTACGCCCAAGCAGGTGTACTAGTGGACGAGAGCGTTGTATCACATGGCATTGCATTTGCAGCGGCTGCATGGGTTTAGGTATATGATGGCTAGATTGTATCGAAGGAATGGGGATTATCGGATCATTTGCGTGGCGTTTCCGTCTGAAGGGAGTCTTCCTGAGAGTCGTCAGAGCAGAAGTTTCACGAAGATCGGTGGTTCGCAAAGCAGGCATGTTAGTGATACCGAGAGGAAAGACGTGCCCCTACCAAACGAACATCCAGCGACGGTCGTCCTTGACGATTATTTATATTGGGTATCATGGGTACAGCGCAATGTTGAAGCTCCGAAGCGGCCTCTCCCGCGGACCTAAACCGGCGAAGATAGAGTAATGCTCTGCCGAGCATCTGTCGGTTCCCGACAACTCTTCAGCCAACCAACCCCATTTTCTTCTTCCGCAGGTACTCAACATGTTGCTCGTTCGTCTGCAGGGAAATGTTCTGGCCCCCCTTCAACTCGTCAAGCCTAACCCGGGATAACAGGACGATCATGTATGCTTTGTATCTGAGCCTAACCGGTTTGACCGCTCGCTCGTGGACGGTCGGCTGTATCGTCTCAAAATAATCTTCTTCGGGGTCTTGCTCGGTATCGACGCCAATTATCGTGTCCTTCACCACTGAGGGACCCTTTGCCGGTTGATTTACCTCCTCGTGAACCGTTTCGCTGAGCACATTGTATTGAAACCACTTCTGCTCGGCTTCGGCAATGCGCCGCCTGACTACCTCCGAAATGGTGATGAGCTTGTTCGAGGCGGCAGATTTGGCGCATAACAGCACGACTCCAGGAGATACTGTTTGATCCCAGGCGCTGAAGCGGCCGAGGTGTTCGAGGGCGCGTTCGACATGCTTGCTGATGCTAGTTGATGGCAGAACGGACATCGTCTTGACTTCGAATCCAGCGCCCAGTCTAGTGAGGAGAGGCCTGCATACTTCGTAGTATGGGCTAGTGGTCGACAACTGGGATTGGGTGGTCTCGGTCTGGGTATTCGGGGCTCGCCGTTTTTTTGGGTTTGTATCGACGCTTTCGTCTTGGAATTTTCGCTTGCCAACTGGTACGTCTAATTCAGCGAACCGCATTGCTTCTCGTAAAGCCGTGGTAGTCTGGATGGTTGCCATATGTTGTACGGTGGAATTCTGATAAACTGCCAGTGGTTCTTGTTGGAGCCGACTTCAACACCTGGGACCTGGGCACACCCATTGAGCCTTCGATAAAGGGTTCACTTTATCGATAAATTATTGGTACCTATCTTGCCAGTGTATTTCATAATGCAATACGCAAGGTACATGTACATGGTCATCGTACTCGGTTTATCTGGTAGACTAACAGGCTATGATGCAGTCGCCTTGTTTTCCTTTCTCTTCCTTTCTTGAGAGTCGAAAGGAGGGACAATGTGCAGTGTCTTTTCACCTGTGTCTTGCAGGATGGATTCGGGAAACGCAAGCTCTAATTACCTCGAGTTCAAGTTACATGCGATAAACGATAATATTCACAGTATGTACTCCGTACCTTACATGCATAGTTCTTACTGTGCGAATAGCGAAATTACAATACGACGATGTGAGCGGTACTTACCGTTGCAATCCGACTGGCTCGACTTCCTGGATTAATGATGCGCTCTATTCTTGGCAAAGATGTGTTACCGAAAAGAGAGATTCTGCCTCGAAACACCAAACTTGCTGCAGGTGGCCCGGGCTTCTTGAGGGGGACCTACCGGTATATCCGTATCAGAACAAAGATTCAGGTTGCGAATGTGCACAGCCCGGTCTTGGTCTATCACTAACACGTACAGGTGCCCTCGTCCACCCAGAGGGATTCATCAGGCACAGTGTCCTCTTCAACACAAATACCTTAGCTCCATAGGAACTTCTGCCTGAGTTGATAAGCATACACGTGTAGATGACTGCAAGTGACTGGTGCTCGAGATGACGGATTTGGCCTCGCTGCTCCATGTTTGGATGACTCCGGAGCACTTTGTATGTGCTGAAGACATCTGTTTTTCTATTCGCGGTCCCGCCCGTCCTCCCTTTCCACTCCAACAAGCTGCGAAGAAGGGTGGTAGGTGGTCATGGCTCAGTTAGAGCATCCGCCCCACCCGATGCTTGCCTTTTTCCGAAATCAGCCCAATCAGCTCAGTGGCAGGCCCTTCCTGACTTGCTGCTCGTTGCTGCTTGGCCGCGGTCCAGGCGGCGTTAGTGGCACCTGGGCCTGTTCCCTCGCATTCATCATTTTGCCTCCAAGCCATCCCAAACAATTCCCCCGTCGACGGGCGCAGCGTCTCCCCTTACAACAACCCGCGTGACAGCGACCAACCCCCAAACTCTCTCAATCAACTTGCAACCGACTCCCATCCAGTCTCACCAAAACCACGCAAGCCTCTGCGCGATCGACCATTTTCGCAGTTTCGCTCCTTCGCGCACTCATTTATCATTTTTAACTTCGCAAGCGTTCTCTTTTACTTGCTTCAGGCGACCACCTTCGAGGCTTTGATTAGCTCTCGCGCTCACTTCAAGCCGTCACTTCTTCTCCCTGAGCGCCCGGTCGCAGCAGGGAGTCGCGACTGTTGCGCAGCACCGAGCGAGGGTGGCGCCAGCGCCGTTTGCCTCTCTCTGGCCTGTGGTACGGCCACATCAGCCAGCAATCAATCGGGTCCCACTCAGGTCGCCCCACTCTTAAGGTCCTGACTAAGCACAGCTGCCAAATAAGAGTGCAGCTTCCCGAGCGAACGGACCATCCTTGACTCACAGGCCCCATCTGCAACACGACCAAAACGGTTACGTCAGCCTTGGACATTGCACATTCCCCCGACCGCACCCCTTTTTTCTTCCCGTGTGTTTCGGCCCCCGACATCCCAATAAAGGTGTGCCTTGCTGCCTTGCGACACGCTTCCAAAGGGGACACTTATATCCGTTGTCCCTGCACAACTTTTGCTTCCCGACGTCTGTCTCTCCCGACACTCGCCGGGGTTGCTCTCCCTCAACCCCCTTCGAGCAGGCCATGCCCGTATTTCGCTTCTGGGCTTCGGACTCGAGGGGAAGCGACAAGGCGGTGGAAACAAGTCACCGCCTGCCTGATTGCGCTGAGTCTGTCCCACCTAGCGCGTCAGGTCTTCCGACGCCCATATCTCCCAAGAGGCGCCGTCCAAGCTTTGTTGACACGGCAGCCTGCTCAGCCGCGTATCCGCCCGCCAAGCGCTTCAAGACGGAGCAGAATGGTGGTTTACCGTCGCCGACCTCTGCCTCAGCCGATGGCGAGGAGGCGAGCATGCAGCGCAGGTCCAGCAAGGCTCTTGACTTGGAGGCCGCCAGGGAAGTTGTCCAGTATCAGTTTGGCCTCGAGGTGCTCCTGAAGCACGACGAGCTGCGGCTCATCAATCAGGAGTTGGCCAAATGCCAGATTGCACTTGAGCAACTACGGCGATGCCACCTAATTCCCTATCCTATCCAGTGCCCGACGCCCAGCCAGATGCTGGACATCAGCAACGGCAGAGGCCCAGCATTGCAGCCGAAGCCTGGCCAGCCCCTGCCAAAGTGGGCGCCACCATTCGGGGTTGTTGACGGCCCATACGCGCGTCATTATGCTAAGTGGCTGATACCTGATCCGGTATTTGATGGCGTCTCACCCGATGCCCACAATGTTCCAAACACTGCCCGGGTAAAGGGCGCCTTCGCGGAAGGTAGGACGACGAGGAACAGCATGTCTGATGTTGGTGGTTCTCTCAAACAGCGACCTGCCCGCGGCCAGGCTGGATCACGGCTGCACTCCCTATCCGCTGGATACCCGCAACCGAAGGATAAGCAATCTCCTTGCATTCTAAAACGATCCGATGGTGTCACAGTCAAGCTAGTATGCATCGATTGTCAGAGATGGGATTTTTCGAGCACGCAGGGCTTCATCAATCATTGCCGTATAGCTCACAGGCGGGACTTCAAGAGTCACGAGGAGGCCGCCGTGCACTGCGGGCATCCTATCGAGGTTGACGGGAGCGGAACCGTCGTTGGTGAAGAGAGGCAGGCCCCTTGTGGCGGCGCTGCATCGGGCTTGGTCCATCCCTTGGCCCGTTCCGAGTCGATTTCCGAGGGGCAAGCCTACCAGGCTCTCCTATCTCGTCTCAAAGCGTCCCTTGAGCTTTACCGGGAAGGCAAACTGCCGAATGCGGGATGCGCTTCAAGCTCACCAGCCTCGGCGCGCCCCAACAAGCCCAGTAGATCGCAGGCTCGCTTTGTCGGCTCGGCAGACGCTCCTTATCTTTCACAGCTAATGCAGAAGAAGAAGTTCGGCGGGAATTTGAAGGACCAAGTGACCGATGCGAAAACAAAGATCGATTTGGATTGGCTCTCGCCCGAGGATGAGTCGGACACAGAGCAACCCAGCGCGACGGACGACGCCTCGACATCAGATGCCCTGTCTACCTCGGCTGTTCGCACACCCGCCATGCGGATGCCTGCCCGCTTTGCGGTCTCACCTTCTCAGCCGGCGAGTGTTCCCCGCCCCGCCAGCAGCAAGAGTCACGTCGCAGCCTCCGCACCTACCGGCCCACCAGATAGTGGGTTGACCACCGAGCTACCTGAAACCCCTCCGTACGATGACGACATGGATGTGGATTTGAGCCCCAACACCATGACTAGCAACAACGCGCCCTCCCTGGTTAGTGACGACGGGGAGTACGACGATTCAGATGACGCTTCGTCAGTCTCCAACTCTAGCGAGGACGAGCTAATGGAGACTGAGTCTCTGTCGGACGTTGCTGAGATCAACATCGACGACGACGAAGGAGACGATGGCACGGGGCGGGAAGATGACACTCCGCGGCCGATTCCCCGTGGCGGTCAACGTCGCCGTCGTCGGGCGCCAAGTAGTGCCAACGCAGTCAGTGCGGTCAAGCTGAAGAAGGACGAGAACAGGCATGTCACGTTTGTCACGCCGACTCCTCCCGCTGCTGTACCAAAGGCAAACCATGCCAAGGGGAGGCGCAAGGCGAAAAGAATTTGAGAGGGATCAGTGGCCAAGGGAGTGAGAGAAGGGTCCTTCTGCGGCGCCGGATGCCGAACTTGAGAGTGATGCACGCGCAGCTGAGAGCGGCAGGGTGAGAGAGAAAATACCCCCTTCTTGTGTTTTTAGCGAACTTCCGGGCCTTGCACATACGAGATTTTAATGCCATGTTACCTTTTGCTCTCTTCCTTTTCTCCCAACTTTTTCTCCTCTCACGGGCAAGCAGGGCGTATTGCGAGGTTTGTTCACATGATGGGTCAACGAATTACGGGATTTCTCGTTTTACATGGGCAAGACACGGCAAGGCTAGGCAAGGCAAAGGGGGTTTGGTATTTGAAGAAAGAATTCAAGATGGCTCTGTTACTTTCAACCCTTCTTTTACGGGTAGGACTCGATTGGGCTGGGTGGGCTACCTTTGCTTTCAAGAAATATTGACGTTATTGGCAATGGGGGTTGTCTTGATACTCGGGATTACACTGGCGTGTGAGGAGGATTGGGACTGCAGCGACGAGGTGGAGGACGAGCATCAGTATGATGAAATTGACCGGGTTGGTCGGGTGCTTTTGCGTTTCCTTCGGGGTCTGGGCGAATGACAGTGGAGGGCGCAAGCGCATACTATTTGTTGGGGGAGCGGCAGCTTTGTTTGAGCTGTTGATCTGTTCTGTTCTTTCGGGTCTGTTGTTGCTGGATTGGATCGAGTCATTCGCCTCCCATTCCTCATCACCCAATCGAACTACCAGACACAGTACAGTGCTTGATGTTTTGAGTACCTTACACTTTGAGTACCGGTAGTACTTACCTACTTGTTGTAGTATGATGCCACTATGTACTGGCTCTTCATTTTTCCGGATTTGTAGTTTCTAGCTTCTTGTACTTACTAGAGGAGATGAATAAACGGAGGGGGGTATGGCGCTTTTGGTATCTGGGAACGAATGCCGAGTCGTATGTCATCAATGCCCCTACAAAGTATATTAGGTGAGTTCAAACAAGCACGGTGTTCGCAAGCACGGAAGCAACAGTGAATGATATATGTTCAATTGAGACGAGTAAGGTAAGGTAAGTAAGTAGGTGGTCAAGTCCACGCTGTACCGTACCCGAGATACCCATGAACCATCTCTCTCTGTAACTAGCTGGTCCGGTTTTTGCTTGTTCCGAATGGCAGAAGTTAGACTCGTCTTTGAAGACTATGCATAGACCCTGTCTCCTTGCCAGGAAAGCCCGGTTGAGGGCATAGGAGGGAAACAGTTCATCACGCCAGCCAACCGTCATCACCATTTCCCGAGAAGCGAGGCCTTTCTCGCCATGCACCATCCCTCAGAGGAAGCAAATCCCCTCTCCCCCAACCATCCCAGCATCAATCAATCAATCAATCTCCACATCAATGTCTAAGTCCAACGCTCCGATAATATCGTCGTCCATAAGCGGTTTGTGGATGACGGGTACGCCCGCCTTGGCCTGACTGCGTTGCAGCTCCTGCAGCTTGGCGATATGCGGCAGGAGGGCCGCGTTGCCCGATTTTGGCGTGCCCGCGCCGCTGCCATTGCCATTGACGGGGGTGCTCGTACCGCTGTTGCCGGTAGTGTCGCCCTTCTTGCTCTGCGGCTTGTTTTTGAGGGCGGCGGGGTCGTTGTCGTTGGCATCGTGCATAAACTTGATGCGCGTCCTGACCCGGCGGCTGAGGTCGTCGTCGACTTGCTCGCCGCGCTCGAGGCGCATCTCAATCTCGCGGGCGCGGGCGCGCTCCTTGAGCTGGGCCTTGCGCACGGCCTCGGCGTTGCGGCGCCGGTTTTCGGCGTTCAGGAGCGCCAGCTTCTCCTGCTGCGACGGGCCCTTGTTCTCGGATTTCTTCTTTTGTGGCGTTAAAGACGTCCTGAATGCGAGGCGCGGAACCTCGAGGTTATCTAGTTTATCTTGTAGGCGGTTGACGGCCTCTTCGTCTCCGCGGGCGCGAGCCAGCTCGAGCTGCCGGGTCAGATGGTCGCGCTCAGCGCCGCTGAATTTGGCGTGGAGTGCGTTCTGGCGTCTGACCTTCTCAACCAGCTCCTGCTCGGTCCAAGGGCGCTTGACGAGCCGGTTGATGTCGTCAATCTTGTTGACCAGCTCGGGCTTCGTCGGGACTGAGACGCCCTCGGACAGACAAACTTGCTTGTAGCGGTTCCATTCCGCCTAGGAACATGTCAGCATGCTGAAATCGCTTGGGTTTATTGGCATTGGGGACCTGCCTCGGTAAAACCCCGATCGGAACAGCTGATAAACGGCCATTCCCGCTGAGCCTTGCCATGGGCCGCCTTGACGTAGAGGTCCACTACCATGGGGCGTCCGGAGTGATCCGGCACAGCATAGGGCCGGCCCTGGGAAAAACCTTGGGGCAAAGTTAGATATCTCCTGGCGCGTGCCTGTATACAGGAACTCACCTTTGATGATAGCCATGCGATAGACCTCTTGGCGAGTTGTAGGGTCCGGGCCGATGTTGATGCGAACGAAGCAACCAGTGATGGCCTGCTCAAAGCCGGGATAGAAGCAAACCTCTGCAAAGCGACTCCGGCCGACGCGAACACGCTCGACATCGCGGAGGTCGGCGGGGGGCTTTTCTCTAGGCTCGGGCGTTCTAGACTTTGGCCTGGACTTGCCGGCCCACTCGATATCGCTGTCACGGTCGTCGGCACTGCGGCTCCGCCGGTATGAGGGAGATCGCTGTCGGCGGCGGTCGTTGTCGCGCTCTCTCTGTTCTTTGCGACTGCTGCGCTCCTCCCGCGCGCGGCGAAGGGTGTCCATCTTCTCGTTACTCTCGCCCGCCTTGGTTCGGGCGCGAGCCGGTTTGCGCGAGGCATCCTCAAGCTCGGCAGCGCTGGCTTTGCGCTTCTTGCTGTCCTTCTCCTGATTGACCTTGAGTTGGCGTAGCATGCGATTTTGACGTATGCGCTCGTTCTCCTCCCTACGCTCGGCTAGTATCTGCTCCCGTTCGATTTCGCGCATGCTCATGATCCGCTCCTTCTCCTCGTGACTCTTGAAAAGGCCTTCGACAGGATATTGATTCTCTTCGTTGTCAACACTGCGGGATCGGTTCTGCGGAACTTCCGACTCGGACTCGGATTCCTCCATGGGAGCAGACATTTGGGAGCTAGGTGAAGCCGGAGGCGACGACCTAATCGGCGCTGGAGTGATTAGCTGCGTGAATGGGACAGTCATGGCTAGTTATCGGTTCAATGATTGAAGGCGTGAAGCGATTGAAAAGGTGAAGGTTGATTGTGAAAGAAATTCTCGCCAAATGTGGTGAGCGAGAGGGGCAATAAAAAGGTGCGGCTGGTCGAGGGCGGCAAGAAGTTATGGTGCAAGTAATGGAGCGAAGGAAGTCGGCCAAGTTTGGGTACGAAACCTCAAGGCAAACAAGGCTGCGCGAAGTTGTGACTGCCCAACTTGTCACCTTCGCACAACCACTTGGCTGTCCCGGAACAGGAGGGAGTACCAAACGGAAAGGGGCTGAACTCACGCTTCGCCCTCCTCGTCCGACTCGTCGTCACTCCTCCCGGAGCGCCTCCTCGCCTTCTTCGCGGGTGTCTTCTTCACGGCCACGCCTCTAGCGGGCGTATCCCTTTCCTTAGGCTGGGCAGGAGCTGGTGAAGGCGAGCGCGACTCGTCGTGGCCCATGTCCATGGGCTCCTCCTCCTCGCCCGAGGACGCATCGCCTCCGGCCAAAGCCAGCAACTCATCATCGATATCGGACATGGTGGCAGTTCAGGGGGTCGACGAATCTAGAGCTAGCAAAGTTGGTCCGCGTGTGGTAACACAATGATAAAGCACGGCGACCGCTCAAGCTTTTGACAATGGGCGTTCGGATCGAGATGGACGACGCGGACGACACGGCCAGGGGATCATCAATACATGCAATGCCAAAGCAATAGAGCAATGCGCCGGTTGTTTGGCGATCGTTTGGCAAAATGTGAGCTCGGACAGCCTCACAGCCCGGTGGTTGATGGGAGAACAGAAAGTCCCAATGTTGTAAGTGGGAAGTCCAACCTAGAAGACGCCCTAACTCGACGTTACAACTTACCATCTCAAGTCCCAGCGCATGGCGCCTTGGCGATTGGCTACAGTACCTGTCTTGGCACATGCAGCCTACAAAGAAGTGGGCCGCACGGATACAAAGACAAGTCACTAGGCGCAACTGCAGCTGCAGTAGAACGACTTGCAGCTGAGCACAGCTGTCTCGTAATGATCCATCTTCAATCAGCCCACTTCATGATATCGAACCGACGAGCCGGTTGTCCACTTACACAACCTCCACCAATACAAAACAGTTACACAAACATCACCATCCACCCGCCGTAAACCCACGATTTACAATCATGGCCCTAGCCGGCCCGGCAGCGCAGCGCGCAATGCGGCGATGCCAACCCGCCCTCTTCACACGGGCACTACCACAACCACCGTCTCCTCCCGCTCCCGCAGCAACAGTAGTATCAGCAGCAGCAGCACGCCGCTTTTCGTCAACACCACCATCCCGGCAAACCAGCGCCACCACCGAGCCCTCTCCGGAACCTCCCAATCCAAAACTAAACTCCAAACAAAACACCACTAAAAAAAGAAAACCCCTCACCCCATCGCAACAAGCCTTCCTCTCCTCGGCACTGCGCGTGAACCAAGCGGGCGAGCTGGCCGCAACACTCATCTACACGGCGCAAACACCGCCAGTGACGGCGCGGGAACCGCACTTGCGGCCCCTGATGCAGCACATGTACGACCAAGAGGCCGGGCATCTGGCCACCTTCAACTCGCTACTCGCGAAGCACCGCGTGCGGCCGACTGCGCTGTACCCGTTATGGTCCGTGCTGGCCACGGGGCTGGGGTGGACCACGGCGATGCTCGGACGGGAAGCGGCAATGGCGTGCACCGAGGCGGTCGAGACCGAGATTGGCGGCCATTACAACGGGCAGATCCGGCGGCTGCTCGAGATGGTTTCCGAGTGGGAGCGCGAAGGCTACGAGGTCGGGGGCGAGTTCACGGAGCTCATCAACACCCTACGCCGCATCCGCGACGAGGAGCTGGAGCACCTTGATCATGCTGTCGAGCACGACGCCCAAAAGGCTGAGCCGCACTGGTTGTTGACCGGCATTATCAGGGCCGGGTGTAAAGGCGCTATCTGGGTGAGTGAGCGGGTGTAAGATAGGACGACTTCATGAGCCCGAGCTAGCGGGGTTCTGGAGGGTATTAATGCATTGTTCTATATCTGTACAAGACTACTATGGATATTGATATGTATAAATAGACCAACGAGGGCGAATAGAAGAAGGGACAGTGAGAAGACGACAAAAGAAACAGGGACGCCGGGAGATGCAAGAGCTGGCTGGCCACCAAACAGAACGAATCAACCCAATGAAACAACACCAAATCTGCGCCAAATATGCTGTGATAGTCGAGTAGCAGGAGTTCCATCGCGACACCAGGGACACCCCGAAACGCCAATAAAATGACGGCGCAATCTCAGGTAGCAGTAAATGAGCACCTGACATGATATCCTCCTCTCTCTCTCTTGCTGGTTGAACCAGCCTTATCCTTCATGGCACAAGCCCACATGATGAGAATGGGATTCAGTTGCTGTAGGGGAGTTAGCGCATCCAACCAAGACAGAGAGAAGAGGACAAAAGCACTCACTATATCGCCAGCGGCGCCACCTGGTCAACCTGGAACAGCCAGTTGCCATTCGTCTCTTCCACCACCAACCAGTCATACGGGAACTGCACGAGGGTGCCTTGCGTCATGTTGAGCAACCCCTCGGCTTCAGCCCGCGAAAGCAGTTCCTCTGTTGCGTTGAATCCGCGTCGACTACCCCTAGTTGTCGCCCTCCGCCTGCGTCTCTGAGACCCCTCCACCTTGACGTTGGCCTGCTGCCCGTCCGTAGTCATATTGCCCCCTCCGTTGGCATTGACACCGGAACCCGCGCTGCCGCTCGTTCGTGGTGGCTTCTCCTGAGTCGAAACCGTCAAGCGTCGCTCCCTACGGTTGCTATCAGGTCGCAGCAGCTCAGCCGCTGGTAATGTGTCGCGGCTTGAGTTGACTGCATCACTGACCAAGTCGTGCGCTCTAGCGGCGGCCTTCTCAGGGTCGCGGTTTGGCCCTGTCTCCTTCGGTGGGCCTCTGTCCGTTAGATCTTCGCTCAGCGCCTGCTTCTCGTCCAATGCAGAGTCCGGCCGGGCATGCTCGCCGACAGCGGCCCTTGCCACACTTTGCAGAGGGCTCGTCAGCTTCTCCGTCATGGCTTTTTCAACGGTAACAGGACCCGGAGCGCCAATTCCAGCGCCCGCCGCGGCTTGGTTTTGAGGAGACCCGGGAACAGCAGGCTTCTCCGTTTCCTCGCTCGGGCGCTGACTGTCCATGCTATCCAGGAACCGCTTATTGTAAGCGTTGAATTCCTTGTACTCCGCCCAACTCGTCGCCTCCGAATCAGGCATGCACCGAAAGACGCGCCGGTATATTCTTGTGTTGTTCTCGGCGACCCGGCACCAGACATCGTCATAGAATGACGTATTGAGAGGGTCACGCATGCAATCCTTGTGTATATCGGCTGGCTTAATGTCCATGGCCAGCGAATTTGTCCGGCTGCGACACGGCTTGCCTGCGGCATCCTGCCTGACAGGAGGCCCTCCAATGTCGGTGTCGTCAAGAACGGGTAGCGAAGGCAGCTGATTCACCCGCGGGAGCCCGAGCTGTTCGGTCGTCCGCCTGTCGAATGCGGGAACGGGCGGCATGCCGTCATTACCGACTCCGCCGTCAGAAGATACAGCGGTGGATGAGCGGCGCAAGGTGTGCGCACGCTTCGGGCTTTCAATTGTCCCCTTCCCTTCTGCCGATATGTCATGCACCAGCACCTCACGGTCGCTGACAACGACGGAATCTCTACCTTGGTCAAGGCCTTCTTCTCGCGCCAACACCCAATGGTCGGGGCCAAATCCTTTGACTTCCTTCTCGTGCTGCTCCACGGGGAATTCCGGATATGCTTTGGACACCGGTCCTTTGCCCTTCGAGCCTCTCGACAACGTGCGCTTCCGACTCCGACGCTCCTGCGCGTCCGCATCGTGATTGAAGGTATGATGCTCGTGGGGTGTGAGTGGAGTCTCAGGTGGCTCAACGTGCGACGACTTTGGCCGCCTGGAACCTTCCGCCACCGGCGAGAGGTCCGAGTCCTCCTCGTTGTAAATACGATCCATCTCCGCTTTGAATTCTTCTGCGCGGTCCAGGTCAGTCTGACGCTCCTCTTCAAGAATCTCATCAACGTCGAGACCAAGATGCTCTCTCATCAGCCGGAGGCGCAGCGTATGAGCGAATCGCCCGACGAGGTAAGGACGCCCTGCCATGGTTGACCAGATCATGTCCGTGTCACGAACAATTGCAGCCGCTTCAGAGTCTCGGTTTCCCAGAAGCGATCGTTCGTTGATGTTCGCAGATCCAATCAGAGCAACACGGTCGTCGACAATGATGCACTTGGCGTGTATGTACAACTGCTCAGTCGTGAGGATATTGCTGGGAAACTTGCCCCACTGCCGGAGACTGAAGAACTGGATGTAATCCTCCGGTTCGATACCGGCGGCTCGCAAACGCCCAAAGATTGAGTGCTCTCCTCTGCAGATACTCCGGTACTGGCACTGCAGAATCAGCCGGACACTGCTACCGTCCTGGTCATTTACCTCGTTCTGGAAGCCAGGCATCAGCGGTATAATGATAACAGCACGCCAATCCTCGTTATTTTCGTGCGCCCGTATAATGCGGTTTACGAGGGCATCGCCGATGCCGTTGGTGATCTTCGTATTGAGCGTCTCGGTACTCGTGATGAAGAACTGGTTCTCCATGTAAACAAAATGATCCGACTCTTCAATCATTTTGATATAGGCCGATTGAATACTGTGCTCGGTGTGCTCTGTGCCAAGCGACCAGGTTGAGGCTGAGCGGAGGATTTGCACTTCGCAGGTGCCATTCAGACCGACCGCCTCAAGATCCTCAGGGTTGCAATCCGGGGGAGGTAGGAGGAAAGGGGTAGGCCGGGTTGGCTTGCGGCCTCGTCGAACATAATTCCATCGTTGGACAAAATGGCGAGTTAGGTCTCGTGCCGGCTGACCTACGACCTGCATGGCGATATCGTGCCAGGGCATACGCGGTACTCTTGACCTGTCGTACATCTCTTCGTACGGGTCATGCAGTCTAAAGAAATCCAGCTTCCGTGGGTTCGAGTAGTCTTTCCCAGGAAACAGCTGGCAGTGCTCAGCGTCCTTGGGCCCGTCCTGGGGTTCGAAACCCGTCGGCTTGTCATCCACAAGGGGATGCTGCGGGCAATCCCATCGGCCGAAACAAAGATCGATACCTCCAACGAAGGCAATGTCGTGATCGACAATGCATATCTTTTCGTGGTGGGCAAAGAAGAACTGGTTCTTCTTGAACTGATGCGGCGAGCGCTGGATGAATATGTTCGGATGCAGGTTGAGAAGAGAGAACTTTGTGTACTCGGAATCAATGGGAATGGCAGCCTCAACGTTGCGGTAGACAATGACAAAAATCTTGACTCCTTCGGCTGCCTTGCGCTGAAGCAGTCGGTCGAGACGCCACTTCTGGCTGATGCAGGCCGGTCGTCTCATGTACAGTTCGGGACTCAACCACCAATCGTGGATGTAAATGACGTCTTTCGCCATGCTGATGGCACGAGAGACATTCCACATGTAATCCCGACCATCCACCAGCCATTGCGCATACACGCCGGTCCGAACGGGCGCGAAGCTACCGAAGCGGTTCTCGCGATGCCAAGGGGTGTTCTTGAGCATCTCCAAAATGGATTCCTCGAACTGCGCAATGAGGTGTTGGTTGGGAGAAAAGAGCTTCACCTTACGCTCCGACGTGACAATCTTTATTGTGTGGTGCTTGGTGGCAGGCGGGCGAGCGGATAAATCCAAGTTCTCGATATCTTCGTCTCCTTGCTGGCTTTTGGAGGCAGCCTGCTTCTCCTTGTTCTTTTTGCAGACGATCTGAAACTTGGAATCGACAAGGTAGACATCGTAGATGTTCATGTTTTCGGGTGACTCGACGCAAACAATGTAGCTCTGCCGTACTAAGAACCACTTACGGCTATGCCTGGCAATCACTTTCCCAGGCGTCAGCACTCGTCGAAAATCGAGGCCCTTGGATGACTGGATGTGAAGGTAGCACTCCTTTCCGTGGTAGCTACCCTCGGCGGCGAGACGGACTCCTAGAGCAGAGAGTTCGAGGAAGCGGCAAAGACGGTTGCTGTCGGCTCTGAACATGAGCCAGTGAATCATGTCTTGAAGATACTTTTCTAGCGTCCGCTGCTGCCTTTCAATATATCTCCTTCTCTGCGCGGCTGCCTCAGCAATGATCTGGTTGAAATCGGCATGCGAGCCAAGTGTCGGCGTTTTCCGACGGCCGCCGAGATAGGGCATGCGGGACCGCTTTCTGCGCATTGGCAACCGGTCTTCTGCATCAGTGCCTTCATGAACCGTTCCCTCGCCCGCTGTCATCTCACCGGCCGTCTCTTCGGCGGGAGGCACATCGGTGCGTACATCAGTGTTAGGGTTGTTGTTATTATTGTTATTGTTCTGGTCCTCTTCCTCGTTGTCATCCAACCCTCTGACACCGCGAAGATAGGGGAAGGCTGACAAGGGGAAGCTCGGCTGCTTGGGCCTGGCAGTACCTTCGAGGCGGTTTGACGGGAATCCCTCATTGCCTCGAGCCAGCTTGTACTTCCAGTGCAGGTTCAGAATGTCCTTGATGGTCCTCTTGATCGTCCATTTCATCTGGCTTGGGCCGCTCCCGTACTCTAGCTGAATGGTAAACAGCCAATGTCTCTCGCTGTCTTTGCCCGGAGCGGGGGCACTTTCTTTGATTCGCAGCCTCAGCTGCTCGAGCAGAACGGGTATTTTCTTGTTTCCATGCTCATCGCGCTGGATCATGCTTGCGAACATCAGAACGGCTGGGGCAACCGCTCGGAGCTCTGCCATCAGCTCTGCAGATTTTGTGAAGTCGAACTGCTCTTCCTTCTTCTGACGCAAGAGCTTCAAGGCACCCTTGACCTGCCGCCATCTCTGCACACCAAAAGTTGACGCTTTGTCTGCCCCAAAGAAGGGCCTCCTAGGACTCATCGCGTCCCCGTCAGACGCGCCACCCCCAAGTGCGGACAGGCGTCTAAAGTGGTGGCTTGGTCTCAGGCTCGATGGACTGTCGACATCCTCAGCTTCGTCGCCGGCTCTACGAATCCAGTACGGTCCTCTCTTCGCACCCCGCTCCTTCGTGAGGCGGTCACGGCCTTCACCTTCGGAGAAACCATGCTCTTCAGCGCCCGTCAATGTAGCACGCCGCAGAAAAGAGAGACGCCCGTGCGGATTGGATATCTCATGGCCCAGCGAACTGATTTGAGGCGTGTTTGGCGTGGAATGCGATTGAATTCTCGGCTTCCGCATCCGTCTTTTTCTCTTTTGCTTCCCCTTCGAGGGGCCCGCAACGGTCTCGTCGGCAGTTTCCTCGGCGTCTGCATCGACGTCGCTACCCTCGTCAACCGCGCGTGTAAGCCGAGGCGTCTGTCGGTGTGCCGTTGGCGAGCTTGTCATAGAGGCCATCTCGGGGGTCATGCCTGGCATCCTAGGAGACTGGGATATGCTCGGACTCGCAAGTTCTTTCAGCTTGGCCATAAAACCCGACCCTCGAAGCCTGCCTAGAGCCTCCCTTGTGTCCCAGGAGGCTGCCCTCGAGTGTGCTGCTGGCGGTTCCGCAACGGCGTCGTCTTCGGCAAACTGCACGTTCTTCTGCCCGGCCGTAGACGAGGAGGATTCCGGAACATGTCGGACATCGGCTGGAGTGGGGAGGGCGGAGTCCGGCGACACATCAATGCCCAGAGCGTTGCCACGGTCAGGAAGCTGCGCTGGCTCGTCATTGCGAGCGGATACATCCAAGTAATCGGCTGGCTCGTTCTCGGCGATTCTCAGTGCGCGAAGGGAATCCGGATTTCCCGCGAAGTCGACATGGTCGGAACCAAGCGGGGAGGCGGAGTCAAGGACCTTGGCTTGAGGGATCGTCGGTAATTCATTGAATGTACCGGAGGACAATGTAGTCTCTCTTCGTGCGCTGCCGGCAGGCTCTGCTCGTGTCGTTTCAGCCATCTTGAGAGATGCGATCCACAGCGGAAGAATCTCCGGCCAAATAGCACTGTCCGCTAGCTGTCGGATCCCGCAGACGAATTGTCGGGGCCCTTAATAACGAAACATGCTGCAGTCATCCGAGCCGAACCTTCCACTCAGAAACAGCGGCCAAATGCGAACACGGTTACACCAACAAATCCTTTGGACACCTCGACGAGGAGTGAGCGGCACAGCGAGAGCTCAGTCTTCCAAGGAGCATGTACTGCCCGGACGCGTCGTGATATATAGTGCCAGATACAGAGAGATATCTTCGTGGTGAAGAGCGTTGAGAAGCGGAGTTATAGACAAGAGAGCTGTCAATTGCATGTGTTGCTTGGAGTGTGGAATGGAACAGGGCGGCCGATGCTGCTGAGCGGTCTTGGACCACAGGGGTGATGGGTCGCTACACGTGGATCCGCGCACCGCAAATTAGGCCTTGTGGAGATAGCCCCACAGCCCCATCACATCACTTCTCCGGCCCATGTTTCAGGTTTCAACACCCAGCTGCGAAACGAACAATACGATGTGTACGAAGAGAATGAGGCCACTTTCAAAGGTGTAACAATCGCAATTGTTCCTATGTATTACGCTGACTACTGATTCTGTTAGACGGGACCAACTTCCAGGTTGGTGTTTGGTCCTAAGGTTAATTATAGGGTACATGAGAGTGCGAAATGCCCGCTGCTCCCTTGAACTACCATACTCACACAGTATCAAAGTCCAGAGGCCCGATCAATCGGGTCCCAAGTCGTCAAACTTCGCAAAAGGTTCATCGTGCTCCTAATGTTGTTTCAAATGCACAACTTACCCATTTTTACATGCAGATGGATATGCTCTGCCGTGTATGGTACAGTAACGTACATACGTAAAGTGTTCCGGGAGTGTAATTGCAGGCCTTGGCAGCCCTCAAGGTTGCCCCTCGTCGGCCGTTTTGGCGGGGTCCAAATTCGCGTCTAGTGCAGACGACGCGTCGTATGTTTAAGCACCTACGTATAGCAATCTCCCACCACCAAGCAGCACTGCTATCAAAATGCCTAGGTAGACCATCCTACTACTCTAAAGCTGAAAAGTTCAGAGCTCTAACGACGGTCCAGAGAGATAATTACTATTCAGGCAGGCCAGTGCGGCAACAGCAGTCGGTTTCCTCCCTGGAGCGCCGTAGCCAGCGTCGAGATTGAATCAGGACGATGCTAACTTGACCGCGCAAAGTCGGCAGCCAGTTCTGGCAGCAACTCTGCCAGGAGCACGGTATCAGCCAAGATGGGAACCTAGAGGATTTTGCTACCGAGGGCGGTGATCGGAAGGATGTCTTCTACTATCAGAGCGATGACACACGGTACATCCCCAGGGCGATCCTCATCGACCTCGAACCACGGGTACGCCTTGCCTGCTGTGGGCTGGATTGCCGCGTATGCTTGCTAAGGCTTGGGCTTAGGTGATTCATGGGATCCAAACGGGTCCATACAGAAATATCTATAATCCCGAGAATTTCTACGTTGGGAAAAACGGCGTCGGTGCTGGAAACAACTGGGGCGATGGATACCAGACGGGAGAGTCGGTGCATGAGGAGATCATGGAGATGATCGACCGGGAAGCGGACGGTAGTGACTCGCTTGAGGTAAGCAGCCGGCGATAAACGGCCTCCCTCGCTGCAACCTTCACTCACGGATGACCAGGGCTTCATGATGCTGCACTCCATCGCTGGAGGCACAGGGTCCGGCTTGGGATCCTTTCTTCTAGAACGGTTAAACGACCACTTCCCCAAAAAAATCATACACACATACTCGGTCTTTCCGGACACGACCAACTCAGGGGACGTCGTTGTGCATCCATACAACAGCATGCTGACGATGAGGAGGCTAACGCAAAACGCGGACTCGGTCGTTGTGCTTGACAACGGCGCCCTCTCCCGCATCGCCGCGGACAGGCTCCATATGCAGGAGCCGTCATTCCAGCAGACAAACCAGCTAGTGTCGACGGTCATGTCGGCGAGTACCACCACGCTCCGGTACCCCGGCTACATGCACAACGACCTCGTCAGCATCCTCGCCTCGCTGATCCCCACCCCGCGCTGCCACTTCCTCATGACCGCGTACACGCCATTCACCGGCGACCAGGTCGAGCAGGCCAAGACGGTGCGCAAGACTACGGTCTTGGACGTCATGCGGCGGCTGCTGCAGCCAAAGAACCGCATGGTGTCCACGGTGCCGGGAAAGAAGAGCTGCTACATTTCCATCCTAAACGTCATCCAGGGCGAGGTCGACCCGACGGACGTGCATAAGAGCCTGCTGCGCATCCGGGAGCGCCGTCTAGCGACCTTTATCCCCTGGGGCCCCGCGAGCATCCAGGTGGCGCTGACCAAGAGAAGCCCCTATATCCCCATGGCCCACCGCGTCAGCGGCCTGATGTTGGCCAACCATACCAGCATTGCCACTGTAAGATTTTCTCGTGGTTTGTGAAGATGCCCCGCGCGCCGCTGACCCATCCTTGCAGCTCTTTAAGAGAATTTACAGGCAATACGAGGGCATGCGGAAGAGAAATGCCTTTTTGGAAGGGTACAAAAAGACAGCGCCGTTCGCGGATAATCTCAGCGAGTTCGACGAGGCCAAGGAGGTGGTTGCTGATCTCATTGCCGAGTACGAGGCTGCCGAGGACGCGAACTACCTGAACCCTGACCTGGGCGACCAGCCAGCTTCGGCTGACGATGACAAGAGGATGGGATGATGAATGCTTACTTTGCGCACCTAGGGTGTCCAGGCGCCTTGGGGTGCTGCAAAGGGATTTGGCTTGTAGATTATTCGGCGTTACAGACATCGTTTTGGTAGACTGATAACCGTGGCGTTCTGGAGCACGAGGTTTGGGATGGACCGGACAGGACTGGATCGTCTTCATAGCTATTGATATCTGGATGGAAGCATTTCATTATACCCGCGTAATCCTGTTGTCTCTGCGTGCGGACTGCAGTATGTCCATGCAAACATATGCCCTTCTAGTTGCCAACCTCCTTCAATCAGACCCAAGAAAAGACTGTTCAAATCCTATTCCCAGTATGGTGTTGGCGGAGCGCTCAGCCTAGGGATAAGCATACTGTGCGCCGCAACATTTTGTTCCCGGGCAGTTCTATATCGTATGTACAGCGTCAACAAGAGAGACGTCAGAAGGTATTGAGTGGGCACAATCCTCTGAGACGCCACCTAACAACTCCAGTTAGTCTCTCAAGCTCCCAATCCACGACGAAAGACCGCCATGATAATACGCGCCGCGACCAAAATCAGCATTCCCATATGTTACTACGTTCCCTCCCTTCCCAATTTCCTTTCCCGCAAGCCCTGTTGCCATTCTCTACTTCCGATACCACATCCTCGTGATCTTGGTGTTCCGCATCTTCCTCTGCAGCTGGAAGATACCGTACATCAGCGCCTCGCTAGTAGGCGGGCAGCCGGGGACGTAGACATCGACGGGCACAATCCGGTCACACCCACGCACGACGCTGTAACTGTAGTGATAATAGCCGCCGCCGTTTGCGCAAGAGCCCCTGAAGTAGTCATGTTCGTCAGCAAAAGAAACCACTCACCCACTTCCTTTCCCCAAGGGAATACCAGCGAGGAAACAAGCAAAACATACATGGAAATGACCCAGCGCGGCTCGGGCATCTGGTCATAGACCTGGCGCAGGGCGGGCGCCATCTTGTTGGTCAGGGTGCCGGCGACAATCATGACGTCGGACTGGCGGGGGGAGGCACGGAAGATGATGCCCAGCCTGTCTTGGTCGTAGCGTGGCGTCGACAGGTGCATCATCTCAACGGCGCAGCACGCCAGCCCAAAGGTCATGGGCCAAAGGGAGGACTGGCGCGCCCAGTTGGTCATGATGTCGAGTGTTGTGCTGCATCTTGAGTGTTAGCAGAGGTGAAGGTGTAGAAAATCATCATCGCCATCGTCGTCGTCATCAGACAACAGGAGAGAAACGTACAGCGCATATTGGACCAGACCCTTGGTGGGTTCCTGGCTCGCAAGGGGGACTTCCTTGCGTTCGCGCTTGGCGATGCCGTATCCGCCGTGCGGCTGGACTGCGGTCGCGGCATCCTTCCTAGAGGACGACGAGATGGCGGCGGCGGCGCGGAAGGGGATGAGTTGGGTGGTTGTTGGCCTCGCTGTGTTTTTGGAACTGTCAGCGCCCTGCCCAGCCAGCAAAGAGACTTATTGCCTCGGTCGGCGTCGGCAAACCCACCTCGCAGGGCTAGCGAGGCGCCTGTCCTCGCTGAAGATAGCATGTTTAGAAATATCGGTAAGGAGTGGAGAGGGGCGAGTAGGATGAGGAGATTGAAAGTAAAAAAGGGCCCTCCCCCACGGACAAGATGGGCGATTGTTAACCGTCGTTGCGTTGATGTCCCGAGTGCATTTCGCCTCTCAAAGCTCGGGCCAGAGTTCGAAGTAGAAATTGGCCGGCCATTATTGGTCAGGAGGGGGAGTGGTCCCACTTTCCACACACTTATTTTCCGGCGGCATTTGCCATCTCAATTCACGTCACCGATTCCATTCTTTCTTTCCGTCTGGTAATAACCACGGGAGCTACGTATTACATGTGGATCCCCTCCCCTCCGATGTGTGCTGGCTCGGGGCTGGATCTGCCATCACCACAGGCGCTGTTGGAGTTTGAAGGGAATCCTACAGCCGAGCTCTTGCTGAGGAGGTAGATGAATGTGATGTTTATGATCAAGTGTAGTAAACAGCACTTCTAAATGCCGTCTCCGAGAAAAAGGCAAGCGTCCAAACCCACTAAACCAGCAGGTATCGTATTTCAACTACAGTACATCACAGCTTGAATGCACCGCTAGATTGATGCCCCTTTTGCTCAACCACCTTTTTCCCATCCAGGCCCACCACCTCGCCTTTGCGGTTTATGACCTTGACCCCGCCCGTTTTCAGATCGTTCAAGGTCTGCCGCTGAGCCTGGGCCTTCTTGCTAACGGGCTTCTTTGCGTCGATTCCGCCAGCCTTGCGGATCCTCTCCTTCTCGCGCCTACGCCGACGCAGCTTCTCCTCGCGGCTCATTTCTTGCCGGGCTACCGGCAGACCGCTCTTGGCAACCACCTCGCCCTTCTCAGCCGTGTCCTTGCCCGGCGCATACACCTCCTGCGGCGCGATCATGCTCTCGCCTCCCGCCACGCCCTGGGCAGTCGTAGGCTGTGCATCCTCCATGGCGACCGTGGCAACGTCGGCAACAACAGTGAGAGTCGGCGCCGCCGGCTTGGGTTTGTAATGCCAGCTGCTGAGGGCGTCCAGCTTGGCACTTATTTCTTTCCACATGTTTTTGATTTCTTCCTCGTCGCGCCGCAGCTTCTCGTCAGCCTGGCTGATGTAGGCGCCGGGGTTCGCCTTCTTGACATGCTCCTCCTCGTAAATTTCGGCTAGACTTTGCTTGCCCTTGGTATCCTCAACGTCCACCAGCCCGCGCCGAGCGTTGTGAGGATTGCCGAGCGTGTCTGGTCGCCGACGAAGCACCTCGTCAAACTCATGGGCAAGAATACGGCGCTTGATGAGTTCCTCGATGGTCTCGGAGACTTCTTCCGTGATGATGGGAACAGGTTTTCCGACGTGCTCAAACTCCAGATCCTCTTCCAACAAAGAGTTGACCGGTCGGTCCACTGCTGCTGCCTCACCGGCGAGGGTCCAAGCCCGCTTGGCCACAAGCTCGGCCTCGAGCTTACGGATCTCCTCAGCCAGCTTGGCCTGCCTCCTCTCATGAGCTGACCTTCGCGATTTGGGATCACCGGCCGAGACGTCTGACAGAGGGTCCTCGGAATCGGACCGCTCTGATAAATCTTCAAAGAGGTCGCGGCGGACGTCGTTCTCTGCCCTTTCGACATCCTCCTGCGCTGGCCTCGAAGGCTCGGCTAAGGTTCGAGGCTTCCGGGCGCTCCCAGGCTTCTTCTTTTTTGGCGGTGGAGCGAAGAAATCTTTGTAGAAGATGTCATTGGCGTTCAGGTCTAGAGCCATGTCGTTTAGATCGTTTTGCAGGCCATTGACTCCGACATCATCGTCGCTCTCATCATCCATATTTTCCAGTTCTTTCTTGCTGAACGAAGGCGCGCCCTCGTCCACGTCTTCGTCCATATCCACGTCCGATCTGTCATCATCATCGACATCATCTGCCCCTTTCATGCCAGGTTTCTGTGATAGCGAGAAGGGATCCGCATGCCAGTCGATCGACTCTTCATCGCTGACATGGTCCGTGTTGGGGTCTGCGCGCGCATCCTGATCTTCAAACCATTGGGTTTGCTTGTTGAAGTCGTCTATTGAGAAAAACCCGTCATTGAGGCCGAAGGGATCCTGAACGAATTCTTCTGTCCCGTCGTCCTCGCGATCTTTCCCATCCTCACCCTCAATATCCTCATCTTCACTCTCTACCTCTTCTCCATCCCCTTCGCCCTCTTCGTCGCTATTTTCCTCCGCCTCGAAATCCAATAGCCCACTGTCTTCATTGTCAAGGCTGGCGCCTTCATCGTCTGATTCGTCCGATTCCTCAGTGTCCGCCTCGCTGCCTTCGTCAGAGGGCTCACTAGCGGATCCATCTTCCCCAGACGCGACCTCAAATCCATCCTCACCAAACTCGATGACTTTGGACTTCTCCGCGTCCTCGCCGGTGACCTGCTCGAGCTCGTGGTCTTCCTCAAGTTCTGTGAGCACTTGGTTTGACTCTTGCAGCGCGCTTGCAATGATCTTCTTGGCCTGCTGCCACACCTGGCTTGTGTCGAAGCCCTCGATGTGCAACTTCCTGATCTTCAACGGGGCGGCATTCTGCTGGGTGCCATCCCTCTTCCGCTTCTTGCCCGACTCTCGTAGCCTCGACTGCTGCTGGTCGCTAATCTGACCAGCTAACACATCCAACGTTTCCTTTACCAGCTGAAGAGAAGCGGCTGGAAGCGCAGGCGGCGGGCGAAGGAAGACATGGCGGTTCGAGGGGGCGGTCGAGTCGAGGAAGACAGCGACAGGCGAGCCGTCGACTGCGACGCTTGCTTGCGCCATGGCTGGGGCTGGGGCTGGGGCGTGGGTGAGAGTATGAGATGTGGAAGTGACAGAAGATGTTGACGTAGTGCTGTCAGTGCCCGCCATGCTTCGCCGCTACGCATCCGTTTCAGGCCCGATGTGCCAACCCAAGCAAATGGTGCAACGAACATTTGAAGTTCCCGTTCTTCCCAAAAAATTTACCTTGAGCAAGCCCCACCAGAGGCGGCTGAGCAATGATTGGCCAATCGGAACACAGTTTTCAGGAAGGCGTTTGTGGGGTTGCCAAGTGCCCACTGGCCCTATGAAGTCTGAACGCGAAAACCAGAACTGAGCTGAAAAGTGGCACGTGAATGTGGTGTCGGTCAAGGCATCAACCAGTGAAGTTGATGAGAAGTGCTCGTTGAGACCGGCGAATCTGTCACCTGCCTCTAGTTGACTTGCTCAACCTTCTCGCCGAGATTCTCTTTCGACCTTCGACATGCTTAGAAGATCACGAGGCGTCGTGCAGGGACATTACCACACGTGCATGACTGCATGGTGAGTTGCAGCCGAGTGCCAGGCACCTTCGTCTTGAGACTTCTCTATTGGAGGTGATTGTGAAAGTCATCATGGTAGGTAGGCGGTGCCATCACCAAACCCTGGGAGTCATCTTGTTCTCGAGCCAGCCAGCCATACCACGCCTACACAGGAAATACATGACAGCGACAATCCCTAACTATCTAACTACAGGCGAATAAATCATTTGTAGATGCATACAGAAAGGTAGTCATACCACTAGCAGGCCATGGAGGCTTTGCCGCTTTACGATGCATGTTCCTTCGGTCTTATTGAGGAGCTTAGGGTAGACCCTTCGTACATGAACCCATGCATCGGAAGTCTGGCACATCCTCGCCGACGGGTGCAGTTGCCGTCGCGCCAATAATCCGTGGTTGGACTTGGGGATTGTCCAAACTCCGGTGACTCCGATGATCCAGCTGCATGATGTTGTGGGGCAACATATACTGTAGAAAAAATATTTCGCCGGCTTTGCATCACGCGACGACCTGCCTACTTTGATTTGGTCGCATTCTGCTGCATGTCGGATGGAGTTCAACTGAAACCAGTGAAGCACGCGAGGAACGCTATTGTACAATAGCCTTCTGCTCACCAATCCCGGTGTATACGTGTAGGTAGTGGTTAAACTTCGGCTGTCAACCATCTCCCGGGTGTTTTAGTGTTGACCGAGGAAAAGATCCAATCAAGACAGACGCTATCGCAAAAGGAGTCGCACTTCCGAGGCTGGGCTCCATACGAAGTACTCCGTACGGCCTACGCACTTCGAACTGGGACACAGGAAAGATAAGTCAACCTTGTAAGCGATGCCGGCGGTTCAGGGTACGGATGCCGCTCCCTCAGAAGGCTGTCAGTCTCTGAACCTTATTGGCTCTTCGTGTTGCAATCTGTTTGTCAGAGCGCAAAAGCTTTTCAGGGTCCAGATGCAGCCGGTCATCAACGCTTGGCAACGGCTCTACGGATACACTACCTTCGTAGGTATACGTGTATTCCGCACGATGGGGATAGTACAATGTGTACACTGGCGAAGACGTTTCCCTATCATTCGGACAGAGCTGTGGATATATCTAACGTCACGGTGTCCGATTTCAATCCAGGGGAAGCGCAATGAGATCGCCCAGCTAACCATTCACGGAGTACCTTACACCACGATTACAAGATAAGGAACCATGATACGCCAAAGGTGTAACGTTATTCGACATCCGCTCCCGTCCGTGTATCACTGCCCTCGAGGGATGTTGGTGATTCGCTTGTGGCAGAGAGAGGCTTGCAATCATATCCCTGCTCTACACCCCGGCGGCAGCGGCGGGGTAGTTGTCACGGCCCTCTCGGGCAGACGTAGGCCGGGGATCAATCTGCTCTCCTCTGCTGGCCAGATCCTTTTCCAGCGATAATGGTTTTGTTGGTATCCAATGGGGTCTTCAATGGTATCAAATGGCATACAAACGGACGTCAAGATGGAAATCGGACGACAAGCCAGTAAAAGCGATTGTTGCAGGCACGTGGCGGAAGAAGTGTAGTGCGCATCGCAGTTCAGACGCAGTCGAAAGCCTGTTTCACAGCAGCCAAGGCTGGATCGCGACCTCACCTTGCAGCGAAGATATCTGCTACGACCGTGTAATGGTGTGATGTACATATATCTACCTCCGTGCACTATCAGAGCATACATATTGCGGCAGTTGGAGAAGAATACGGTCAAGGATGTTGAAGCTCCCCACCAGTTTTAGCAGCTGGGCTCGTGACACAATGCAGAGACTCGTCCTGATGAAGACGCTGCTGCTACCTGGTCATGCATCTGCCACATCCGCGGGCCGAAACAGGGGAACCTTTTGCTCAAGTTGGTGTCCTTCATGTAGGTACTTTGCCACTCTATCACAGATTCACAGTAATACAGTACATGCCTATAGGGCTGCCGCTGGACCATCTTCTCCCCGCCCAGAAGCACTTCCATATCGTTGGACAATGGGAAGCACCGATCGGACTCGGGGGTCCAGACCAATGAAAATGACCAATTGATTGAAGTTGAAGTTTAGGCAAATTTGGCTGAATCTGCGATGGAGCTGCTTCCCACATTCCGTGCTAGCGTGTACCCGCAACTCCATGTGGCAGCCCTTTGACAAGATCAACAAGCCTTGGGTTGTGCAAATTCTGAAGTTCTGAGAAGGAACAGGAACATGGGCTGTGCCTGGCACTGCTCGGCTAGCATAAGTTGGACCGGCTGCCGCTGGAGCGGGGCCGGTCCACAGGGCGAGCCCACCAGGAGACCCACTACCGAAGTCGTAGTGCACAACCTTGGAAGTACCTTAGCTTCGTACTGGTCGTCTCGTATGGAAGGAACCTGCAGTCCTTACGCTACTATAATTCCACCACGACGCCGACCGGCCATACTTGTTCGCCTCCTTGCGGCTACTGTTGGTTCCAGAATATTCGCACTCACTTTTAGTTTGCTCAGTTGCTTTTATCCATTGTTTCAAAACTGGTCGAAGCCCCAAGCTTTCTACTCGCAGGCCAAACCCGTGGGTGAAACTTTGTTTCCGACAATAACATCATCGCTCAATTACGTCGATAAACCGGGTCCAGCCAAGTAAGGTACCTAACCAACAAACCGCCCTCCTCTCCTGCCATCCGCCATCCTCGGCACTCGCCGCGCCACCATCCATCTTAAGCATTGAGGATCAGTTGCAGTGTCTCAGTCAGCTTACGATCGGCGTCGGATCCATACAAGCACCTCATGAAATACGGGGAGCAGTTTGAGAAGGAGTCAGTTCCGCAATGGAGCCTTCGTACGTGACAGCCCCGCTACCCCTCCATCCCCAATCAAACCTGGCGCGAGGCCGTGGGCTGAACTGGTGCAGATAACATCGACTACAACTCCCTCAAACATCACATCAAGGCGCACACCACCAAGGACCAAGCGACCGCCATTGCTATCCCTGGCCATCGGGACACAGCACTGACCAAGTTCGAGGATGAGCTGTACGACGAGTTGTGCCGACAACATGACCGGGTCGACCTGTTCGTCCGCAGCAAGGCCGATGAGATTGCCCGCCGGTTGCGTATGCTCCCCTCCGCCCTTTTTTTGTTCAGACCGTTTTCCACCAATCGACTGACTCGGTGGCTCAGAACATCTGTCGAACAAAATACATCGCCTAATCCTCCGCTGTGCGACATCGCCACGCGAGACTGTGTCCCTGAAGCGCCGGCAGCGGTTTGCCAAGTACGAGCACGTGCTGCTGAGATGCGGCGACGACATCCGCTCTCTGCAGCGTTTCGTGAATGCGCAGGTGGTCGCATTTCGCAAGATCCTAAAGAAGTATAGGAAGTGGACCGGCTCATCGGCCTTGGGATCTCGTTTTAAGGATAACGTTCTGTCGCACCCAAAGAGTTTCACGAGGCGCGATTTCTCCCAGTTGCAGTCTCTGTATGACGACTTGCTGCAGACACTGCAGGCTGCAACACCAGCCGCAACACCGGCCGAATGGAGCGGTGACGGGTCAAACGCGGCCGAGCCGGTGCATTCTCCCCGGCCCAGCGAGCAGATCTCGCCAAGCGAGACGTTGGTCGTGCCCGAGTCGCAGCAATTTGCGGGTGGTTACTGGAATGAGTACGACTGCGGCAGCGAAGCGGGCGATTTCAATCGGGATGCAGATGCCGAGTACGCAATCTACGTCGACCCCAACGAAGAAGTCGGCTTCCCGGGGATGAAGACACTCCGCGCACTCTTCACGACACCGGCTCGGAAACTCCACGCATGGATGTCCGGCCGCCATCCAGACGACGAGCGCGGCCCTCTCCTCCCGGCCCATGCCAGCCGCAGCACCTACGGCGCCACCACGCGATCCGTCGAACCAAGCTACTTCAGCATCCCTCCCGGTAGTGCGGACCCGGCCGGGGCCGCCTCGCCGCTGGTGGCGGACACGGATGCCGAGGACGAGAGCAGCTGGCACCGGCCGTCCAACCGGCACAGCCGGCGCGGGTCGTACAACAACAACAACGGGTACGCGTCCTCGTCCGAGGAAGGCGGCGGCGCCATTTTCTTCCCCGCGGGCTACCGCGCGCACTACGCAGCGGCGCTGCCGAGCGTCGAGGAGCAGCGCATTGCCCACTACAGGGAGAGGGTGCTTTTCTGGGGCGCCTGGGCTTGCTATGCCGTGGCGTTTGTGCTGATGGGGATCGCCGCCGTGCTCGTGGTTGCGGGGCGCAACAAGATGCGTCTCGAGGTAGACGCCGGTGTCACCCTGGGAATCATGACGTCGCTCGGCCTGGCCTGCGCCGCGCTGAGCATGGCCTGTTCACGGCGCTGGGGACGGCAGTCGCTGCTGGGGAGGCTGGCCGTGTGGACCACTTTCGCCGTGGTCTGTGTCGGGGACGGGGCTCTGCTGGTGCTCCTGATGGGGAATACGAGGTTATGATGAGCGCGTGGATGCTTATGGCTGTATGCTCACGACGGTGACGGTTGTTGGAGGTTTTTGTTGGTCTGGCGGAGGGAGGAGGTGGTTTATTTGTTGTCTTGCCCGATGAGCATCCCGGGCATTCTGCATAGTATAAGGGTTAGCTGGTTTGAAGGCAAGGTGGTCATGAGGACAGAGACCCGAGCGACTGCATGATATACATGGAATGGCAGCGCCAGACTGGACTGGAATGAGGGGCTTTCGGCAGCAGAAGAGAATTGCTTTCATCAGCACCGCGATTGGCACACTCGACAAGGCGAGAATCTGTGATCGAGAAGACAATAGATGGGGAGAAGGGATCAATACAATTCCGGCAGTAGCACAACTATCGATATCAGCATTGCGGATTGACAGTCCGGATGACAATCGCTTCATGCGGGCGTTTTGCTGACCGTGATACAAATGCTTGGTTAAGTAGCACAGCACACGAGTTTGTCTGCCACGCGAGCGGCGTCAGGGTTGACAGGACATAAAGCATCCATCTGAGCCGGAAGCGGAAAGTGAGTCGAACAATTGGCGTAGGAACGGTGAGCTAATACTCCGTAGGTGGGATGCTCTTTGCTGCTTGTTGTAAGCTACCTAGCTCTGTACCTACCTTAACTTTCCCCGCAGTAATGTTCATATTTGTATGCAAGATCAAGGAGACGAGTTACCGGTACTAGGAAAGGGATGATCCCACAACTTAGTAGTAGGTTTGGCTTCTGAATCCACTCCTCAACCCATCGAGGAGATAACTCACCAGCCCACAGCAGAATCACAGTAAGAGACATAATCACCTAGGTAGTTAGCAACCGCAAAGATGAAGCTCAGCGAGCTCTTCCCCCACGCCAAAACCCCCCTCATCATCAGCGCTCCCATGATGGGCACCGCCAACGGCACCCTTGCAGCAGAAGTCTCCAAAGCAGGAGGACTGGGTAAAGAATTCCCATCCCTATTCACCCCTTTCAGCAACCCCCTAATCACTTACCTCAACTTACATCAGAGACACTACGTACTTACACAGAAACAGGTGTAATCCCAGGAGGTTTCGACTTCTCCCCCTCCTCCTCCCACCTAAAGGCACTCTCCCAAGAACTCAGCACCGCGCGAACCATCCTCTCAAGTTCCCTCCCTGCACCG